CACACCCACAGAAGTTGAATTGTTCAGGAATGGCGAGAGTGGAGAGAGAAAAAGCAGAGAGAACAACAACAAATTCAGTTTCTCAGAAATTACTTGAAATGGCTAAGAATTGGCTGAAAAATATTTTAAATTTAATGGCTGACGAACATGGAACAGAGAATGGAAAAAAGAATGAGAAAAATTACTTTGCTTATTGTGGTGATTATTGAGTTAATTGGACTAAAAGAATCGCGAAAAGGGTCAAAAATTGAAACCAAAATTTCTTCTTCGACTACTTTAAACTCAATTTTCAAATTGTTCATAATCAAATGGCAATTCAATGACCAATTCAACAGATAATTTTGTCCAATTTTAGATTTCCAGAGTAATGACATTGGCTTGAAGATTGAGACAAATCTTGAAATGAAAATTTCCACAGAAAAGGCTTTCTCATTTTAATGTACATTTGTTGACCAGTTTATTTGTTTATTATTGACCTGAAAATAGACTTAACTGTTACCAAAAAATATGAATCGATAATTTATGATGTTTTAAGAAACTGAAAGTTTCACCTTATTTTGGGTTACATTGTTGTTGTTTGTAATGTTCAATGTTGAATGGTTGAACACAATAAAAACACAAGTGTTCAATAACAATATGAATATATTTCGAGTTGAAATAATGAAAATGTTGAAAGCTATATTAAATTTATGTGCATTTGTTGTTACTCTTGCTGTCTGTGTGAAAAGCAATTGATCAAGAAAACAGAAAGAGAGTTGAAAGGTAAAAAAAAGGTCAGTATCAACAACAACATCAATACTATCAATAAATGTAATATAAATATAAATATATAAATAATATTGCAACGGGACTTGGCCAGCCAAAAAATAGGTGTTTCGAGAAGGAAAAGGCAAAAGATTACGATTTAGTTTCCGTAGTTGCCTATTGTTGTTATTTATCGGTGGTTATCCTGTTGATGTTGGCCTCATTTCAATATTATATCATCGGCCACTATTAAGCTTTTTTGGGGTAATATAATTATGTTTACGAGTAAATAATGGAATCAAGAAAAAGATGTAAGATTTAAAAGGAAAGTGAATGTCCAAAGAAGGTAAAAATGTGTTGTAGCAAAGGCCGAGCAGGAATAAAAAGCAATTGCTAAATTGAACGGACACAGTGACCTAAACTTTCACTCTGTCATCACCAAGTAAGCACAACTAAACAACAACAACAACAACAACATGAATGACAACAACCTTATCCAGGTAATAATAAGCATAATAATAATGGTTCCTAATCATAGATTTCAACTGTACTTAGTTGAATCATTTTTAAAAAGATATAAACAGGAATATGTATTGTAATACATTTAATATGCTTCTCTCTTTTTTTGTGTAACGTCCAGCCGTCTATGATAATAACGCTGGAAAACGTTGACAGGCCAATAAACAGCAATGTTTTTCACGGGCTTTTGTGTCAATCAGCAAGAAGGAAAAGATGGTCAAAGGGAATAAAAATAGGAAAAGAAAAGATGAAGAGATGAAGAGATGATGAAGAGAAGCAAGAAAAATCAACCTCAAAGAGAGAGAGAGAGAAGGTTAAAGATGAAGATGATGACCAAGAGAATAAGGAAGTTGTTCGTAAAAATGATGATGATGACCATTCTTTTTGATCCAAAGTGCGAAAGTAAAAATGACAATGGAAAGAAAATAACAACAAAAATAATAATAGCAAAAGGTACAAGCAACGCGCCCAACGAAGGGTCCAAATATTCGTAATACCTTGATGAAAAGAGATCAAGTTAAGGCTTGTCACTGCCGTAAACAACTTATTATTGGTCCATCATTTTCATCTTCAAGACCATCTTTGACACAATGGCATAAGATGATGGACGAAGAGAACAAGAAAAAAGTCCATTTTTACTTTTGGCCAAGCTTCGAGTTCCTATGAATAGTTGATAACCTGGAAAACATATGAAGATGAAAATGAAGGTGAAAATGGTGATGGCTTTTTAAATGGTAAAACTGTGAAAATTAAAGTGAATATTGGACGAGAAAGTTTATCCTTTTTAATTTTTTGCAGTTTCCTTCATTTCTTTACCTTTTTTTAGAGCTTCATATTTCATTTTTTGCCCTGTTTACACGTGCTTATTGCCTTTGATCGGTAAAAGTGACCTGAGGCTTGTGTGTTTATCTGCTTACAATGTGCAGTCTGATAATGGATTGATTGTAAATTCATTGTACTTTTAAAAATGAGTTTACATTTCACTCTCCAACTTGTTTGAAGCCACTTTCACCCTTATGCTTTAAACATGTTTTTTTTCAGGCCTTAAAGATTTCATCTTTTCATCGGCAAAAAAAGAAACCTCGTGTTTCGGCCTTTTGGCTCTGACCCAATTGTTGTTTAGCCTTTAATATACAAAGATGATGATGGTGATACGAATGGTGATTTACAGTAACCCAACGAGCATCTCACAACGACCCATCAACATTAATAACTCGCTCTTTCAACGTTTCACCTTTGGCTTTACTTGCTTCTTCTCCTTCTGATTCTGATCGATGATATTTTTTGTTCACTGTCAAACACTATCAATAATGTTGTATAATAACTTGTATAAGAGCAGCAAATAAAAGGTCTACTCGTGTGCCTTATATAACCATTATTAACATTTATTCAATGTAAATCATTGACAATTAAGTGTCAAACCCACGCGAAAACACATTTCAATATATTTACACCTAATCCAAGTATAATTTTATTGGCTTTTATTATTAATAATCAATTTTGCTTCCGTATTATTGATGGCTAAATATTTAGGCAAAACCTAATCCATCATTAATACCTTTAAAAATGGATAATTGATTGATGAAGTAAAATCTAGGCAACAATCAACCTCATTTTTTGAGCCTTTTTTACCCATTTTTAGCCCATTCCAAACTTAAATGGTCGACAATGGCATCCATCCATGGCTTACCCTTTGACCTAGTAAACCTGGTAAAATTAAGCAATCAGTATAACTGTAATTACTGGTTTAAGTATGATTGTCTTGTTTACGATTTGCTGAGATTCATTGGGTTTACAGCCAAATATTACCAATAATTATCATCGGTAAAGGTTCAGTTTTATGGGCCATTTTAAGAAGGTCAAAAGGTTAGAGCTTTCATCGTGTTTATCCAATGAGATTAATACCAAATGTTAACTCGCAACTAATCTGTTGCATTATCAAAAGAGTCAATCTGTTGAGTTTAAAAAAAACTGACTGAAAATAACTGAGTAAATCCTTTATTTTCATGGTTAACAATAAGGCAAAAATATGGATAATTTAGATGAGATGAAATGAAAGGAAAAAAGGGCAAAAGTGTGATTTTGAAAGCAATTTTGTTGAAAACGTTGAACCAAGCCCAGGTCAAAGGGTAGTGTAGCTGTGACCATTGACCATTGGATTGAATCGTAGAAGCAGAATATTGAACGCACCCAGAAAAGTGAAAGAAAAGTAAGTCAAGAGAAACAAACAAATGGACATTGAATACAAAAAGATATGCTGACCAAGAAGGTAAAAGTGTCACCTACAATTGAGTCTAGTCTAGTTTTTATGGACACAATTGGTGAAGCCAAATACAGTGCAAGTCAAAGGATTTCAAGGTTTAAAAGTGTTTCCAACCAAGTTCCGGCGACTCTCCTAAAGGTGTCACATCGGCGTCTTGATAAAAAAACAGTGCTTATCATCGCCATCTTTATCATCGTCTTTACCTTATTGATCTTCCCAAATCACAAAACACAGCAATAAATTCACAGTATTTTTGGGCGTAAAATGACAAAAGCTAAGGATAAAGATGATGATGATGATGATGGTGGTTGAAGACAAAGATATGGGAGTTGGCATACCTTTCGGTTAATACGGAGAAATGGTTTTCTTACATTTTAAGGGTAAAAAACTAGGTAATACTGAGTAAAAACTGATGATTATACCTTATTTTTTTTACCTTGCACCGTAAGTTTTTTTTTTACCTTTTCAAGAAGCGATTATGATTAAAACCTGTAAGTTGAAAGGTAGAGTCCAAAGGATATGTGCTGTTGTGTAAAGGTTTTTCAATGCAAACCCAAGTAAAATAAGGGTAAAAAGATATAATTTTTTATTTTTGTTTTGTTCCTGGGTTAGTCGACACTTTTTTTTCACCCAAAATCTACTTCTTTTTTGGGATCTTTTCATCTCTTTTTTTCAGTTATTTTATACTCTTTTTTTTGGGGCCTTTGATACCTTTTTCACTGATCTTTATTGTCTCCGTTACTCGGTCAACAGGAATAGGTAATACATAGGAAACTTGGAAGGAACAAGAAAAATGTTTCTCTTCATTCTCTTCATTCTTCTTTCTCTTTTCCTTAGCTTCTCATCTTAACCTGTTGTACGGTTATTTTTTCCTCCTCCCCACCCACCTTTTAATGGTGGAGAGGTTAGATGATGTGAAAAGGGAAGAGAGAAGAAGATGAAAAGAGGATAAAGTTGAAGGTAAAGAAAGGTTATGAGGATTCAATTGAAAGGGTTTGTATTTGAGTATTTGGCTAACATTACAATGGATGAGAGTCCAAACACCGTTCAGTTTGACCTTATCAAGTAACAATAATCGTCTTTTTGCTTACCCTTTCATTACTGACCGTTTATATGGGAAAATAAAGGGCAAAATAGGAGATGGAAAAGTGGTAATAGAAGAAAAATAGGAGAAAAGGATTTTGTCCAGTTTTTCAATGCAATGGACCTTGACAACAAAAAGACCTTATCAATTTATGTATTTATGGATTTATCTTTACTCTTTTCATTTCTCCTTTTTTTGTAACCTGTGACCAAACTGGACCTTTATGACCCTTTACCTCAACATTTACCAAAGGATACAACAATAGAGTTGAAATATTTTCACCTTCAAAACGGTGAATAACGTTTCTCTAACCTTTTCATTTGCTCAAACACCGTTTGCTTTAACCATTTCAAACCTTTTTTCCTAGTTATTTGTGTATTACTAGAGAAGTATTCAAAAGAAATGCTTTTTATCTTTATTATATTCATCATGATCTTTTACTGGTTTCATCATGAATATTTTTGGATTACCATCATGGATTACAGAGTGACTTCAACCCATAAGGTTTGGTCTTAATTTGACACCTTTATTAGTAGAGTAAGGTGATCAAAGGTGATGCTTACTTTTTTTTGAGGTGAAAAAAAGGAGAGTCCATGTTGATTTTGGTTATATTTTTGTTATAAATAATTGTGATTTGGGGAAATTTGGGCAGAAAAAAAGAAATCAAATTTAGGTGAAAAGTTGAGTCTCTGCCGTTTCTTTTTTTTCAAGTAGATATTCGTGAGAGTGACGAATTGGTGTCACTTATTATTATCATTATTATTGCTGCTAATATTGTTGCTGGTCCACAATTATTATTAAAATATTTATCCAACTGCCTCTTTTATTTCGCTGTAATAACTCTACTTAACCTAGCTTCAATGGTAAAAAGTCTAACCCTTGATTGACTTGATGCTTCAATTTTACAATTAGATACATTTTTAATAAGTTGATTGGTTTGAGTGTTTTGGTATCTATTGATGGTCAGGACAGGTAAATACAGTTAACGGCTATTGTGCATTAACTCGATCACTTCTTTGTTAAAGTTGCAGTTGCATGAGATTTTGTGTTTCTCACGGTCAACGGTAAAAAAGAGCTGACCATAGGTCAAAATCTAGAGTCTAAACAACCCTCTCTGACCCATTTCTCAACGGTTAAAATATGGAAGTGATTTTGCAGAAAAACAAAGTGGCTAGTTGGGCAAAGCGAGTTGGATAACTTTTTTTTCTCATTGAAACTAGCCTGGAAATTACAAGAATCAGCTTTATCGACTCGGCTCGTGACTTTCAATATTAGACGATTCAATCAAATGATCAAACCTTATAGCTACAATTTGTCGTCTCATCAGGTGACACCTTTCCTCAAAAACATCAAGGTAATGACATCTACAAATAAGTCTCTATTTTTAACCCACAAATGTATTGCCTATTCACATGTCCAATGATCAGACTGATACACAGGCATTAATATGAAAAGTTTTACATCAAAATAAGGTGGAAAAGTGTCGAGCAAGATGATTAAGAAGAAAAGGATGCAAAGGATGGTAAAGTAGACGATGAAGATATTGAAGATGAAGAAGGTGAAGACTAAGGTGGAGAGGAAGAAAGGAGAAAGCAAAAGCTGAAAACAAATCGCGCCAATTTTGTGTTAAAAAAGGATGTTTTTTCAAGTCATTTTTTGGGGTTAAATAACATATTTACAATCAAGAAAAAATGGGCAAAGAAGTGAAAAAAGATCAAAAAAACTAAGCATAATAAGTTAGCAATGTGAAAAAAAGGGAAGAAGAAAAGATTGAAAAAAAAGGTAAAAAATGGCTAAAAAAGGTTGAAAAAGCTGATAATAAAGGTAACTAGGTAAGGTTATGTTTTTTCAAGTTGCTCCTTTCACCTCTAAACTTTGTGTACTTCCTCTCTACCCATTGGTGTTTCTCCTTATTTATTATTGGTCACAATAATAAACACAATCAACAACAACCATTTGGAATAATCAAGTCAAAAACAGTTGAGAATCCCTTTCACCTTTCCCTTTCCTTTCCTTATCATCTTCATCATAATCATAATCATCCATTCTACCTTTGCCCTTTTTTATACCAAGTAAAGAAAGGTAAAAAAGTAGAGAGTAAAAACTCTCACCATAACCCCTCGCAAGTTTACGCAAAAAAAGAGAACTTCCTTGTCCTTATGTCCATCTTAATATCCTGACCAGGTCATTTTCCTCCTCCTTTTCTTCTAATATACATGAACACACACACCATCTTTACCTTTCTTCCGTAAATAACCTTTACTCCCTAACATTATTACATTGTCTTCCCTGAAGCTTTTCCTTCCTTCTTCTCCTTTCAGGTTTCCTCTTTGCTCTAGGTTATAACGTTATCCTCCTTGGCCTCCCTTGACCATAGATCCATATGCATAACATTATATCTGCATCAGGAAAACAACTTTCTTTTGGCTTTCACTCCTTTATTTTTTACTTTCGTCTGAAAGAAAGGTTAAGAAAAAAAAATGTAAAAGTAAGTAAAAAAAATGAGAGAGAAAGCAAAAGAAAGAGCGAAATAAGTCACTAGGTCTTTCTTTTTAGACAGTTAAATACTGACAGAGGGAGAGTAAATATGTTTTTTACATATCCGTATGTTGCTGATGAAGGCCAATTTCTTAAAAGGTCAGTCGAGTAAAAAATAATCATAATAATAATGGTTACCAAAGATGGGCCCGATGGATGGACAGGTCAAGGTATGTATAATGTAATAAGAGTTACGAGTGAGCAAAAGGTAACCAATGTGGACTAAATATCTGGGCTAAAAGCCTTTAACATAAGCAGCAGCGGGTTTTTTTACTTCTTTACTCTCTCCTTCGTCTTTTCCTAGTTTTCTTAATACCAAAGGAAGATGAAGACAAAGATGATGATGATGATGATGGCGAATAGGAATCAACAACAGCAAGATACACATTGGACATTCAATTGCATCTAAGAACCTTTTTTTTGCTTAATTGGCTTAACCATCTGCCCTTTCTCCTATCTTTTTTCTTGAATTACTTTCTTTCGCTTTCTTCCCTGACTAACCTTTTTCACATATTAATACTTTCATCTTCATCGTCCTCTTCTTCCCTCTTCTTGTTTAGCTTTTCTTGGTCTCGTCATTTTTACTCTTAACTCTTACTTTTTTTCTTGTTCCAGGTAAACAAAAACAGATAGTCTTTAACCTTTTCCTTTTATTGACCATCTTCTTTGCCTTTTTTATACACTTTTTCTTTTAACCTCAGGCTTTTCACTTTTCATCTTATTGAAGGAATCTTAATTTTAGCCTAAACTTGAGTACCACCGTTGTTGTTTTTGTCTCCTACTGTCATCGTCTTTCACATCTCTCGTTGTCAATCCCATCATCACAATGAATTATACTCCTTTCGGTTGATTGTTTACTGTTGTTAGACTTTGGTTTACGGGCCTTTTTTTCCTTTCACTTGCTTCCACCTGATTTGCTTAGCTTTCTGTTTATAGCTGTCCACTTTTGAAATTTCCGTTCCTTTGCCATTGTCTTTAAGTTTTTCGCATTGTTTTCAAACGGTCCTAAAAATGGTCTGGACACAAACAAAAGAAACGAACAATTGTTGAAAAAAAAGTGATATGCATAATAAAAATAGAGCGCACCTAGTGTTTAAATGAGAAAACTGAAATTAAAATTAAAGCAAAATTTTCAAATAACCAAATCATTTTTAAATTGAACTAAATTAAACTTCCTAATAACAATATCGGATGCTGGATATCAAATAACCTATTTTTGATCGATATTTTCTTCATACATCGTTTGTCCAAAGCTTTTCATAGTTTTGGTTTCCCTCCTGCATTTCAACTATACGAACCTTACAGCCTTAAGGCTTGGTAAATTATTTAACAAGGCTGGTCAAATCAATTTCCCTGGCTGGTTAACGAAAAATACAACAATGTAAAGGTGTTTTTTGGGATTGTAAAATTTGTTACCTTTTTTTAACCAGGAGAGACACAGAGAGATGATGGAACTGATTCACAAGATTTATTGTGATGATTAGTATCTCAGTTTCTCCAAGAAAAAAGCAGAATATCTCAATCCAAACTTTTTAGGCCAAGGTTTACTTTTTGCTTTTGCTTTCAATCTCCATTGCGCATTTTTTGATGGTCATCAGGCATCTGATTAACATCTTCTTGTGTGTCTTGCTAGTTAAACAGTATTTCATTTCTTATTGTTACTGTTATCATATCTTTCCATTATTCAAACTAATTTGTTTTCGCATTTCCTCCGCCAATCTTGCCCAATCTTGCTCAATCTTGTGACACAGTCCAGGAAAACAAAGTTCAATCATTTATTTTAGTAAATCTCTGTTGTTTCACAAGGCAAAAACTGTTGCAATAATAGCGATAATAAATGTCAGCCTTTCTTTCTGTCAAAGGACGTCAAGTTCATGGGCAAATCAATAAATCTTGTAAGTGAATGTGAGTAATCTGTAAAAGGTAGTAAAAGAAACAAACATGTGATTAAAGTTAAACAATTCAAGGTTAATTGATGAGAATAGTATTAACGTTAACTTGATAATAACGAAATGAAAATACAAGAGTCAATCCCAAAAGCTATCCAAGTCTAGTTGGAACTGGTTGAATATTAATGTTATTCAGGTCAAATTGAGCCAATCAAGTGTATTATCAGTTGTATCATGTAAATCCACCAAATTAAAATGTAGATTCATCTCCAAGATTCTTTAGCAGGCAAAATTAGTCTCTACCGGTTTGTTTTTCAATGGCCGGGCTTTTATAAGTTTTGCCAAGATGAGCTTAACAAGGAAGTTCAACAATTAATCCAAATGAATGAAACCATTTTTTAATGTTGACCAAGAAAACTCATCTTATGGTCATTTGTTTCTCTTCCCAAAATCGATTCCAGATTGATCCAGTCATGCTAAATACATAAGATGCAAGGTGATTACAAAACAAGACCTTGACATTGCTAAAATAAGATGATGAATAAAGACAGATGAAATGTAAGATGATTATAAAAAAAGCTATGAAGGTTAGAAGTGAGCGAGCGAGCCAGTCAAAAAAATCGTAAATGAAAAGGTAATATTAGTTTCCTTGAGCGAAAAAATATTTCAGTTAAAAATTGAAAAACAGCTTTGGCTGAAGACAAAATGTAAAGCCTAGTAACAATGATAATGATGATAATGTATTGCTTGGACAAAATCTTAAGATGGACAAATGCTGACCAGACGTTGGTGTTTGGACAAAGATATTAGTCTTGAACTAGGAAGCACAATCAAAGCAAGGTGAGGGTGATGAGAGGAGGACAAGAAAAGAAGAGAAAGTAAGTCAAGAAAATGAAATCCCTTTTGAATTATATGGTCCACTATATAATTTATAAGAATATTTATATTAGGAAGAAAATATATACAATCACATGTAACTATAAATACATATTGTACCTGAAAAGATGTTGCGTCCACCCTCATTCTAGGTCATTTATTTCACCTTTAAGCGTGTCTCGCTCCTATTTCATTATTATTATTATTATGGCTTTTTTTACCATTGAGTTTGGTTAAACTAAGCTTAAGGTCACCTTTTTTACCTTTTCACCTTGGACTGTTAAAAGATTTCATCTTGTGCTCAAAATTATTTGAAGGGGGCTAACAATGAGGAATGGTAATGGTGATGATGGTGAAAGGAGAGAGAAAGTGAATGAAGGTAATAAAAGGTACACTAGGTTGAGAATATCATCTTAAAGTTATTGGAGTAAAATGTCAATCGTCACGTTAAAGTGATCTTCAGCCTCACCATTCATGAGCAAGTTAATGCTGTTCACTGAGTTGCCAATTATTTTTTTTTAAATTGCCAAACTATCTATGTTTTCACCTTAAACTTTCTTTTTTTGTTTCATGTTATCATTGCTTTAGGAAAATTCATCGGAGGCTCAATCAGTTCCAGTCAATACTCAATCTTGAACAAAAAGAGGTCCAAACAGGCTAAAATTGGCTGCAACCTGAGTGTTTAGTCTATTGCCTATTGACAATTTGATCTATTGATACAATAAAAAAAGTGAGACTAAAAGAGAGAGTAAAAAAGAAGATAAAAGTGATTAGAATTGGCGAGATACTTTAAGAGGTAAACAATTAAACAATTAACGTAAACCGTGAAAAGGGTTTGGGGTGCAGAGAGAAACAAGACAATGAAAATTTCTGATGATTCTGTAGAGGTCCACCAATAGATATGATAATACCTGTTAATCATCCAATTAGCTTACAATTAAAATCATCTCACAATTTGTCAGTAATTGTCTAAAGCATTCCAAGATTCTAAAAGGTTTGACTATCGACTGGATCAAGACACCATCCTAAAAATGATCAGAGATATTCAAAGAAACAGAAAATATTTACCTAAAATTAAAACTTGATAATCCTTTGGTGATGAAGTATTTTTGTCATAAAGGCCAAGTCCACATTAACCCTTTGACTTGCCAAAATTGATTTCCCTTTCGATTCTTTATCCATGGAAATTTTTCTGTCTATTCTACATACAAGTAGAAATTTTTCTCTTCGCCAATTTTGTTTTTAAATCTTGATAATCGATTATGAATTGAAACTTAATAGGAAAATGGGAACATCAATAACAAATGATTGTCTCGCTGAAATAGCTTACAGGTCCTTTTAATTCTAATATTCCGTGATTTTGCCTCTTTTTACTAGAAGAAAAAAAGAGTGAAATAGACATAAAAATTCATGTTAAATAGATAACAAAGCGAAGAAGCAAAAGATCAGTTTACCTTAAAATAGGCTTATTTTTCACTTCTGGAATCCAATAAATACACAATAAAAAGTTTTACAGTAATAGATTTTGAACAGTTGATTGTTGATTTCAGCTTGATCGGGTTGAAATTTCCATTCTTTCCAGTTATGGTTTGAAATTAAATAAATACAGTAGTGTAAAGCAGACGATCAAAAGAAACAAAACGCTACCTTAAAAATAAGAGTAATCCAATCGTCCTATCATATCCACTTTTTGAATATCTTTCGACAAACGGTGCGTAGATTAGATGGCTTGCTAACCAAACAATAACGAAACATTAAATTGATTAAAACCATTGAAATATTGAGATACATAGTTATAAACTAATCGAAGTAAAGTGAAACAGCGAAATGATGAATTGACTTAAGAGCTGGCTTTCTGTTTATTGTAAGTAAAGTGTTTACAGAGACTATAAATATTTAAATATCTGATCCTAAAAAGTCTATCTTTTAGTCCTTGATTGGATTATCTTTTTGTGACAAGCCAATGTGATATACTTTTTTTTGATGCACCGACATTGTTAGCTTATATTTATTGGTTTAAACTTAAGCCAATTAAGTTAATTATTTAAACTTGTTTGTTTGACTTAGTTATCTCTGTTCAATTATCTATGTAAAAACATCAAACTATCCAACTAATCAGCCAGGCGAAACGACAACCGATTCACGTTTACCATCTTCACGATTCAATGGAGCTTTTTATTCAATCAATCATCATCAGAATCATCATCAAATTTTACTTTAAATATCATGATAATGGAAATACTGATGGATAAAAGAAGAAGAAGATGAAAACATTAACCTGAAACGAAGAGGACCCAATGAAGTAGAAGTTACAAATGAATCAACAAGTTTACCAGATAAATTTTGATTACTGTGTAATAAAAGGTAAATAAATTAATAGAAATCTGATGAATTTGTTTTCATTTTTTTCTCTCTCTTCTCTATCCCTTTTCTTTCTAAGAATAAATTCCCTGTTTGAACCAATGACCGATTAACCATAAGATATTAAAATGGTGATGCCGATGAAAAAAAAGGTAAATGGCAAGAGGAAAAAAATGATCCAATGAAATGTAAAGCATGATGATTATCAAGAAAAAATGTTCAAGTTGAATGTTCAGCTCATACTCTGATAATCATACCATCTTGAACCTAGTAACTTGTTTTTAGTGGCAAGATTTTACCGAACCACATTTCAATTGGAACGGCAAAGAAGGATAGAAAGAAAAAAAAATCAAATTGTGACACTAGATGCAAAAAAAGGAACACAGTATCGGCAGTTTGAGCACTAAAAAAGGAGATGACTGCAAGAAAAAATTCACTGAACAGGTATAGCTGCAACTCCGTGAAAAAAGAATGAGAACGATGAAATTGGTTTTTGCCAAAGAGCAACAGGTAGATATAGAGAAAGGAAATAAAGAGATGGTGAAAATAGTCATGCTTGAAATGTTTCTAGTTGATGAAGCTGAGAAACAGTCGGTACACGTAGATGTATTTACCTGAGAAGATAAAACTCAATGGTGGATTCTTTATAGAAATTTAGTGAAAAAAAAGATATCAACTGATGAAATGAGATAATGGTTAGGAATAGCAACAAGATGAATCGATGATCAATTGGCGCAACATTCAACACAAAATTGTCAATATTCAATGGTTTAATCATGATTAATCTATCTTTAGATTTGATGATTACCAAGCAGACAATTAAATTCATCTCTTCTTTACCATTTCATTGGATTTGAATTTTGAAACAAAATCAATTGGAAATATTTTGATAATCACTCATCATAGAAACATTATTTTCGCCAATTTATTCAGAATCTCCATTATAATTCTAATTTAAGTCTTGTATTATTATAGAGGAATTGATTCAATTGCTGTCACCTCCATAACTTGTCTAAATCTCGGTTTTTCAACTAAATTACTATCAAATTTTATTAGCTAATGATCAGTATTTTTACTTTAACCTTTTTTTGTTTTTTATTTTCCTAAAATTGCTTCTCATTTCACCCTTTCCCATCAATTAGCATTAGTTGCAAAATTTACCTGAGGACATTAAACAACTGTAAGATGATGATGGTTTGGAAACAACGGAGCCAGTTCAATGAAAGCTGTACAACAATTTAAGCCGAGTAAAACAAAGAGGTGGGAAAGTCGTGAAACTCCGAGTCTCCGTTTGATTACGTTTTAATCTAATTTACTTTTACCAATCACTTTCTTATTTTAATTAGGTAGCAGATTTCATCTGTCAATTTGATTAAAGAAGGCACATTTTACAAAGCAAAAGCAGAAGAAGAAAAAAGAAAGCTGATCAACGTTTATTAGTCAAAATGACCTGATTACCGAGAGCTAGGAATGATTGAAAAGCAAGGGCCTCAGGTTGAGTTAAATCAATTGGACATCATCAAGTTACAACCTTTGAAACTGTATGAAGCCCAAAATAATGATGATCATAATTATCATCATCTCCATCCTCATCCTCATCGCAATCATTATCATCATGCATATCTTATCAAAATGGAGGCCACAAGGTCGGTGAGTCTCACAACGTTACTTTCCACCTTTCTTTTTTTTGCTTACTTTCACTCAACATCTACTTAATTATCAAGGGCAACGTTATACAGTATTATCAGAGCAATCAACAACAAAAAACGTTCGTACAATCATTATTTGGAAACAAGAATACAGCTATTATAAGATGGAATGGGCAAGAAAACAAAAAAAAGAAATGTTAACCAATGTAATCACTTTTCTCTACAATTGGACTTCATTGGAGGATTTACAAGGGAAAAATGACCCGCAAAATAATTATTTGTTATACCACTGATAATTGTTTAAATTGAAACAATAATATGACACATTATTGACAAATAGAGAGATGATAATGTATCCCAAATCACTAAATAGCATCATAAGATAAACACTCCTTTGTTGTTTAATCAAAATATATCACTTTAGTACACAATCAGCGTCGATTAATCATCATGATCAACTTGATTTGATTACAGACTTCTTTGTTTCACTTCTCGTGAGTAAATTTACCTGATTAGTCAATTTAATTACTTTAAAGGGTCGACAAAGTTAATGGCAAAATTAGTCAGCCAAAAAATCAGTTAGTTTTCCCGTTTTCTTTTGTTTCAATCTTCCTTTTTCGCGGTTAAAAGGTTTGCCAATGTTGTATAACTGCATCCATCTGTTGATTAAAAATGGAGTTAAGGTGAAAAACTTCTGCTCGATCTACAGTTAACCACTGTTAACCAGTTAACCAGTTAACCAACATCGTTAGCATAACGTAATTGTTACTCTCTATCATCTTTATAATGTTTTTAAATATTTGTTTTCGCCATTTTCATTGTTAATTTTAATTAATTTTAATTGAATTGTAAATATTGTTTAATTTTCATTCATTTACGGGTAATCTTCATATTAATCAACTGTGTGTTCAAACAGTAAGTAAAATATCTCAAGGCCTTGTTTGTGTAAAAATATCTCAAATGTTATTTACTCTTTTCATTTCCTTTCTTTTTGGTTCCTCATAGCTTTGGTTAACTCTGTTAATGCATTTGTTGATACTTTTTGTTTACAGTTGTGTTTATCCTCAGTTAATTGATTTTAATCATTCTCACAGTTTTTATTGCTCTTCAGGGTTTTCGTTGTTTGTTAACACTTTCCACTCGATGTTCCCAGTAACTTTTTCGCATCCCTTCTCTCTTTTCCCTCGTCTTTCAAGCTCTCTTCAGTTAACAACACTCACTATAAGTTGGCTTTTAATCGCCCATTTTTCCTTGAACTCCTTATTTCAAGTGTTAACTTTCATGTTGAAACCTCTCCGTTTCAATCAGTTACCTCTATCTCTTTTCTCGCACTTCTTAATACATATCTTATCTTTGCTTGTTCCTTGTTTCCTAGTTTATCGTTCCAAGTCATTAAAAGTATGGGTGATCGTCAGAAAAATTTTAAATTTAATGCCAGAAATGGTGGTGTTTCCAAAATTCAGGATGAAATGCGCAAAAATCTTCAAAATAAACGAAGACAAGATCGTTTTACGATAAGTGGTGATAAAAGACCAAGCCTAGACGAATGGGATGCAGTGTGTTCATTTTTTGAAAATCAAGCGGTACTCACTCATTCCACCGATGATATCGTTAATTATGTTAAAAGTCATCCATATCTTAATGCAAAATCTACATATCCGGACGGATACATACAGAATGCTTCTGAAAAGTTAAAGGATTATATAAAAAGTGCCATTGAGTTACTTTGTCAACAAAGAGCCATATTCAAACACATTCAGTACCGATTCACTACCTGTGTGCTGACCGCTGATAAATTGCCTATTTTATTGAAAAATGAGGAAACCATTGAAACTGTCATGGACACAAGTGAAGTAAATGTTTCAGTTGCAAGTGATGAGAACGATATTGAAAACATTGCTGATGTGTTCATCACACAAAATACAGTTGATTGCGCATTGAAAATTTTGTCAACACTTATAAACAAAGGCGAATTAACCAAGATCGACTCTTCTCTATTAATACTTTTGATCGAATTTATTGCTTTTATATCATCTCTAAGACCATCATGTTTTAAATTAACATTTCTTCAAGAATCGTTTAATGATTTTCTTCAAACCATCGCATCGCCTAAATCCTCGGATCTCAATCATATCACAAATCTACTCTTCTTCTTGTATAACATCTTTGAAGCAAAGAGCTTACCAATTGACTCATCTATATTTGCACTGATCCTCGCCATAGAAGAAAATTTTCACCATCTTGCTTCAACCTTAAGCGATACCCACAGCACGGAAGAGTCCACGATAAAGTACTTTATGGGAGTGTCAGTGATTTTTAAATTTGCATTTGAATGTATCAAAACAGAGAAAGAACAGATCGGAAGAGACCAAACATTCGCTATCTACCAAAAGTTCCAGCCACTTCTCATTGACTCTGCTAAAGTAATGGTCCGTGAATATCCTTTCATCTCTTTAAACCTCAGTTCAATCCTGGCCGACTACTCTGATTTTTATGTTGGTATTCTTACCCAAGAGAGCGTTTACCGTTACGTCATTAAAACTTTTAGAGATTCTGGTCTCATGAAAAATTCTTACCGAATGGCCATAAATTTGGCTAATAAACTGGAGCCCAATGAATTCGAAAATTTTTTGACGCAAAGTAATTTTTTCTACAATTTTGCTGAATCTTTAAAACTTGGTAAACATGAGGCTAGCCGAGCTTCATATAGCGTCTTGGAAATTGTATTTAAAAGACTACCTCTTCAGTTTGTTGCTTTAAATTTAATCGACAGTGGACTATTCAACCAAATATGTGAACATTACTTTTGGGGTTCGGACCAAGATAAATTAAATTTTCATCAAATCGCACCTATTGTTCTTAAATGTGAACAATCTTCACAATATATTGATACACTTCTAGACTCAGATCTATTGAGTGCATTTTTTAGTGACATAAATAAGGCAAGTGATGGGGAAATTTTCAACGCTATTTTCTGTGTATATAAACTTTTCGAGTGGAGCAATAACGCTGGTAAATTGGAACTTTTCAAGGAAAAAATTCAACAGACTTTAGTGCTGACTTGCCTTTATAATCCTGAGATCACCAATCGAGGTAACTCTGAACTGGAAGCAGAAAGAAAAACTATTCTCGGGTTATTGCATGGTAAATTTGCCAATTAAATTTTACTTCAATTTTTTAATAATTGTTTCAACCAACAATCTGGTTTTAATGGACTTTTTCCATCACCTTAACCACTTTATCCACCATTTTTTTCAATCTCTCCAATTACTTTTTATCGTATTGTCCACTATATTGTCCACTGCCCAAATCTAACATATCCATCACACCAAATCATTTACCATCAAATTTTAAAGAGACTTTTCTCAAAAAAATTGTCCAACCAAATCCACCAAATTTGTTCAACACTTTTAAAATGGATCAAAATGATGGACATTACGATGAAAAAAGTGATGAGATTGATACGAGATTGTAAAGGCCGGTCCCATAATTAAATATTAAACCCAATTGAATTTATTTTCAAGTAAATAAACAACAATTTAACACCCATTCCATGTACATTGTATTTCTATTCAAACAAAATTCAACTGAAATAAATATTGTACTCAGTTAAATATTGGACTTGAAAATTAATCTGTAAGTATTTATAGTAACATGAGTCTTCATGTGAACTTGCTTTCAATCCTGTTTACATTTACATTTACATTTACAGCAAACACAAAGTATAAACTTTATTGTTAATGAGTTAGAGGGCAAGATTTAATTAGCCATCAAAAGCACTCACCTTAGTTTAACATAAAATGGCCGATCAAAAAACCGAGCAGATTTATTTCAAGAAGTAACCGTAAATTTTACGGTTTTTGGAATGATGACTCCAACAGTTAACGCTCAATTTACCCTCAACTCTCTCAACTCTATCGGATTCATTTATGATAATCAGTCTATTTTTGTACCAAAATTAGCTTACCATGGAACTCTGAATGTTACTTACTTACATCTTCCCCGATTGAATATCCATTTCACCAGGGGACCCACTAAGGAACCTTTAAACACCTTGACAGTTTAAAAGCTGCTCCAACATTCAAACCTCTCATATTCAACACTGGAAACTTGTTTTAAATTACTTCCATCATCTTTAATTAATTAAATATTGTACCTCACCAGAAATGAAAACATTGTAGCAAGGAAACCTTACCTTTCCCCCAATCTAAAGTTCAATTAATGAAGATGATCATGATCATTACTTTGAATGTTTATTCATGCTGGCGCTTACATTTTTGTTATTGTTAAAACAAATTGAGATGATTAAGACCGGTTTTTGGATATATTTTGCTAATGGAAAAGTTAACCAGCGCTAAGTCCACCGACTCCAAGATTATGGAGTCCACCATGTCCAGCCAAATGATTTTTAACCGTCAACCATTTGAAAAACAAAGGATCAGCCACGACAGGTTGGTACGTTTCAAAGACCCTGTGAAAACAAAGACGGAAAGTTAATCCAGATTATTAGTTAAACAGATTTAAATTAGGTTAAAAACAGGTTTCTTTGTTGCACTTAAACCCAATGTTGCACCCTTGCTCATCAGTTCTCAACCCTGATAATTAAATTGTAAATAGATCTTGAGTCAGGATTGAGATTGGTTAAATATTATATTTAAGTTTAATTTGTCATTAGCAATAACCAAAAGTTGACCTTTGCTTTCTGGTTTCTAATGTCATTAAAATTAAATAATATAAATCAAGGCAGGCCAACTCTGAGAAAAGATTGATTTCTGGCAAATTAATCTTGCTTCAAATAATAAATAAGAATGTTTTATTATATTATTTGCCATTTCAACATATCATGCACCAATTGCGAGTCTTTTTCAAAAAATAAAAATTATTTATTCGTCACTTCTCTCTTAAAACCAGATTGACTCTGAAACTAGTCAATTTCAACCAGTAACTTGTTCGAGGTGAAACAGTGCACTTTGATGCATTTTTGTCTACACTCAATGGTTAACTTTTTTATTTCCTCACAATGTCTTCTGAAATTGTTTTTAATGTGAAAATAAGAAATCATGAAAACCTAAAAGATGACCTCAAATTGTAACAATTAATAAAGTAGCTTTTTTCATATCAAACATCAATAAATACTACAACTTGTAGATTCTGTAGATTCTCAAATACATTGGTCAACTCATCATGTCTTTCAATGTTTCATTTTCGGTTTTTTCCAGAAATCTTTTTTGTACGTCTTGCAGGGAAAGTCTCTGAAGGCAAATGTAAAGCCCTTTTGTACCTGAAAACTAAGCTAGTAAAAGATTAGTTTGCCCCCTTTCAAAGCTTAATCACCAAAAGCTAAGGTTGTTGTTTGGTTAAGATTGAGATTTGAAACTAGGATTCAATCGGATTGAGTTTGAGAAAGGTAATTGCTTTAGGAAATTGGTAAGGGTAAACGAGAACCCGTCAGCTCACTTTTTCATCTTCAAAGTCTCAGCTGACTGGAGTAAAAGTATCAGCGCTAAGAGCTGACTAACTTTTCTTTAATTAAATCAAATCTGATTTAACCTAAAATGATCTATCTTAGACTGGTATCAAATAATCTAAATAAATCCAGACTAGATTTAGCTAATAAGATTTGATTTAATTAGTCTGAGCGAAGCGAAGACTATAAGATACCTCCTACGCTTCCTCAAAAAATCACTTCGTCAACAATAACTTTCAAAGTAATTGCCTGACCATTTTCATATTAACTGAGAATGTCCATGAACAAAAGTTGAATTTCTGAAAGGGCAGATTTTTTCAATTAACACTTCCGTTTCCGGTCTACTCAAGAAAAACACATTTTAACCAATTTGAGTACAAAAACCAAACCGTTATGCTGAATACATTCCCGTTTTGTATTTAGATAGCAGCACATGTAATCTTGCTCATAACAAATACATTGTCACTTACCAACTTCCGGTCTAGATATTTTCTTCAAAAACAACTTTTTTCCGACGTTCCTTTACCGTTACCTTTTATCTTCCGTCAGTATACCTATCGTGTTCTCCATCATTGATATACCCGAAAAAAGTTCATCTTTAAGTTCAACTGTAACCTTTTTTGGTCATCTCCTAAAATTTACGTTTTTTCGAAATTCAAAAAGTAAGCTTTGATACTTAACCAAACTATTACATAGGAGAACAAGAAAGGTCTTTCATATGTAGCACTCAGTCGTGTGAAGACACATAATGGGCTTATGCTTTTGAATGTCTTTGAGAAGAGGCTTGATTATAATATCTCTAAATCTGACATGATAGCTTCTAGATATGAATTCCTTAGGAGGTTTGTCTAATCTATTGGTGAAGTTTTTACGATATTTATAATATAAATTATAAATTATTTGATACACAAGTGCTGTAAAAATTGATTACATGATGCATAAAATTGGAGTAAAGGACTGTTGACAGAAACTTCGATTTCACAGTTAAGAGATATGGCTTTGTGAGTTTTTTCAGTGCATGAAAAATAAGTCCATTAGTGCTATGGAATACCGGTAAAATTGAGTTTCAGATCTCACGCTCTTGCATTCACAGAAAGCGGTCAATTTAACTGTAAATCGAAGTGATTTGTTGCAGAGAAACAGAATTTATCATTAAAGTTAATTGCATATTCTGGTTAATCAGCAAAAGAACCAGAAAAAATCTGGTTTACTTATTGAAAAAAGGCGAACGAATTTTAAACTATGACTTCATTTTTTTTCGAAAACTGTCGACCCAAAAAATTTTCAATGGCACCTATATCCTCAGTTTATATACCCCTAAAAACTCATCAAGTCCCAACTCTAAACGGTGAAATCGAAGTCTTTTGTCCATAGTCCTATGAATCTTAAAATTATTTAATTATAAATGCTCTTTTCGTGTTTATTGATGAAGCTAAACGCGAGCTCAGACTACGCCGCTTCACGGCTGACCTAGTTAAAGAAAAGTTAGTCAGCTCTTAGCGCTGATACTTTTACTCCAGTCAGCTGAGACTTTGAAGATGAAAAAGTGAGCTGACGGGTTCTCGTTTACCCTTACCAGGAAATTGGCTTTTTAAAAGTATGCTTTGATGATGGGTTAAAATGATCGTTTACTTGGTTTGGCTTGAGAAATTAATTAAAATTTGATATTTAAAAGATCAAAGGTTACTTACGGGACTGGAATCGGAATTGGAAATGGTAATGGAAGAACAAACTTTTTAGCTCGATATGTAACCAAAAGAGCGGCAGCAATTTTCTTGGCAAATTCATATTTCTGATGGTTGTTGAGGTTGAATAGATGACGGATGTGATCATGGTCAGCCAGGGTAAAGTTGATCGTTAAAAGTATGGAGAGAAGGCAAAACACTGAGAAATGTGTGAAGTTCATTGTGACAAAAGTGGGTTAACACAAGAGTTAAACAAATTAAATTATTCAATTGAAAACACAGAAAAGTATGGAAATGAAAATTGATTTATTGGTCAATCAAATTGAATAGAGAAGGTGAAGATTGTCTTAAAATCATTTGTAATTAAAAAGGAAAAGAAACGCAAATCACTGATGAGCTCAACTTTTCGATGGACAGAGTTTACTTGCACAGTTCAAAGTGGTCATTTGATTTATCAATGCAATGAGTGAAAGATGAAAGCAAAATGATGATGATGGCAAATGATTATTTTACCCTAAATTAGTATGATTTTAATGAGAATTTTTGGTAGAAAAAGATATTTAATTGTATTCATATTGAAGCGCAATTTGGACTTTTACTTCTTGCTTCAGCAAAATTCGTACACCAAAAATTAAGCCTCGATACGGTTACTAACACTGATTAATATAACGGTCAGCATTATAATCATCATTGAAACGCTTGGTTAATGGGAAACCAAATTGTCTTCATTTTCATCTTTTGAAAGTGTCCATCTTTGATAGCCATAGATCGATGTAACAAATAAAAATTCAAAGATACAAAGGCTTCAGCTATTTCTTTATGGATATTGACCTGAGAAAGACTTACAATTTAGAGTTAGAATTGGTTCAATCAAAATTGGTACTTTAAAAGACATTAAACCAGCAAATTGGGCTGATACATATTTGAATTACATGAAACGTTTTGTTGAAGATTTAGCCTGGAATCTTGAATCAGGCTATCTTTTTAGATTGATTAGCAGCTTAGTTGATACTTTTAAGGTAAATCTGCTCTAAACATGTTGATCGGCCGTTCAATGAATTTGCCAATGCTGGTGTTCCTGCTCTTCATATTACATGCATTGAACTAACAACATTACCAGTGGCTGCCAATTCGTTGCCAATAATTTGATTAGTTTTGTCGTTGAAAGACATAAAAATAATGATTAAAAAACCATAAAAGACACTAATAATGGAGGAGCTCCTTGAATAGAAAAATGGGCGATTATATCGTTTTCATCGCTCATTGTTATTCACTTTCGGTATTCTTCTTCGACCGATTGCTGGAGGAAAACACTTGAGTGTATAAATTGACCATCATAACGGAGTGCTATTCATTATGTTAGACAAAAACTCTTTGCACCATTCGATCAAAGTATCACAACCAGTTATTAATACATGAATGGCTCTAGCTAATGTTAGAATCAACACTTTATTCAATTCCTCCGAGTCATGAGAGATCCTGATTTTTTGGTTGCTACTAAAAAGACACAATCAACACAATTGTCACATTTATACACATAATGGCAAAAAGCGTAACAAACAACATGGGCAAAAACGGGTAGAAATTAGTTTCTTTCAAATTTAAACTCTGTTGGCCTGTAGTAACATAAAATTTGTATCGATTTGTGTGATTTAGAAGTTTCTTTGATGAATAGTTTTCAAGAAACTCGAGATCAAAGTCGTAACTTCGATCGCCTTTTGTTCAACTATACAACCAGATTTTTTCATAAAACTCATTTCACCGATGTAGCTTCTTATGAGCAACCAGGAAATGCATTTATTATGATTGATAGAATTTTCTGTCTTCTGTAAAACAGATAAGTTCGATTTTCAGTTAAACCGATAACTTACTATGACTGCAAGATTTAGCGATTTGAAAATTATTATTTGTCCATACAAATTGTTCGCTCACATAATGATAATGGAGTGATATTCATGATGCTGGATAATAGTTCTTTTCGTCATTACAATGAAGTATCACAACTAGTTACATGAATGACTCTTGCTAATGTAACACACCCTTAATAATGTAACCTATGAAGACCCTTTCTAAATCACACACACCCTTATCGATTTTACATGTTAAAGATTAGAATGTAGTTGTATATAAGTTAAAGAACTGGATAATCGTAAAAGTTAGTTCCTCCTGAACTCTCCATGAGTAAAGTATAAATTCATTACACTTATGTTAAAATCAACACTTTATTCAATTCCTCCGAATCGTGAGAGATTCTTATTTTTGGTCCATTTTGATACCGTTTGAGTCGAGTAGTATCACAACCTAAATACAAAATTATTGTTTATTTTTAAGATTTGCTCGGCATTTACACTTGGATTTGACTAATTTTAGTGTCAAAAATTATAAAGCAAAGACAAAGAATCAAATAAGAATCAACTTTATTTCATTTAACTATTAGTTTCATTGCAATCAATTCCATTTTTCAAAATAATAGTAAATTGCTTTTTTCATTGTTATTAGGCCAACAATCGAAGCTTCTATGATGAATGGATAGGCCAATAGATTTACATTCATTGCATTCAATTCAATCCCCCAGTATACTATGGATGAGATATGTAAATCCTCTGATAACAAATTGGATTAGTGGTCAAGAATTTTCATCACCTCGGGTCAACCAAAAGACTTAAAAAACAAATCAAATATGAAACCTTTCGGTCGAACAGACGAATTCGTGTTGAAAAAGTCTCATCATTTAATCAAACTTCGAATCCTGAAAAACTGAACTTAATAAAAGATGAGCATTTATGCCAGTCAACTAGATTTTAGAATAATCTTATACTTATATTGGTTAATTTAACGTTGGAATTGCTCTTTATCTTATTGATAAGATTCTTAATTTTTTAAACGTTTTCTTCGGATTAGTGATCTAGAGGTTTCGATACCTGGGGTCACTAGATGCAACATAAACGGTTTAAACTATTCATGGGAGATGGAATAGGCGACTATAAAAGGGCTAAAAAAGTCAAAGACACAACCATAAAAAATTCATCATTCGTGTGTGTTTGTTCAAATTGAAATCAACATGTCCAGTATATTCAAACCTTCCTCACCATTTTATGTGCCAGGACAAGGCTCCTCTTCCTACTATCAGCCATGTAACTCAAGCGAAGAGTCAATGGATTCCACCTGTGATTACGATTCCGATGACAGTGTCTATCAGAGCGAGCCACTGAACCTCTCTCTTAAAGTCTCTTCGCAACCCATGCAGGAAGATGTGGTTCAGGAAGACGAGCCTGAGTCAGAACCTGAGTCAGGACGACCAGTCACCATAACTGATGAAATGTACGCGCAGGCCGTTGAAAGTGCTCGTAATGATGGATATGATGAAGGACGAGCAAGTTTCGCACCTGACTTGGAGTCTCTTGCTAAAAAACTAAGTAAGTTTCTTCAACAATCAGTTGAATTCAGTGATTTATTTTTCATCTCATAACTTTTGTATCTAACAATCAAACTAAATATTTTATCTTTACTCAACAGAAATTCCTCTTCGAGTGTTCCGATCGATTGAATTTGTTAATGGAGGCCATGGAATCAAGAATCCAAGATTTAGTGGAAAGGCTAAGCAAGTTATTCAACCGGGTTTTGATGGTCTGTGGAGATGTTCAGTTTGTGTGAAACCGTTCCCTTTGCCTCGGTTGCTTAGTCGACATTTTAACACCCATTTAGACGAGAAACGATTTTTATGTACATTTTGTGGAAAGGGCTTCAATGATACCTTTGATCTTAAAAGGCACACCAGAACTCACACAGGTTAGTTATTTTTGACAATTTTCTTACACTAATCTATTTCAATGAAATTTGGGTGAAATTGATCAACAATATTCGAACAAATCTTGATTATTGCTAATTATTTCTTTCTTTTCATTATTTTGTCTAATCTCTCACATAATAGGTATTCGTCCATACAAATGCGACCATTGTGATGATTCTTTCACGCAAAGATGTTCCCTGGAAACACATGCTCTTAGAATCCATGGTATTGAGCAGACATATGCATACAGAGAAAGAAGGACTAAATTGTACGTTTGCGAGGCGTGTGGACACACTACCGATAAATCAGAAACACATTATCTTCATCTTAAAAATAATCATCCTGATTCTCCCGCTTTGGATAAGGTCAACGACAAGCGTTTCTTCAAGTTTGATGATCCTGATTTCCCATTTGCTGAATGAAAATATCAATTCCTTGGCCAGTTTCATTATTATCTGTCTCATCATCAGAACCGTCCACAATTTTATTGGTATTTTTTGGGTGTTACCACCATTTTGCTACTTTTTCACAATCTCTTTTCATCTCAATTGGTTTATTTGAAACAAGAAAAAATCCACTCCTGATGACAACGATTCTGAGTAATTTATTTAATATTATATTGTATGCAAAAATATTCATATCAACTTTTGATATTGACAATCGATTATGTTGTATTTGAATAAACAAAAAAATTTAAAAACTGATCTGTAAATTGTCTTTTCACTTTTATTGCTACTCTTTGAGTTACCAACCATGAAGTCGACTAAAAGTTGATTGATGGTTCGCTATAGCCAACGCTAGTAATTTCGATCACTTGTGTTGATACAATTAACTTGTGTTAGTACAAAGAAGTACAGAAGAGAGACAAGAAAGAGGCAGAGAAGTACTCATTCCAGTACCTAAGAAATATGGTTCATTGATTTAACACATAAGTCTTTGTGACCAAAAATGAATACTAAACTAACCAACTGATTGTTCAATTGTGCTTTTTTTTCCGTAACTGTATTGAAATTTTGATAATACTCGGTAATTGCTGGAGGAAAACACTTGAGTGTACAACTTGACCATCATAACGGAGTGCTATTCATTATGCTGGACAGTAACTCTTTGCACCATTAGATCAAAGTATCACAACCAGTTACATGAATGGCTCTTGCTAATGTTAGAATCAACACTTTATTCAATTCTTCGAAGTCATGAGAGATCCTCATTTTTGGTTGCTTCTAAAAAACAAAATCAACACAATTCTCACATTTTGCACAAATCGACAAAAATTGAACCAACAACATGGGCAAAAACGGGTAAAAATGAGTTTCTTTCGAATTTAAAATCTGTTGGTTTGTAGTGACATAAGATCTGGATCCATTTGTGTGATTTAGAAGTTTCTGTGATGAATAGTTTTCGAGAAAATCAAGATCGAAGTTGAAACTTCGATAGCGTTTTATTCAGCTATGCAAGCAAATTTTTTCCAGAAACTTATTCCACTATTTTACCTTTTGATGAACAATCAGAAAATGCATTTATTTTGAGAAATAATATCTTCCGTGTCTGTAAAACAGATCAAGTTCGATTTTCAGTAAAACCGACCGATTTCTGTGTTCTTAAGAGTTAGAGAGCTGAAACTTATTACCAGTCTATAAAAATTATTTGTTCACGTCATGGATTGAATCAGTTTTTCAATTCATCAACGGTTCTCTTGATTTTGGCCATTAGACTAAAAACTTTGAGCCTCAATATTTCGATAATGGCATAACCTAAAATCATGATTGTACGACCAAACATCAGAATTTATTATGAGCTATAATATAATATGACTAAATATATTTAAAAATGAATATCTTTCTAACAATTAAGGATTGTGTTTGAGTAACCGTTTTACTTTATAAATCAAGTTCAAATCTGATAGCATGTGTAATACAATGCTATAACTTTTTCAGAAGGGTCTTAAATAATTTACTATTTCCATAAGTCATAGCCCATAATAAAACCTAATCTTGAGCCAAAGAATGATGGTTTTAAGTTATGCCATTCTCGAAATATGGAGGCTCAAAATTTTAAGTCCAATGGCCAAAATCAAGAGAACTGTTGATGCATTATGAAAAATATTTGATTCAAGATGCGTAACAACAATTTTTATAGACAATTAATAAGTTTCAGCTAGCTAACTCTTAAGATTCCAGCTAACGGTCGATTCAAACGAAAATCGAACTTAGCTGTTTTACAGAAGCACAAAACTTTATTTCATGTAATCAAGTGCATTTTCCGGTTTTCCATTGAAATTTACATAAGAAAAATGATTTTCATGAAAAAATCTGCTTCCAAAATTGTACAAAAAGCTTTGCAAGTTTCAACTGCGAACACCATTTTCTCGAAATCTGTTCATCAGAGAAATCTGCAAATTGCACAAATAAACGCACTTTTCATGTCTCTACAAACTATCAGAGTCTTAATTTACAATGAATCAGTTTTTGCCCGTTTTTGCCCATTTTCCTGAAGTATTTTGTCAGTTTGTATCAATTTTTGTGCTAATTGATTTTTTCATTGTTATTAAGACAACAAAGGAAGCTTCGTTTTATGATGAATGGAAATTAAAATGGACTCTTGACATTTGTATTTTAACAATTATGGATCCATAGTCCATTTTCAATCATCACGTATATCATGGATGGTCAAGTGGTGGATTAGTGGTCAAAAAGTTTCATTACCTCAGGCCAACTGTGAAGATAAAAGACTTAAAAAACAGATCAAATATGAAACCTTTGGGTTGCAGAGATGAACGCGTGTTAAAAAAGTCTCAACATCGTCTAAAATAATCTTTTATTTACGTTGGTTAATTTAACGTTGGAATAGCACTAAATACTATTGATAAGATTCTTAATTTTTTAAACATTTTCTTCGGATTAGTGATCTAGTTGTTTCGATACCTGGGGTCACTGGGGAGTAGATGTGAAATAAACGGTTTAAACCATTCATGGGAGATGCCAATGGGCGACTATAAAAGGGCTAAAAAAGTCAAAGACACAACCATAAAAAATTTATCATTCGTGTGTGTTTGTTCAAATTCAATTCAACATGTCAAGTGTATTCAAACCGTCCTTTCTGAAAAACCTCCAATTGTTAGCGGATGCTAGTGGTCTAAGATCCGCAGAAGATCAAGAGAAGGCTGAACCAGGTCCATCCTCAGTGCTTTATGTGCCTGGGAAATTCCATCAATCAATTTCCATTATTAAACCGTGTACCTCAAGCGAGGAGTCAATGGATTCCACCTGTGATTGCGATTCTGATGATAGTCTCTATCAGAGCAAGCCACTAGATCTCTCTCTTAAAGTTCCTTCGGAACCAATGCAGGAAAATGTGGTTCGAGAGCCCCAACCAGAGCCAGAACTTGAGTCGGAACCAGAGTCAGAATCAGAGTCAGAGTCAGAACGACCACTCATCATAACTGATGAAATGTACGAGCAGGCCGTTGAAAGTGCTCGTAATGATGGATATGATGAAGGAAGAGCAAGTTTCGCACCCAACATCGAGTCTCTGGCCAAAAAACTAAGTAAGTTTCTTCAACAAACAGTTGAATTCAGTGATTTATTTTGCATCTCATAACTTGTATCTAACAATCAAACTATATATTTTATCTTTACTCAACAGAAATTCCTCTTCACATGTTCCGGTCAATTGCATTTGTTAATGGAGGCCATGGAATCAAGAACCCAAGACTTTCCAATGGAAATGTTAAGCGAATGTTTAAACCATGTTTGGATGATCCTTTAAGATGTCCAGTTTGTGAGAAACGGTTCCGCTTGCCTCGATTACTGAATAGACACCTTAAATGTCATTTAGATGAGAGACGCTATTTATGCACCTTTTGTGGCAAAGGCTTTAATGATACTTTTGATCTAAAACGACACACCAGAACTCATACAGGTTGGTTATTTTTAGAATTATTTTTTTTCTGAGAAATTCTTTGAACATATCTATTTCAATGAAATTTGGGTAAAAATTGTCCAACAATTATCCCAGTGAACTTGATTATTTTTAATTTTCCTTTCTTTTTTTTTGTTTTCACATAATAGGTATTCGCCCATACAAATGTGACCATTGCAATAAGTCATTTACTCAGAGATGTTCCCTGGAAGCACATGCTCTTAAAATCCATGGTATTTCGCAGAGATATGCATACAGAGAAAGAAGGACAAAATTGTACGTTTGCGAGGCGTGTGGACACACTACCAATAAACCAGAAACACATTATCTGCATCTTAAAAATAATCATCCTGATTCTCCCGCTTTGGATAAAGTCAACGACAAGCGTTTCTTCAAGTTTGATGATCCTGATTTCCCCTTTGCTGAATGAAAATATCAATTCCTTGGCCAGTTCCATTATTATCTATCTCATTAGAATCGTCCACAATTTTATTGGTATTTTTGAGCGTTACCAACATTTTGCTACTTTTTTCACAATCTCTTTTCATTTCAATTTGTTTATTTGAAACAAGAAAAAATCCACTCCTGATGACAACGATTCTGAGTAATTTATTTAATATTATATTGTATTCAAAAATATTCATATCAACTTTTGATATTGACAATCGATTATGTTGTATTTGAATAAACAAAAAAATTTAAAAACTAATCTGTAAATTGTCTTTTCAATTTTATTGCTACTCTTTGAATGATCAATCATGAAGTCGAGTAAAAGTTGGTTGATGTTTCGCTATGTCCATCGCTAGTAATTTCGAGCACTCGATACAATTAACTTGTGTTAGTACTGTAGAAGAGAGACAAGAAAGAGGCAGAGAAGTATTCATTCCAGTACCTAATGAATGTGGTTCATTGATTTAACACATAAGTCTTTGTGACCAAAAATGACCAACAAACTAGTAAGCTATGGATAGGAGCCACTGATGTGCATGATGTATTGCTAATCGCTCAAGATACATACAAATACATGATAGAAACTCTTAGCATCAAACGTATGTTTACGTCAATGAATTTGAAAGACTTGAAAATGCCGGTGTTCATAAACAACACATTCAAGATTCGAAAAGTAAGAAAATGCGCTGAATTTGAATTATCGTTTTCATTGCTCATTGTTATCCACTTTCGGTATTCTTCTTCGACCGATTGTTTCAATTGTGCTTTGTTTTTCGTAACTGTATTAAAGTTTTGATAATACTCGGTAATTGCTGGTGGAAAACACTTGAGTGTACAACTTGACCATGCTAACGGAGTGCTATTCATGATGTTGGACAATAACTCTTTGCACCATTCGATCAAAGTATCACAACCAGTTACATGAATGGCTCTTGCTAATGTTAGAATCAACACTTTATTCAATTCCTCTGAGTCATGAGAGATTCTTATTTTTAGTTCATTTTGGTATCGGTTGAGTTGCGTGACGAGCTATAACTGTTCTGAATCTCAATATAGAAGAGTAACTTAAGCAATATGCAGTATCATGAAATTATCTTGCAATTATTTTGTATACTCTAGATATTATATTCTAAAATTCATAAAAAAGACAAATGAAAATGCATGCTAAAAAATCTCAATATAAGCAATATAAAATAAGCAAATACGATAAATTTCATTTCACTATTTATAATAGTTTCATTCAATCATTCGATTTTTCTCAATGACATGAAATTGCTTTTCCATTCTTATTAAGCCAATCGAAGTTTCATATAATGACGAATAATATTATCTAGTATATTTATTTTACGGCGACAAATCATTGTACAGCGTGATTGAAAATGAACTCCGGAATTTTCGCGTTTTAGCAATAATAGATCAGTAGTTTATTTTCACTCGCCACGTATATGATGGATGAGGCTCTAACTATTTTAATCCTTTGATAACAACTTGGATTAGTGATCAATAGTATTCATTACCTCAGGCAACTGTAACACTGTGACGATAAAAGACTTAAAAAATAAATCAAACATGAAACCTTTCGGTCGCACAGACGACCTCCTGTTAAAAGAATCTCATAAAATCAAACTTCGAATCCTGAAAAACTGAACTTCACGAAAAGATGAGTATTTATGCCAGCTAACTTTGTTTTAAAATAATCTAATATTTACATCAGTTAATTGAACATTGGAATAACACTGTAACACAAATTGATAAGACTCTTAATATTTTAATCCTTTTCTTCGTATTACTGATCTAGAGGTTGCGATACCTGGGGTCACTAGATGCGAAATAAACGGTTTAAACTATTCATGAGAGATGAGAATGAGCCACTATAAAAGGGCAAAATGTCAAAAAACTTATCATAAAACCTTTGCAATCGCCTAAGTTAGTTGAAATATCAGCAAAAATGTCTCGTCAATTTATCCCTTCTCCTCTTGACGTGTTAGCGGAGGTTGGTTCGCAAAGACTCGCAGAAGAGCTCGAGAAAGCCAAAGGTGATCCAACCTCAGTGTTTTATGTGCCTGAACAATCACCGCCTTCTTCTTATCAACCGGGTACCTCAAGTGACGAGGGAATGGATACAGCTAGCGATTCATATGATTCTGAAGACAATAAATACTTCAAATCATTTAGTTATATGGTTGTACAACCCGAAGCTTCACACGACGATTCGGACACTTCAGATGACGATTCATTGGACACAACATTTTCATCATACAAATCTGATGTTCCGTTGGACCTTAGAGCAAGGCCGTCCGCTCCAATGTGACCATTGTTATAAAACATTTACTCAAAGATATTCCCTTGAATCTCATACTCTAAAGTCCATGGTATTTCGCATACATATGCATACAAGGAAAGGAGGACAAAATTATACGCTTGCGAAGAGTGTGGAAACACTACCGACCAACCGGAATCACATTATCTCCATCTTAAACAGAATCATCCTTATTCGCCTGCTTTGGCAAAATTTTACGACAAAGACATTTCAAACTTAATGATTCTAATTTTTCTTTTGCTGAATGAAAATATCAATTCCTTGGCCAATTTAAGCCAACTCACTTAATTATACTGCCCTTGTATTATATTTGATCTGAATAATAAACAAATTTCAAACTGATACTTTAATTGCATTTGTCACTTTTATTTCTACTCTTTGAGTTACCAATCATGAGGTTGCCTAAAAGCTTCGAGCATTTGCTATAGCAATCGTTAGTAATTTTGAGCCTGTTTTGTTGGTACAATTAGTACTGTAGAAGAAGAGAGACAAGGAAAAAGGCAGAGAAGTACTCATTCTAGTGCCTAAGAAATGTGGTTCATTGATTTAACACATAAATCTTTGTAACCAAAAATGAACACAAACTAACTGAGCTAAACGCAGGATTCACTGATTTTTAGGATGTCCACTGATCGCTCAGGATGTATTGCTCATCACTCAACTCAACCGATACCAAAAACAGACTCTCTCATTACTCCGAGGAATAAATAAAGTGTTGATTTAACATCAGCCAGAGTCATTCAATATTATTTGTATTAAATTTTGCTTAAAAATTCTGATCTGATGCTAATATCTTAATAAAGTAACGCACAATCATATTACTTAAGCCGTGGCTGCCGACGTCGTCACATATGATTTGACTAATCTGTTGTTGTTTATCACAAAACCATTCCAATAATTTCCTTTGAGTTCTGAAACAATGCTGTTGTAATTGCATCAACTGCTTTACCAGAGGCTATCATGTTTTATTATCAAGCATCAAACTGACAGCAATCACAGCGATTCCTCAGTTAGTCGTGAACGAGTTAAAACAATTTCTTTCCATTGTCCATATTGTTTGTCATATAAAAGAAAGGCAACTTAAACATTGTCCTGTAAAAGTTTTTCTCGGTTTTACTCTTGGGTTTGACTAATTTTAGTGTCATTAAATATACAAAGTTATAAAGGAAAGAAAAAGAATCAAATATGAATCAATTTTATTTCATTTCACTATTTGTTTCATTGCAATCAATTCCATTTTTCAAATATTAATAATAAGAAATTGATTTTTTCATTGTTATTAAGACAAAAAATTAAGCTTCGTTTTATGACGAATGGATAGGCTAGTGACAGTTATATGCACTTTCATTTATTTTACGACCAAAATTATTGTACTTATTATTGAATCGTATATTATGAATGAGGATCTAATTATGCTAATCCTTTGATAGCAACTTGGATTAGTGGTCAAGAGTTTTCATTACCTCGGGCTAACGGTGAAACAGTGAAGATAAAAGACTTAAAAAACTGACCAAATACGAAACCTTTGGCTAACACAGACAAACGCGTGTTAAAAGAGTCTCATCATTCAATCAAACTTCGAATACTGGAAAACTGAACTTCATGAAAGAGTAGCATTTATGCCAGTTAACTTTATTTAAAATAATCTAATATTTAGATCAGTTGATTGAACGGTGGAATAGCACTGTATATTATCGATAAGACGGTTAATATTTTAATCCTTTCCTTCGGATTAGTGATCTAGAGGTTTCGATACCTGGGGTCATGCGGGAGTAAAGGCGAAATAAACGGTTTAAACCATTCATGGGCGGTGAGAATGGGCAACTATAAAAGGGATAAAAAAGTCAAGGAGCCAACCATTACAAATTCATCGATCGACTAAGTTAGTTGAAATATCAGTGAAAATGTCTAGTCAATTCATCCCTTCTCCTCTTGACCTGTTAGCTGAGGCTAGTGTGCAAAGACTTGCTGAAGAGCGAGAGAAAGCCAAATTTGATCCATCCTCAGTGTTTTATGGGCTTGGACAATCACCGTCTTCTTCTTATCAACCAAGTACCTCAAGTGACGATGCAATGGATACCTCTAGTGAGGCTGATGACAGTCAACTCTTGGAATCATCGTTTTGTGAATATCAACAATCATTCTTATACGACGTTTGGGAAACTTCAGATGACGATATATTCAAATCTGATCAATCCTCAGTGTTTTATGTGCCTGAACAATCACCGTCTTCTTCTTATCAACCGAGTACTCTAAATGACGAGGGAATGGATACCACTAGTGATTCTGATGACTTGGAATCATCGTTTTGTGAATATAAACAATCATTCTTATACGACGTTTACGGCACTTCAGATGACGATTCTTTGGACTCGACATTTTCATGCAAATCTGATATCACGTTGGACCTTAAAGTCCATCCTATTCCGCACACATCTGATTACAAGGAAAGGAAAAGGACAAAAATTTACATTTGTGAAGATTGTGGATACACTACCAAGCAACCGGAATCTTATTATCTCCATGTTAACCAGAATCATCCTGATTCGCATGCTTTGGAAAAATCTTACGACTGGGACACTTCAGATGACGATTCTTTGGACTGGACATTTTCATCATGCAAATCTGATATCACGTCGGACCTTGAAGTCCATGGTATTTCGCGCACATATGAATACAAGGAAAGGAGGAGGATAAAAATTTACATTTGTGAAGAGTGTGGATACACTACCAAGCAACCGGACTCTTATTATCTCCATGTTTTACAGAATCATCCTGATTCTCCTGCTTCGGAAAATTTTAACGACTAAAGACATTTCAAGTTCAATGATTCTAATTTTCCTTTTGCTGAATGAAAATATCAATTTCTTTGCCAATTCATGTAAACTCACTTTATTGTACTCCCTTGTATTATATTTGATCTAAATAATAAACAAATTTCAAACTCATTTTTTGATTTCAATTCTCACTTTTATTTTCATTTCTTTTCATTTTCCATATTGTTTGTCCTTTCCTCTAAAGACTCTATGCTGAACAAGCTCTTAGAGCTATGGAAGTTACTATCGGATTGTGACTTGGTTTCATAACCATCTCAACACAGAAGAGTAACTCAATTTTTAAACCGACATTTTGACAACCTGTTATTCAGGTATTCATTTCGTTTGTATCTTGATAGTCCAAGAAAAATTAGAAATGTATTTACCATTAAGCAGATAAATTATGATCATCGAATTTAAAGGCCTGTTATACCGAATTAAATTTTTGTATTGAAAAAAGTCGTTTTCTAAGCAATTTATTTTGTCTACTTCACAATGCGACCCGTGAAAGAGTAGTACGGGGAAAAATCTGTGCTGGGATTGAGAATGAAATAAATTATAAAGTTCCAGTTCATGTATATTGTTTTTTTTGTATAATAGTAATAATTGTAATTGTAATAATAATAATGATAGCGATTAGATTCAAGGGAGTTTGACGAAAAAAAGACAAAGAAAGGAAGAGATAAAAAATGGCAGATTATGGAGAGGGATGAAATGGTTGATTGATCCATGGTAAAAATGGATCTTCTCGTACAGAGCATTAACTTGAAAGCTTTCAAAAATGAGAACGAAAGCAAGTTTTGGTGGATGATTTTCGAGAAAAGGATGAAAAATGAAAATCAGAAGAAATGATGAAGATTGTATAAAAAGAAGTGGGACTGAGAAAGAGATAGAGTAATGGGGTAATGGGGAGAAATAAAGATGATTGCAAGACCACGTTGTGTCCCAGGAGTTAATTCATATTACGAATTATGATTTGACATATACACATAAATATATCACCATTTGTAAAATGGGCTTCGGAAGGCCAAATAAAATATCCTTTTGTTCAACATTCTCAAAAATCAAAGAACAGAACAGGTGAACCACACAATAGATGAGGATGAATTTAATTTGTGTTTGACCCCAGATCAACTTGGATCAAGTTACTTCAGCCATAAAAAAATTGTCCACATTCAATTTTGTCAGTTGATGACGATCAGATTCCATCACTTTCGATGCATGAATGCCATTTGATTTAGCCATACACTTTAACTACCAAACATATTTTTTGATCCATGCATGTGCGTTATGAAGATGAAATTAATGATGATTTGATGAAACTTATATATATATTTATATATACCCTCTAAAGGTTTTTAGTCCAATTTCTTTAGTCACATAAGTTTCTTTTGTTTGTTTCCTTAGAAAAATGAGCAAATATGTTATTAATGATCAGATAATTTTCAATCTTTGTTCCTTTGAGCTTCTATCTTAGTCAAATGATTGTCATTGGATCATAGTCAATTCTGTAGCTTCTTGATTAGATACATTCGATAAATTATGTCCACGGTTGTTATTTATTGCATTACTAGAAGTCTTGATTGATAATTTTTTCCAAGGCCGTCGAGCTCCTTTTCTCAATTCTAAGAGACTACATGCTTTTCGTAAACGTCTATGAAAATGAAAGATTTAAAAAGATATTAATAAATTGTCAAATGCTTTGATTAAACATTCGAGTAAAAAATGAATTGGAAATTAAACTTACTTAGTGGATTCAGTGGCTACAAAGTAAACATCGTCTGGAGCTTCGAACCAGCTCATCATTTGTTTACGTCCACCTCCTCCTACTCTAGCTATGGTGGTAACTTTAGGGCGGCCGTTTATGGAAGGAACGGATGCACCTCTGGGCATACCAGCCATTCCATAGATATCAGCGTTAGTAGGTTTGGACATTATTGGTGGAGCTAAAGATCGTCGTTTCAACTGTACCGCTGGATTGCCTGAATTGCCTGAACATGAAAAAGTTAAATCAGAGTTATTATTTATGTAACTATTTTGATTGTTTATTTGTAAATTACTTTCTGATCCGCCATTCTGCTGGTCATGAGTTCGTTTTCTCACATTCGATGAACCATTATTAATACTCCTCGAGCCTGAGTTTTTGTACATTACTGGAGGATTATTTTCAGATCCTTCAGTGTTGCTGCTCAAGTCAACAGATCTATTCTCAACAGATCTGATATATTGTCCATCTGTTTGAAACAATGAAGCCACAAGTTAGTTTCTCTGCACAAAATTATTTGTAGTCAAATTGATTGTTCAAAACTTTACCTTTTCCTTTTTCAGGTAGTGGAAAAGCTAATCTTTCAGGGACAGGTATTTGATCTTTGGGTGTTAAAATCAGCCATTCGGGACATTCCATTTTTGGAGTTCCAAGACGCTGAGATATGTCAACAACTTTACCCCTATTTATCGGCTTGAGATTGGGTATAATGTGTGCAGCTCCCTCTGATAATTTAACCTGGCCTATAAAGTGATTATCATAAGAAAAAAACAAGATGGAGTTTTTCATTAGTGTCAGATATTTGCATCATGATAAGACATAATTAGCTTTTGTAATCATTAGAACATAATTAACTAATAATTGCCTAAAATTTAGGATGATTATTAGTAAGTTCAAGAATACATCATAAAGCCATCTTGACTCAATCTAGATGTGTCTTAAATCAACCATGCGAAGGTGACGTGGTGATATTCAAGACAGATAAAACTGGTGATTGGAAAAGGTATAAAATATATTGTCATAGAGTGATATTTTAAAGCATTAGAGGTAAGACAATTTAAAATCAGGAAAAATACAATACTTAATTTCAAAAAACTAATTTTTTAATGATATGTAAAATGAAATTGTGGATGCAAGTATTGAATTTTCTAGTATCAAGTATTTTTGGCATTTTTGGCAGTTTGAAATCGTAACTTACATTCTTGTTTAATGAGGGCAACATTAATAGGAGCGAAAGGTGTACGAGCAGCATGTCGTATTTTGAGAATCTGTGAACATAGTCTTCGCGCCAGCTTAGCCGCATGAGTAGTATGGAGATAGAACGCAGCTCTTGTTTTCATTATGGGTCGAGGACTACCAGATCTTATTGCGACTCCGTGAGCTTGAGCACAATGCCTGGCTAGTTGTGTTTTGAATTTAAACTCTTTATTGCAACCAATGATTGAACAACGATGGTTTTGATGGATGGCTAGATGAGCAATAAGCCGGTCTGTAGAAAGAAACAGGAAAGAAATTTAGATTAGAAATCATAAATTTTTGATTAGTACATTCAGACTTACCTTGTCGATTAAAAACTTTATCACATTCGCGACAAGGAAAGGATGCTTGTGAAGCTTCGCTGGGTCTAAAAGCGTTATTTCTTTCGGTGTCAGGGGCTAAAGAGATAATAAAAATATTGCGCATTAGTCAGTTGCAAAAATGAATTAATAAGACAAGATAGAATTAAGAAATTGTTGAGAAAATTATAAATGCATACCTAATTTAGCTGTATTACGAAGTTCACCGTATTTTTTCCAATGTAAATAACAACTTTGACATAAACGATTTGAAAGATGTGATGAGCTCCATGGAAACCATTGAGAAGATGAAGTTTCTGAGAGTTCAAGAGAAAAGAGTTAAGAGTTAAAAGGGCTTAGATTTGAAACAGTTATGCAAACTTACTGTGACAGCCAGCACATGGCTTTCCATGTGATACACTCATCGTACTGAGATTATCGACAGTTTCGTTGTTATCGACGAGCGATTGCTTTTGATTCCTAAATGTTAAAGAGTAATGGTTAGCATACTGAACAATAATTCTGGATAGTACATTGAATACTCACAAATTTGAAATATAAAGTTGCCGTGCTCTATTCTCGGCTTCTGCCACCTTAATCCTTTTTTGCTGTAAATATCGATCCGTTGTTTTCCACATATAATAATATTCAATAATATTTTTCATACTCTTCCAGGATAACTAATAAAAATAAAAAGGAAATGTCAGCATGGAAAAAATTCTGAGGCATCTCATCAGTTGAAAAATTGTAGATACTTACAAAATCTTGTTTAATCTCATGAAAATCCTTGCCATATTTTTCCATTGCTTCTTCGAATAGGCTAGCTTCCGCAGGTGACCATTCTTCCATCTCATCACGACAAAGAACTGGTCCAGTAGCGGGTACAAGACTCAATACAGCAGCACCCATGTCATATTTGTTTTGATGCAAAAGATTCATCGCATGTGCTAGTGTAACGTCCCGGGAAGCTGCTGAAGCTGCCATATGTATACTGGGTTGCTTGATTGAACTAGAGTTATCCAAGGCGCGAGCAAAAGTTCCAACAGATCTGAAAAGGATAAGCAAAATATTTAGTTTCATGAATTACACCGGCTTAGAAAAGTGAGTGCTAATACAACACATGACAAAGGTATATTCAACAATTTATATGAAATAAATTTTGAAAAATGAAGTGATAACTTACTTGGCAATAGTCAGAAATTGTTCGATCTCCTTTTCAGTCAACCCATTATCGGGTCGGTAAACTAAAGTTTCTAGTTCTTCCATGACTCTGTCATCAGTTTTGCCCAATGCTTCTAGAGTTCCTTGGGGTATTTCAGCTTGAAAACTAGAGCCTACTTTAATCTCCCCCCTAATAAGCGTGTGAGTAAAAGTTTCACCATGCAACACATCATCCGGCTGAAACATAGAAATATCGAAGATAAGAGTCAGTTTTCGGGTAAAAAAGGAAGAAAAAAATAAAGAAATATAAAGAAAGAAAAAAAAAGAAAGAAAGGAAAGAGAAATAGATAAGAAATAAGGAAAGAGTGAGGGAGGGAGAGAAAGAGAGTGTGAAAAAAGGAGAGCAAGAAGTATAAATGAATTGATGATCTTAATTGATCAGAAAACAGGTTAATTAATTAAATCAATTATCATTATATTTACCTGATTGCCAAAACTCGCTTCAGTCTTGAAGGCAGCCATAAAGATGTTAATTGGGTTGCCACAGATTTCAATTAAAAATTAACTTGATTATGGTTTTTAAAACAAAATAAACTTAAACCAAAAAACAATTGATGTTATTAATGCTGCCAACAGACTTGGGCCCAAAATGGTGGATCAAACTAAGGACGCTTGTGGGGAGTGGCTTGTGTAGACAGACTCGGCGCAGTCTTTAAAAAGTCAGTGTTATTATCTTATTTATGCCTAAATCTCTTCACATTTATTTTATTTGGTGAATTAATATTCTTAACCCAAGATTAATTTTAAATGTCTTAAAAATAAATTAACCAGTTTAACGATGTCACTGAATCCATTGTGATTTTCCAAGAAAATTTAGCAGAAAAATCAAGGGGTAAAGTTAGGTATTCTTGACTTGATGCTTATGATATTGCTAATAATGAGCATTGAGATGTGATTGGAGTTGGAGAAAGTCATTAATTAATATTTACCATCAAACTTGACAGCTTACACAATTAACAAATATCCATAGACTCAGGCGCATTTTCATTTCAACAATCTTTTCTATACTAAATATTTTAAATTATCTATTAGAATTGATAATCTGATCAAAATTGTTTTTACGTTGAAAGGTTGGTTGCAAGAAGCTTAAGACAATACTTTGGAGTGGAAATTAACCTGCCAATATTTTGCTAATCATCAGGATGAGTAGATTATTATCAAATTTTTGAAAATTATTCATAAATTGATTTCCATTTGATAAACGAAAAACCTTAGTCACAATTATTAACGGAGTAAAATCTTTCCCTCCGATTCAATAGGTCATTATAGTCGGATGCTTTTGCAGATTTTAGGCATAAATTAAAGATCATTTCAGTTGAAGATAATTTCCATTGATTTTCAAGCAGCAATAATTTGTAGTTCAGAGTTGGCTTGTGGTAATTAAATACGAAATTTTGTATAATAAGCAAACTTGATGATTTTGTTGAGTTGAAATGCCATTGATTGAACGCATCGATGTATTATTATGCTGATGGCATTCACTAACTAAAATGATCCAAAACGTGAACTTTAACCTTAATTAAATAGAGATTATCTATTGAAAAATTTAGCTTATTAAAAGCGCACATGTTGATTAATTTAACGGAATTATGAAGAGTTCAAATGAAATTACTCAATTACCTGAAATTGGAAACGCTAGATGGAGGTAGATATTTGAGGTATCCAATGGATCAGATCCATCGATGTTAGATTTGTATTTAACTCATTTTGCTTCAACAACAGTTGTTGTATTTGTATTAATGGGAATATTTGATTTGTTTGTATGATTTTTTTATCTTAAAACTTAATTAATTTATTAGTCAACTCAATTGTTCGTTATTATTGTAAATTATTTCTAGCCATGATGGCTACTCTTAGCCATTGTTTTAAACCTTTTTGTAATCATCTGTGGAAACGTAAATCTTTACTATTGGCAATTGTGATTGTAGTCTCTTTTGGTTTAGTTATTATTCAATATAGAGATGTTACTTCTTCACCTCTTTCATCATCATCATCACTCTCATCTGCTGTATTATATGGGCCATCAAGTGTTAAACAAATGGAAGCAAATATGTTTAATTTAACTCAAAACCGAGCTGTCCTACCTAAACCGTTACATGTAAATAGTATAAATGAAATTCCTGGTGCTGCTGCATCCGAACCATTTAGTGTAATTAATATTGGAGATGGTGAGCCTTCAGATGAAGTAACCCGAACTCGTAGGAACAAGATTCGTGAAATGTTAAAATTCGCATGGGACAATTATGCTAAATATGCTTGGGGTGAAAATGAATTCAAACCTCTATCCAGAAGGGCTCACCATGGTAGTATATTTGGTAGAGAAAAAATAGGTAGGTGTTCATTTTCTTCTTATCTAATCTACTGATCGCTGAGAACAACAGCAAGTTACAAATATACAGTTTTACTTCCACAAGAGCATTGTTTATATAAGCTGAATAACTAAATAAACTCTCTTTATCACTGCGACAGGTTTAACAATTATGGATGGAATGGATACTTTATTCATAGCTGGCTTGAAAGATGAATTTAATGCTGCTCGTGAATGGGTAGAATCGTCATTTACGTTAGAAAATTTTGGCAGTGATTTATCAGTTTTTGAGACAAACATTCGTTTAGTCGGTGGCATGTTAAGTTGTTATGCATTAACGGGTGACAAATTATTTCTTGAAAAAGCTGATTATGTTGCCGCCAAGCTTTTGCCTGCATTCAATACGCCAACCGAAATACCTTATGCATTGATTAATTTGCGAACCAATTCTGCAAAAAATTATTTTTGGGCTTCATCGAGTGCTTCAATTTTGTCTGAAATTGGCACTCTCCATCTTGAGTTTGTTTATCTTTCTGAATTGACCAAGAAAGCTGTTTACGCTGAAAAAGTGATGAAAATAAGAGATCATTTGGACAGCATGGAGAAAGTTAATGGATTATATCCCAATTACATCAATCCCAAGACAAAAAAATGGGGCCATCGTAAGTCAATTCATTCTCAGCCTTTATCCTGATAATTATTCGCAAGTCTATCGATTAATTTTATTACAAATGTTGACCATGACCAGAAGTTGACCAAACTGATTGTTGGTTCAACTAAAGAGGAAGTTAATGACCTCAACTTGGTATAGTGTCCACAATTCATCAGTATATTTTCATTATTTAAAGTAAATAAGAGCAGTGTTATTTCCTAGATTATTACATTTAATCATTTACGAAATCTTTCAAATCAAGTCCTGTAGAACTCCAAGTTTTATAATATTTATCTTGGTGTTTCATCCGTTTGAACAATGAGATTGTCTTTTTAGACTCGTCAGCTTATATCATGTGTAATATAGAGGTTTCCAGTGTTTTTTTATCTCAATCCATCTGGTAATCAACTTTTTACCAAGTGATTATTGCTTTGCTTTGCTTTCAATTGTCAATCAATGCATCAAATCTTCTGTCACTATTCCTATATCATCATCTTTTTTATCTTTTAAATAATAACTATCTTAACAATAACTAACCTGTTCACAGAAATTATTGAACAGCAAAAAAATGTTATTTTCATAATTTTCTCATCAACCAAAATTGACTTTAGGTTTAAGGTTAATTATTATAAACCTACTTCTATTCAATACATTAATATTAATTAATAATGATGGGAAATGGTAAAAAATTGAACATGATTATTGATTCAAGCAAAGCAAAAATTTCTATCCACAAGTAATGTCCAAAATCATTACTTTTGCAACTTTGCATGAATGGTCGAAAATAAAGATTGAAATCGTTCAAAACCGATGACCCACAAAGGTGTCTTGTTATACGCTTATCTCATCATTTGATTATAACTTATGAATCATAACTTATGATCTACTGTGCTTTGCTTACTTTGCTTTGTTAGTTTACTTTGTAAACATATTCAAGTATTATCATTATCTTTCTGTTATACTTTTAGGTTTGAAAAAATTCAAGTTTATCAACCAATAAGTCGATAATGTAACAATTGCAGATCTAGTGTTATACTGACTTAGGCCCACCAACCGCAATTAAAACTTGATCTCAGAATCTCGTCGGCTCAACTGAGTCCGAGCTTAAATCAAAATGTTGATTCAAGTCAGGATCAATGAGATGATCTTGGTAATTACCAAGATCAATTTTTGATTCACTCTTGATAAACCATTTTATTATACTTTTACTATTGTTTGCTCTCATCTATTGTTTGCAATTAACTTTTTGATACACTTAATTACTGTGAATCAAATATTACATTGTTTCACAGTTAGTTATGTTTCTATTCAACTTGATTATGCTATTGATTCACCTATTATTGAAATAAAAATTATTCAGGAAAGAACCTTATTTGTTGGTTGTTAAATCAGTCTCTTCAATCGATATATCATTTAAAAATTTATCAAGTTTAATCACAAAGATCAACCATGAATATTTCTTGGAATAATACAATTCTCAGATAACTTAAAAAATCAATTGTTACAGGTGAACATTCAATGGTTGTTGTCTGTTGAAAATGCATCTAACTTTAAACATTGACTGATTCAATCACTCTTCCTCTATTGATTAAAAATATTATTCAATCAATATCTCTATTTGCTATTACAATTTATTTTTGATTTTCCTTTCTCATCCAAACTTAATTCCCAAAATCAAACAAAATTGACAACCTTAATCATTAAAAGCTTGTTAAATATCCATTAAGTAATAGGAAAAATATTAATTATTTGTTAACCTTTCGATCTTATCAAACTATTTTTCATATCAAAATCATAATTCAAAGGTGTTCCTGTTTCCCTCAATTCACTCCATCAATTATTCACAAATTTTACGCTGTTTATGAGTAAATAATTATAGCCTACGAGCCTATCTGAATGCTTCAAATACTTCCTACACTTACTTTTTCAACGTGCCAGAGTTTTATCATGTCATCACCATGATTTCATCTAGTCTCAATGACTTGTTGAATCCTTTTGAGTGTTAATATCATCCTCTAATTAATAGATTGTTGATAAAATAACAAAAAATGTCAAACTTCTCAGTTAGACTTGACTGTCACATTTTCAACGAAACCTCAACATAAGATCACAAAATTTCATTTCTAAATAAATAGATAATATTTTCATCTTTTGATTGTTGTAAATCAATATTTTTACATCTTTACTGACCCAGAACTGTACATAATTTTTAATCATAAATATTGTTTGGTTTCACAAAATTAGCATGAAATAATCACTGTTATTCAATATAATCTCACCAGCTAAGCCTTTCTCTCACTAAACTTGTTTATATACACTGAAATATCCTATTTATTTGTTGCCTATTATTAGGTTATTTTGTTGTGAATACAATAAGATCAAATAACATACCTTATTTAAATCCTTGCCTAATCTCATTAATTTTATACATTATCAATTTAATCGATAATTGAATTTACAAATTATCAATTCTTATGCTTACAAGCAAACGTAATTATGATATCTATGAACACATCTTTCTGGTAACTTTTATTTTCATCCAAATTTTATTAAATTAATATTTTCATTTCATATTTCTTTAGTTATCAGAATTATTGAATTCAATCGTTGAACCTATTCTTTTCATGGTTACTTGAAACCATCTCAAGCAGATATTTTAATATTACAATGCAACTTGAATTTCATATTAAATATTTGTTACTGACTTTACATTCAAATAACCATCAATTGAATCTTTATTCAAAATTGAAAGCAACCTTTCAATTGAAACAGACAGAGTTAAAACAGAAAATATTGAATCTCATGATAAATACACAACATTTCTGGAATTGAACTTGAAAAAATAACATAACAGGTAACTGACTATCCATAAATCATTTCAATTCAACTTGAAAAATTAATTGTTTAATCTTTCATTTACAAAAATACATTATATACTAATGATGTTTATAATCCAACCCAATATATTAAACAACTAGGCCTGGCCGTAATTATTTCAACCTTACTCCATTAATTGTAACCTTTTTACTTGCTCATTGTAACTCTTTGTTTTTCAGCATAACTATTCAGTTGATTTAAAACGGGAAATCCTATTTTTGTAATTCTCATCACTTGAAACCTTAGCAAGAGATTAGTAAATGAACTTTAATCAGTGACATTTGAACACAAATTTTCACACAATAGTTACGGTTTGCACCTAAAAAGTATGGCTTCATGTTCACACCATTAGTCTGTGCATCTGATTGTCAATTTGTATTTTGTTTCAATTGTATTCAATTTCCAATCTTGAATGTTAACTTGTTATCAGTTTATCCTTTTTTTACCCTTTTGGGTTTACTTTGATTTTGACAATCCTGCGCTTAAAGATGCTTTTTTGCTTCAATTAACCTCAATTCAGCTCAAACTCATCTTACCTTCTTCTTTTTTTCATGGACTTTAGAAAAGGCAAGATAAATACTGTCTCCGATTTCATGCAAACAAATGAATAGTCTTTCTTATTCTTCTCATTGATGATAAAGATACAAATATTTATCAACGAGTTGATAATAAATGCAGTTTGCTAAACAATTGAAAGGGTAACAACTTTAAGATTTAAGGTTGAATGATTTTGAAACAAAAGTCTTTTCATTACCAAGTTATTTTATTCAGATTAACGCTGTTTACCTCATAAGTATTTGCATATTTGTTTTGTGGGAAATATTTAAATACTAGACTGTTTGATAATTGATTTTGCCAAAAAATATTAATTTGAATTTGAGAAATGTTGATCTTTTGTCTAAGTTTCTAGTTAACCCAAATTTCAAAGGTTAATATTGAAGATGAATTTGCACGCAATTGAGTTTCTATTCTTATACATACATTAATATTCACACAATATTTATATCAACTTCTGTTAACCCCAGTGACATGCAAAAGTATTGTGTATAATTAACTAAATTAAAACTAATTTTTCGTTTTTTTCTCTTGTTTTTAATTTAGATCACATTAGTGTTGGAGCTTTGGGAGACAGTTTTTATGAATACCTTTTAAAAGCATGGGTCCAATCGGGTGGAGAAGATGAAAAAGCTCGTAGAATGTATGATGAAGCTATCGATGCCATACAGAAGAATCTACTCAAAACGTCGAAAGGAGGATTATCTTATTTCGCTGAGTTGAAATACGACCGAATAGAACCCAAAATGGACCATTTAGCTTGTTTCATTGGAGGTTTAATTTCTCTTGGAGCTCAATCTCTGGCACCAGAGGAAAAAGTAAAAGCCATGAAAGTTGCTGAAGATGTAACCAATACTTGCCATGAATCTTATATAAGAACAGCTGTTGGCTTAGGTCCTGAATGTTTCAGGTAATTGTGTCCTAAAATTAGTCAACTCTTATACTTTGATGAGCATGGTAACAATCATTAATCATTTAACCCTAACTTGTGTATTTTATCATTGCTGATAAATCGCAAATGACAACAGTTGAATGAAAATTATGCTACAGTGTTTAACCAAGCGCATATTATTATAATAATTATCTACTCATCCAAAGTTTCCTGTATTTTTATGTTTTAATTTTGCTAGTTTGTATTAACTAACTCTCTTTTTGCTTCACTTTCAATAGGTTTACCGCAGATTTGGAAGCAACAGCATCACAATCGGAAAGATATTATATTCAAAGGCCTGAATTAATTGAAAGTTATTTTTACTTATGGAGACTCACAAAAGACCCCAAATACCGCGAATGGGCCTGGGAAGCTGCTGAAGCCTTTGAAAAACACGCTAAAGTTATCGGAGGTTACAGTGGTCTTCGAAATGTTTATGAACTAAATAGCCAAAAAGATGACGTTGAACAAAGTTTCCTTTTTGCTGAAACTTTCAAGTATCTTTATTTAATTTTTTCCGATGACAATTTTATTTCTCTCAATGAATGGGTTTTCAACACGGAGGCTCACCCACTTCCAATTAAGGGTAAAAATCCCGCCTACCCTAGTCAAGATGGATCTTCTGAATGATGATGACGATGATGAAATTAGCAACAAGAGATGATTAAATAATAAACAATTACAAGCTTAACAAAACCAGTGATACTAAGGGATTTAAGGAAGCAACGTTTTGACATAACTTTTTTACGATTTTGTGCTGTTAAAGTGATTTTTTATGGAAATACAGATTAAAAAATACACTTGAAAACAATTGACTCATCAACACGCACATCTTTCACATCTGTTTTCATCTTTGAAACTAAATAACCAGAAAAAAACAAGACAAAAGATACACAAGACAATTAAACCATTGAAACGCTAAAGCCAACATACCTGATGATTTTGAAGATGACAATGATGCTCAATATGGTCTCTATGATGACTATGTTTGATTGATTGAATTACAGTGAAATTAAGTGGATCATCTTCCTGTTCAGCTAATGAACTCTTTCATCTTACCTATGAAGACAAGAAAAGTTCTCCTTCTTTTCTTCACTATTCCTGTTCAGTCTGCCTTACATGGAAATAATTCGAGAATAAAATAGCAATCAAATGAAAGACTCTTCTGATTGAATTTTAACCAACCTGTCATTTGATATTCATTTTTAGTTGTGCAATTCTTTGAAAATGAAAAACTTGTTGATCTAAATCAGACAAGTAATATTAATCTTAAATACCTTCTGTGACCTTAGTTTCATTTTAAATTGTTTTCTTTCTCTTAAAATTTAATGCTTTTCAAACAGTTTCTCTCCACATCTTTTTCAGTCTCTTGGTTCATCATTCAAACTCAAATGGCAACTGTTATATTAATTTTCATTCCAAATCCCCAATGTAATTTGAAATATCCACTGTAAAACAAGCTTATCCTTACTTCCCATTAGGGTCAAAAACCAAACCAACGAATTGTTTCCACACGTCTATAATTCTGATGCTTAAAACTCATGTCACCTCTTTCCCTATCTTTCTAATCATTTTATCAATGTTTTCTTCTTTTCCTCTATTGTTACCTCGAAGCTTAAAAATATAGTTATACGTGTCATTTAATATGATTACTTTCAATGTAACCATGTTTATGCCACAGTCCAATTTACCAGAGTTTTTTTCTGTCATTTAACCATATTTTGTAAATAAAAATTATGAAACAATTATAAACAACTGATTTGTTGAAATAAAACCAATTGAATTTATCGATCAACTACTAGTGTCTCGCACTTTTCATTTCTTCTTCATTTCCATCAAGATTTTATTATCACTTGTAACAATATATAAAACAGGTCGTGAAATTACAAGGGTGAGTTTATGAACGGTCCAAAGAATCGAAAGTAAACTGCTTTTTCGTGTAAGAATCAGTACATTCATCGTGCTTGATACATCGTTTATCTTTAATGGGAAGTTTTAATGAATTTCACAAAGCGAACTGCAAAAATTACAAATATTCCACACTAGATGGAGACAGCTAAAGATGATCACTGGTGATGTTTTGATCAGCATCACTTTTTAAAGACATGATTTACTTACGAATCATTTCATGATATCTAATTTATTTCAATCAATTGTATTATTAGTTTATCTTTGATTTGTTTAGAAAATTATTTTTCAATATCTGACATCATATTCTAAATTATTTATCCTCGCACCGTTTCCAAAGTAATTACAAAGGTGAGTTTTACTGTTTTGTTTTCCACTGCATTTCTCTCTACTCTTTTTCTATCATTGTTTACATTCACTTGTTTTGATGTTCAACTGGCTCAAAGGTACTTTTATGTTCATTATTAGAATCATTTTCGTGTTTTTGCTCTTTCTTTTAATGCTCTTTAGGTTTTAATTATTTTCACAACATCAACAATTTTGTTAACTAATCTGTTTATTCTATTTTTAAACCCTCTCCAGTCAAAGATTACGTTATGGTTGATCGTTGTAGTCACTGTTATATTTAAGATGGCTCTTTTTTGACATTTTGCATTGTTATTTGTTATGCATTATTAGTGTTTCCCTTCAGAATTGAAAGGGTAAATAAATTGGATTTTTATCTTCGGCATCCATGAATGCTATTATATTCTAGAAGCTTTTGTTTTCATTTTGTTACACGTTATTTGATTTCTTTTCCAACCAATAACAATCACCTGATAAGTAGTATATATTTTCACTTTAATAACACTTTATATTTTCTAACTGTTTGGTTATTTTGTTACTTCTCTTCTTTTTTCCCATCCGAATTAGTGATTGTTTTTCTCACTTTTCGGTAAACTATCTTTGCTTCCTTGGGTTACTTAATTATAAGTTATTGTCATTTTATAATCATCTTCATCTCTTTTGAATAAACCACTCGCTTTCAAAATCGATGAGCCATCTCTTTTGCTTTATGATGATGTCCCAACACTTCTAATAGTAAATCTTTTTGCCAACTTCTTTTCCAGATTCTTTATAAAACCGGTTTGCCACTCCAATCAGCTTCTCCTGTACAATCATTCGTTGTTACCTTTGAATTCGATTGTAAAGGTTGGATCGACAGTACCACTACTGCTAACAACAATAAAGTTAATTTACGAAATTTTATCATCTCTTGTTTCAGTCCAATCTATTGTAAACAGTCACCAAATCTTGGGTTCATTTTGCAATGTTCATCCTGGTTCATTGAGATAAATCTCATCCATCATCATCTCATCGTTCATCATAAATCATCAAACAAAACAAACCTTTCATCTTGTTATGGCTTCGGTAAGAATATTCATCTGAGCCTCTCTCGTAATATTCACAATTGTCAGTGAGTTCGTAAATCAAATTCATCTTATTGTCGACTAAAGTTCTTGTTTGATTGAGAACGAAGTTGATTTTTCTATTTTTCCAATGATATCAAATTTCGCATTTGGCTTTTTTATTGCTAAATGTCAACTATCCTCATTTCAGTAATGATTAATTCTAAGCTTTCTTTTCTAATTTTTCTACAGCGTCTTGCGAATGCAAATCGGTGAAATCCTCAGTGTTTAAAGATGAAACAAGAAAGACGAGATCAGAGTGCAAAACACATTAAATCAGGGCATCCACCATTCACCAATCGAGCTCTACCACCATTACCTAAAGATAATAAAGATGGAGAAGATTTGAATGGAAGCAATCATGAAGGCGAAAATGGTACTTCAGAAGCAGAAGAGCGACAAAAAGACTACTGTGCATCAATTGAAAAAGTCAAAGACTGTGGATGGTATTGGGGACCGATTTCAGGAGAAATGGCAGAAGCTATTCTGCATAACGAACCTGATAATAGCTTTATAGTCCGAGATTCAAGTGATGAACATTATTTTTTTAGCTTAACTTTTAAACTGGAAGGTTTTGTTAGACATGTTCGCATTGAACATGATCAAGGTGAGTTTATTAACAGTTTATTAACTAAATATTCATCATTTTGCTTCTTTTTTCTACTTTCACTTTTTCTCTCTCTTTCTGGTTATCATCATTTTTATATAGCACAGAAAAGTGTTTAGAAGCTGTATTATAATAAAGACAAAAGTCAAAACCATTTTGCATAATGAAAGGTTCAACTACTTAGTATTAGTATTAGCAACACCAAAAGGCTAAACCTCGAAGTGAATCTGAATATTTTTTAGGCTTTTAATCCAATTTTCTTAATGACCTAAAGCTTTCCTTTGTTTTTGTGTCATAAGTTGTAAACCATAACAATGAAATGAACTTGATACAATCCTTTTAGCATAATAAGTCTAATCGTTATGTTACAATCATAATAGATTGAATCTTCAACATCATCTGGTCCTCTTTTAACTTTCATATCAAAACAAGCCATTATTATCATTATTAATGTAATTATTTTTATTACTGTTACACTCGTTATTAGCCTTTTTTCGTCGAGGAAAAAAATGCAGCCTTGAATTTTGAATTTTTTTTTGATGAAATTGGATTAATGGTGATTACACTGACTTACTTTCCAGAAGATTGAAGATTACGGCTCATTGAGTATTTCCAACATTTGTCAGTTGCTTTTGTAACTTCAAACTTTCCAAATATTTAGTAAGACTCTATCAAATCATTTCCAGAAAATAGTTGTCAGAACTAAATTGAATCCATAGTTTTCTTTGCACTAGCTTTAAATTTCACTTTAAGAAAATCTATCATTTTTTGTAATCTATGCCAGAATTTTTCTTCATATTTCAATCTTTTCTTTTCATTTATTGTTCTTATTTTAATTTAACTCTTTTTATTAACAGGTACCTTCAGTTTTGGATCACGGCAAAAATTTAAGAGCAATACTATAGTGGATTTCATTGAAAACTCCGTCGAGCATTCAAGAAGTGGTCGCTTCTTATTTTTCTTACACCGTTCACCTGTTATGGGCCCAATGCGTGTCCAGTTACTCCATCCTGTTTCTAGATTCAAAAGGATACAATCGCTTCAACATATGTGCCGGTAAAATATTTCACCTTGATCCTGATTTAGTCATTGCTATGATTCAATATATCAATAGATTGCAGTCTGTTTGTTTAGGATGATCCAATAGCCTGTCAACCTTGTATTTCTGTGTTATACTGAAAGCTGTTTAATTGAGTTTCCATCGATTTTTATCGTAATCTATTCTGAGATTTTTCAATTTCATTATAAATTCATGACATAATTTTTACAACTGAGACTATTCATTACAAATTGAAATGCAAGAATAACATACAAGTCATTGCTATTGAACCCACAGAAGTCCAACAGTGAATTTCATAAAATGGAAAAGCAATTATTGTTGTTACGATGAATTATTGATTACAGCTTGGATTTTTTTATCTTTTCCTACTAATTTTACAACTAGAACATATTAATCAGAAATATTAATCAACAGTTCTTGTGAATCACTGGAAATGATAAGAACCCACATTGACATCTTTGTGGATTAAACCATGTTTAACGTTCCTGTTAACTTACCTGCATTTCTAATCTTAATTTTTGCTCTCGTTTTTCATTTCAGATTTGTGATTCTCAAATACGTCCGTCGTGACTTGATTGATCATTTACCGTTACCATCACATTTAAAATCATATCTGAATACACCTTATTACTATTCAGAGGAATTGGCTCTATTCGAGAAAGCTAAGAAAGAAAAAGAGGGTTCAAAATAAAATAATACATATTTAATTGTTCTAGTCTTAAATAAAAAAGTGGATCACCATTTTGTTAATCCTGAGAGGGATAAAAATTCATCGTTCGCCATGATTATCATACTTTAAAACTCTCTCACGTTTGTTTCATCTTCTCTATTTTTTTGTCTCCATCGCTTTTTGTCAAATAATAGTAAACTGTTATTTTAAACTATTTACTGCAACCCTAACTTACAGTAGAGTGGACCATAATCCTCTTGATGTTGGTGGACCTTTTTACTATCCTCTTGCTTACAAGGTGCTTGACCTGTCCTAGGCGCTGAGCTGCAACCAACTGGAGTCCGAGGAAAGGTGGACTGGGTAGTCGAGAGGACTTAAGCTCTGGGTGAGCCGATCCACAGACATCAAGAAAATTACGGAATACTCTGCAAAGTAAAAGAGAAAAGTAAATAAAAGCTAAATTAATCGCAAATTATTGGCGTCAAATTTAACGGGATAATTAAGTTCGTGTCTTGAAAATCTGATTGCTTTCAGTTTTGTCGACCAAATTTTTATAAAGACCATTAAAGATAAATATATCAACAGGATATCAACGTGGAACTACAATTGATATTGATTTATGGCTATCAGAAATATTCATCATTTGTAATGGTTCAAGGTGAGGTGAATATGAGAGGACTTCCATCATGATAATGATTTGATCATCATTTACAGAATAGTATGCTTCTGGTGCAGCAGTTAATACAACACAAATAGCATTGTTTATGGACTCAATAGTATTTCTTGGTATATATTATAATATTTGTACCCAACAACTAATAAATCAAAGCAATGAGCCATTGGTAACGCCTTAAGTAATACGATGTGTGCGTTACTTTAGTAAGATAGCTTTGCGCTTAGCACTTGTCGCTTGAATGAAAATTAGACGTATTATGATAAATTGACTTCAAAAATCTTAAAATTATCAGGTCAATTCTGAGCATATTTATTTTAAATGTATTGAAGATTTATTTTGGAATCCTGTCAATAAATTATATACCTGTGTATAATAAATTGTTAATACCTGCCGAGTTAAATTTCATTTTTTTTTGTTCTAGTGTCACACTAATAGTGAATCAATAATTGATAGCAATAAGATTTTTATTCAGCGTTCAACTTACAATACAGAAGATTCATTTGAAAAAAGTAACATGGATTCTGAGATAAGTGTGTCTTTTAAATCATCTGTTAAATCTCATCGTGTTTGCTCACTCAGTTTGTTCAAAGATTTTGTATTTTTGAATTCAAAGTTGATGTTGGTACTTACCCATTGAAATTTTAAGTGTTCAAAATTCAATATTATTCAGTATAAGTATTTATTTTGTGATTATATTTATTTCACGTTTGAATCAAGGCATGAATCCTTTAACGTAAGTTTTATTTGGAGCGTTTGTTTGAAATCAATTGCTAATGACACATTTGTTTCTCTTATTTAGGAACGTAAAAAATATTTCGAAGCTCAGTGAAACTGAGTTAAGACTTGGTCTCAGTGGTAAAGCGTCATGGCATTCTATGTACGATCATTCAGCTTGGATATTTGTTGGTGGCTTGAATTTTGAACTTACAGAAGGAGATATTTTATGTGTTTTCTCGCAATACGGAGAAATTGCTGAAATAAATCTTGTAAAAGATAAAGATACGGGAAAATCTAAAGGATTTTGTTTTATATGCTACGAAGATCAAAGGAGTACAACACTAGCTGTGGATAATCTCAACGGAATCAAATTGGTCGGAAGAATTATAAGAGTTGACCATTGTGGTAATTATGAAACACCCGAGGAAAGAGAAAAAAAGAGGCAAAAGGAAAGAAAGGATCGTGGTGGTCGGTATAAAGCTGATGACAGTGATGATGATGTTATAGTGGATAAAGAATCGAGGATAAAAAAGGAAACAGATAGTGAGAATCACTCTAAAAGACATAGAGATAAATTTGAATCATCTAGATCTCACAATCGATATCATTCTGATCATCACGAAATTGATTCAAGAAAAGTGAAAAAGGAGCCCGAAGATAACAATTTATTATATAAAAATTCAAAGGATGAAACAAATCGAGAGCGACCTCACAATGACAATTATCGGCGAGACTATGACCGAAGATCACATGATGACAAAAATCATTACAGAAGCCAGGATTCTAATCGAAAAGAAGTTTACAACCAGTCAAGAAATTATGAATCTCATAGAAACAATGATCGATATGATGATGATCGTAAAGATTTTAGTAGTAGAAGTAAAGATGAGCCTCGATCTAGATTTAAAAATGAAAGATATGCAAAAGAAGATAATCATAGACATCGAGAAGATCGTCCTCAATATGATAGGGAGAAGCACAGGGAAGAACGCAGAAGGTATGATGATCATGATAAATATCGGAATGATGATTATTATGAAAAGAAAAAAAGTAGATATGACTCCAGAAGAGATGATAGAAGCTATTAAATATGTTTTATATCGGAAATTTGGTTTCTATAAATTGAGATGAGCTCTAATGATGAGTTAAAATTTTCTAGCCAAGCTCTGTATAAAAGAAGACAAGTTAAATATTAATTGTCTGTATACTTCTGAATACAACTTTGACTGTTTTATTGTAAAAATTCACTATTTCAACATTTATTGTGATCCCATCTCATTGTAATGATAATAAAAATAAAATTTCATCTTATTTTATATTAAATAAAAAGAGACTATGTTAAATCTCGTTGACCGTGATTCAGTATGATTGCTCCTAGATTTTGAGTCAAAGACTGTGGATGGTATTGGGGACTTTAAGGTAATGGGGTACTAACCTTAATTGAATTATAATCAATGATTTCAGGGCTATATCACTTCATCTGTGTCATAAAATTTTTCAATTCCAGATCAAATCAGTAAATTAAATCACGCAAAAGTTTAAGATGATACAATGGTTTATTTCATTGGAAACTCCATCGGACATTCTATGAATGGTCACTATGTACTGTAGATTTTACAATTAACAAAAGCATTTATAGATTAGCATCAACTATGACTAAATCAGCTATATAACGTTCAAGACGATGTTTCAACTTTCTTCTTGGAAGTTTGATTATCACTGAATTGCTTTGATGCATAAAAGTCTTTTTTCGCTGCATCCAACAAGACATTTGTAAGATAACTTTTCCGAGATATATATTTTGGTGGTTCAATGGGTGGAAGCGGATTGCCTGAAATAAAAGATGAGATTAACTCAATTGAAACCTGCTAAAGCTCACAATTTATAAAATTTATATGCTCACCTTTGAGTTCAAGACAGCCTTTATCAGCATGCCTGACTTTGCCTGTAATAATGTCTTCCCTACTTAAAGCAGGAGACAGACGCCAAAGTTTTGTAAAAGAGTCAGTATAATCAATATATCTAGGAACTAAGACTTTGAACAACTTATGAACCAATTGTTTTTCCTGAAAACAAAAGAAAATTATTAATTTTTCGGGGGCTATCACAATGAACATGAATGTAACTATTTGAAAAACGAACATGTATATAAAAATCTGCCAACTCCATGGTAGGTATATGTCGATCTCCATTCCTCATGGCTTCAGTAATCAACTAATAAGAGAGAGGTTATTAAAACAGTTAGAATAGGTATCATTATTTGGCAGTATACATAGAGTATAATGTAATCACTAGAGTGTAAAAATACATACTCGTTCTGTATATCCTTGAACTTCTAGAGCATGATGATAGTCTAGAGTAATCCTCTCAAATTTAAATAATTGAGTTATATGCTGTCCAATAACTATTAAACGACCAGATGAACCACGATACCAAACTTTGTTGAGACTTATTGGTCCTCGTTTAACTTTAACTTCTGGAGGTAAAATAGGAATCAATTTTTTGTTGGCGGTCGATGGACGAGGTAAAGCATTATTGTAATGACGCACCATTTTTATTAATTAACTAATTTGATAGAAGAATTGAAAAACGAGGTGATTATCAGAAGTAAATTGTTATTATTGTGTTAATCTATGAAATAAACATGTGTTGTGATTTTTAAACTGGATCCGAATCTATGCAGGACTCACTCAGATTCTTAAGATATTTTGAGTCTTTCACCACATGCTCAATGTTTTGTTTATTAACTTGATTAAATGATGTTTCCTTGGCTAATTGATGATTAGTGCCATTATTTGTGCAACAATTTTTAAATTATCTTCCTTACAACATGGTATTTACTCCTCAGTTTACACTGTTGACTTGTTCTCGACTTTCTGGCTTATCCATGAATACAACTAATCGTCTATTGACTCGGTCATGTTTTCAATTGGCTATGGTTAAAAATAAGCATCAAAATCATCTAAACTATTTAAATCGAAAGGACTCTACAACATCTTATATTTACCAGCATACCTATTCTTCATACCAAGAAATGATTGCTAAAGAAAAGCAAAATGCGAAAAGTTATATGTTGATTGAAGATTTAACATCGAAGTTGAAGATTGACAGCAAATCAAATATTGAATCGATCTTAGACACACCAGTGACCAATTATTGGGAGTATTGGATCGGCAATAAACACTATTTTCTGGTTAGTTTAACTGATTATCCATCGTTCGAGAAGAAAAGCGAAACCATTTTACCAGAGGCCAAATTCCCGATGAGTTTAAGAATCTACCAAATAACTAAACTACCGTCAACTAAAGTATCGAATGAATCCAATAAAATGAGTACCAAGCGTTGGGATCTTCGCATGCACAGACAATCAGTGAAGTCGGCGAATTTATTAGATGGAAATGATAATTTAGATGAAAATATAAGACAGTTTACTTACAATATTTCTCAAAGTGAGCTAGAATGTAAATTGAAGTTCTTCGTTATCAATGCATTTGAGGAATTTTTTTGCCAAGGAGTTTTCAATGCTTTTCATTTGGTGCCTTTTGGATCTAGTGTTAATAGTTTAGGTTGGGGATCAAGTGGACTTGATCTATGCTTAACAACAAAATACCAACCTTTGCCGAGTTCAATTCTAGTCCCATCAGCTGGTGATTTGCTCGATGGTACCATCAAAAGACAGAGATGTATAAAAACATATCATAACATGATGAAAAGTGGTCTAATCCCTGGAGTTAATAATGTCAGCCAACCCAACAACAATACTTGTCAAGTTTATTCTTACCTTACTGCTAATGATGTAACCATAACATGCACTGACCCTGCTACTCTTGAATTTTTCAAAATCTCGGAAATTTTATTCGAGATAACACGAGCTGATGAAAGAGTTTTACATTTAATTCATTTTTGTAAATTATGGGCTGAATTTCAAGGCATCTTAAGTCGAACATTCAACAATTTAATATTGACCATGTTGATTATAAATTATCTCCAGATCCGAAGACCGTTTCCAATTTTACCTCCGTTGGAACAGTTTTTCAGTGAACCTGAGATTCGAATGGACAAAAATATGATTCAAGACACAAAGTCGTCTTTCAATGATGTTTTATTAGGATTTTTTCGTCACTTGGGAACCTTTGATTTTTCACACTCTGGAATCAATATTTTTTTAGGAAAATGCATACGAAAACCTACAAGAGATGTACTTTTTGTTCTTGATCCTGCTAAAGGTAGCAACATGTCGACCAAAGTTAGCAAAAATGAATTAGATAATATAACTAAAGTTGGACTTAAATCATACAAATTGCTTGCATCTGGATGTTCACTTCAAACTTTGTTGAAACCAATTGCATTAGATACGTACAAAAAAACAACACTAGTTTAATAAATAATTTTTATTTTCGATTAATAAATAATTGTAACAAAATTAATATCAAATTTGTTTGGATAATCAATTTTACTACCGAATTATACGCATATAGATGATAATTCAACTTGCTTTTAAGTTAAATTTAATTTAATTACCTACTTTAATTTATATTAACTTGATTCAACTTATTGAATGAACTACCAAGTTTTTGTACCAATTTATAAATATAGGGGGAGACACTAAGAAATTCAGGAAAAAAGCAGAGATTTAGACAAATGTGAAATAATTTTGATGTACATTGTAAACATTGTTAATTTTATATTTAATTAATTTTTTTGTTATTATACTGGTCAAAATGCTGCGTGATAATTTATTCTGTGCTCTCCTTCTCATTGCCGTGTTCCTATGTGATTCAATTATTGGTGAAGGTGAATACTTTAAAAGAGAACATTCCTTAATGAAACCATATCAAGGTTAGTATAATTGTCTATGTACATCTTGTGAAGAAAGCTTTACAATAGACCTTGTAATTCTATTCTTGATTAGATCTAATCATTATTGTCTTTCATCTCACGTATTCACTTTCTCTTTAAAGGCACTGGCATGGTTATACCTAATTGGGAATTCTTTGGATCCACAATGGTGACTCAAGCATTTGTCAGATTAACGGCAGACCAGCAAAGTAGGATTGGGGGGCTATATAATAAGAATGTAATTGAAATAATCATTTCTAATATTCCTCATTGTTTGAAGAGAAAAATATTGACCTGTAATGATCAGCCATGTTTTTGGCTTGACAGATATCTTATCCATGCACCCATTTTCTTTATTTACATTTTAGCCGGTTCCAAACAAACCGGTGTTCCTATTTTGATATCATTGAAATTGGTTTTTAATAACACAATATTTTTATTCATCTTTTCAGCCAATAACATTCAGAAATTGGGCTATTCAACTGCATTTCAAAGTCAGTGGAAAAGGTAAAGAGTTGTTCGGTGATGGTTTCGCGTTTTGGTACGTCAAAGATCCACTCGAATTAGGTAATTATGAGTAATTTTGTCCTCTATCTTCGCAAAGTTTTGGGCAACTTGAATTTTGTTAGTTTGGCTTTTCAAGTGTTTGCAATTTATTCAGAACTTCGTACTGTATACTATTACATTACATCGTATGTTATAAGAATGTATCTTAACCCAGAAAATATTTAATATTTTATCTTGAAATCTGCTAAATATTAATTTGTTTGCTGTTTTTTTATTTCAGGGCCTGTTTTTGGATCTAAAGACTATTTTGTCGGCCTTGGTTTATTTTTTGATACCTATGCTAATCAAAATGGAGCACATAGTCATGGACACCCGTATATTTCTGCCATGATCAATAATGGTACTCAACATTATGATCATGATCGTGATGGTACCCACACAGAATTAGCAGGATGTGAAGGAAAATTCCGAAACGTTGATCATGAAACAATTGTAGAAATAAGATATGAGAATGACGTACTCTCAGTTGGTACCGATTTCGAATCTCGAGGAGCTTTCAAGGAATGTTTTAGTGTGAAAGGTGTCATTCTTCCGTCAAATTATTATATCGGTGTAAGTGCAGCTACAGGAGAGCTTAGTGATAATCACGATGTCATAGCAATCAAAACCTTTCAACTTACTTCTTCATCACCTTCAGAAAATGACGATAGAAGCCATATGCTTCCTTCGGCAAGCCAGTTCGCTGCACCCCGTCCGCGTATTGATGATAAGCCTCAGAGCATGTCAAATCTTAAATTTTTCTTATTAATAATTTGTGTCATTATTGGTATTATTATCATAGCTGCTGTTTCAATTTTAGTCTTCCAAAGACATCAAGAAACTTCTAGGAAAAGATTCTATTGAAATTTAGATTTATAGCTAATTATTCCTCTTCACTTTATCCTTTATTGACATTTTTTCTTTTGGTCTCGCTGATTATTTTCTGTTTGACAGCCAAAATGTAATTTTTTTTGCACCAATCATGTAATTCTATATTATTTTTCTCTTAATCTTTGATTGTGATACGAAGAATAAAGTAATAAAATTTTTATATCTAGTATATTTTATAATTTGATAAACTAAATTATCATTTTTACAATTTACTATTCATACTTTGATGGATTTACGGTCGTTATTCCCAAAATGTCTCAATGTCATGGTTTGACAGTGTTTTTTGTGCAAGATTTTCACGAGAATAATGACTGTAGCATTTATCGAATTCAATAAATACTACAATAACCACATTATGCTGTATTATTCAATGAATAATATTATCTGAATAATATTTAATGACACTATATTGGTCTTATCTGCGCAGTTTTGCTTACCATTGATTTCGTTGGCGCCATTAACTGTCATGTGTTTTCCTCTTTAACATCAGATGACTTCTCATGTTATGATAACCATATCCTCGATCTAAAGCTATCTTCGTCATTTGTTCTGTGTATTAGTGATTAGATATCCACATTTAATTAATGAATTCGAAAGCAAATCATCAATTATTTGGTCCTTCAAATAGAGTTTACATTAAATAAAAAAGAATGGCCCACAATGAATTTAAAAGCAATGTTATCCAGCCATTGTTAACTGGTAAGTTTATTTATGTTTTTTGCCTAAATTTCGTTTGATTACTTTCATAATCTAACATATTCTCATAACCAAATCCATTACAGATCTTTACGAAGTTACAATGGCTTATTCCTTTTGGAAAGATCGTAAACACGATGTAAGAGCTGTGTTTGATCTCTTTTTTCGAAAGAACCCTTTTCAAGGAGAGTTTACAGTTTTTGCTGGTTTGAAGGATTGTTTACTTTATCTCGAAAGTTTTCGTTTCTCGGCCAGTGGTAAATGACTCAAATTCAATGAAGCTATCCTGTAAGTTTTTCTAATTGTTTTTTTTGTATTTTTGTCTTCGTTATAGATATCTCATACCTTAAAAGCAAATTACCTAAAAACACTGAACCAGAATTTTTCGATTATCTTGCAAGTTTAACTGCTAAAGATGTTACTGTACATGCGGTCGAAGAAGGTACAATTGTTTTCCCGAAAGTTCCCCTTGTATCTCTTGAAGGTCCTTTAGCAGTGGTTCAATTATTGGAAACAACATTTTTAACATTAATTAATTTCGCAAGGTTTGTTTTGTATTCTATTGTTTAATTTTCAGTATTTTAAATTTATTTTTTAACTTTTTTACTCTAGTCTGGTTACAACTAATGCTGCTCGATACCGTCTAGCTGCTCCTGAAAATGTCAGATTACTAGAGTTTGGACTCCGTCGTGCTCAGGGTCCTGATGGTGGCTTATCTGCATCAAAATATGCTTTTACCGGAGGATTTGATGGAACCAGTAATCTTCTCGCTGGTAAAATTTTTGATATTCCTGTTTCTGGAACTCATGCTCATTCCTTTGTTATGACCTATTCTAATGTTAACCAACTCAATTCACGGGTATGAATTTATTGCATGTTTCTCTATTTAATCTAATTAAGATTTGATATCTAATCCATAAATTGCTGAAATTTTTCAATCTGAAGACATTGAAAAACGTCCATGATGGGAAAGAGTATGACTTTGTTGCTGCATGCTTTGAGTGGAGGGCTAAAATCGCCAATAAACTTGGTATAGTCGAGTCTGAAGCTAACGATGGCGAAATAGCTGCTTTCATTGCCTATGCACTTGCATTTCCCGAATCATTTGTCGCTTTAGTTGATACCTACAATGTTTTGAGGTAATGTTAACGGAAAATAGCTCATTATTTATCCTTTTACATCTATTTCCTATTTCCCCAAGAACTATTATCTATTCTACATTCTAAATCATTTTATTTTTCTACCAATTATAGAAGTGGTTTATTGAATTTTGCAGCAGTCGCAATGGCACTTGATCAGTTTGGTTATCATCCCATTGGAATTCGCATTGATAGTGGTGATTTAGCTTACCTATCAAAGGAAGCATATAAATTATTTCAACAAATTGCAAATCACTTTGAGTGCCCGTGGTTCACATCATTGCACATTATTGCATCAAATGATCTCAATGAAGATACAATTCATTCATTGAATGATCAAGGACACAAAATAACTTCCTTTGCCATAGGAACTCATTTGGTTACATGTCAAAAACAACCTGCTCTTGGTTGTGTTTACAAGGTTAGTAAAATATCCCAGTCAATTGCCTTGTATTAATAATTATAGTATTTGCCTTATAACCTCTTTTTTTCATTTGTAGCTCACGGAAATCAATTCTCAACCTTGCATCAAACTGAGTGAAGATTTAGATAAAGTGACTATTCCTGGGCGTAAAAAAGTTTATCGATTATACGGTCAGGATGGTTTTGCAATCCTCGATTTGCTTGCTAAAAGCAATGAAAAAGAACCACAAGTTGGTGATCGAATCCTTTGTCGTCATCCAATTCTCGAATCTAAACGAGCATTTGTTATACCCTCTTCAGTGACTTGTTTGCTAGAAAAATGGTGGTACAATGGAGAGGTAATTTTATATATGAACACAAGATTATTCATCTTTTCTTTTTTTCATTGATTCTAAAGATTTTAGATTCCTAATTATTTACTTTCTTTCTTTCAGATTACTCGCCCACTACCTACATTAGTAGATATAAAGAATAAAGTATCAAAGGGTCTCGCAACTCTCCGTCCTGACATGAAACGTCACTTAAATCCAACTCCATACAAAGTATCAGTGACTGAAACATTATATGAAGAGATGCATTCAATTTGGTTGGAGAATGCACCTATTGGTGAATTATCATAGAATGGCCCAAAGCAAAAAAGATGCTGGAAAAACATCAATCTCAAGTTTACAATGAATCAGTTTCTGGCCAGATAAAAGTTCAAATTTTACCCAGTTTTACAGGTTTATTCGCTCTCAAACAAACGAGCTTTAGCCTAGTTAGTTTTTACAGATTATTTATTTTAGGTCAGATCAAAAATATGAACAAAAAGTTAACTACTGCCTTGATCAATGACCTTTTTATGATTTTGACTGATTATCAATTCAATGGTCAGCAGTAATACCTTAAAATATGCGACTTTAAGTTTCTTTTGAAAGTCTCTTCATAGCTTTGCCATATTATGGAAATGATCGAATCAATCTAATAGCATACAAAATTTGGACAGAATTGGAACCAAAGCTTCATCTTAACTATGAATTTCGGTGAACTTTCTTGTTAATGAGTTTACAAATCTCTGTGGGACCCAAAATGTCACTAAATATATTGATAAATTGAATGATTTCATGTCATGCCATAACTTTGGCAAATTGATTTTATGTCTGCTAATTTTTTTAGCTTTTATTATTTGGTGTTGATATAAATGTAATAACTAGAAGTATTTAATTAATACCTCTTCTCATTGTGATTCAGAGTGAACAAGTTATTTTATTGTGTGTTATTAAATTCATTAAAAAGCATGGACAGCGTTATAAGAAACAAAATGATAATAATAAAGGCTAATCAAAGTTAAAGCAGCTAACCAACAATTGGATGGTGATGAAGACGGTAAGGAGAAAGATGGTGAAGTTGATTGAGTGTCTTTTGATTTAAAACCAACAATGGCCACTTTGTCCCATGAATATCGAGCAACAAAACCGTCATAACTGGTCACTAATAATTTAATATCGTATCTGTTGATTTCTGAATTGAATGTAAATGGTCCAATGGAGAGTTGCTTTTCTTGTAACCAACTGCAGCGTGAAAAGCCCATTTTAAAGCGTCGACTTTCAGAATATTTCGTGAATTGAGTTTGTATTGGTTGAAATTGTTCTGATTTTTTAACTTTAAACGACTCGTCAGAAATTGCTGATCTATCAGAAGACGATTTATCATTATAACATTCAATTTTGATTGAGTTTTCCTCTGGATCAACGTAAATCAACTCCAATTTATCAAAATCTTGGGTCAAGAAAACTTCCACATCGATTGTGTCACCATGATGTTTCTTCATGTGAATTAACGATGTACAACTTGATGATTTTAAGCAACCAGGTTCACTCTGAAGGCACAAATTTTCACCAGTTTTCTCACATTCTTGATAAAAGTATCGCAATTTATAAATTGGCAATGTTACACTTGTTGCGGGTAAAACCTTTTTCTCGGTACCAACAGCTAATTGTATAGATGGACGTTGATTGACAAGGTCAATAATTTCACCTGTAATAAAGAGAGAAGAAAAAATGTTAAAATATGATTATTTATTGAAGGAGGAGAAATTTTGTAAAACCTTAGCCTTTTTTTCGTCCAAATTTGCGTTTGTTGACGGTTTGTCAACACCTATGTATGGACTCACAGTAAACATTTTTTGACAGCTATTTGATAGTAATTGCAAAGTTGCTCTACTCAAATTTTGACTCACAATCCAACTATTTACTTTGTTAATCTTGATTGTCTCAAGAACATTGCTATCAACATTGGCTTATCTTGACAAGCCATTTTTTTGCCAGATTGAGTGTTACATGTTATTAAAACAGCTATAACTCTCAAACAATGATATGATTAACAATGATTACTGGCTTTCAATGTAATAAAAAATGGTTACATTGATGTTAATGTTAATTGAATCGATCTTGATCATACAACTATTAGACTCTTAAAATAACAAAATTGTTACAAAATTTTTTCCTCGTTACATTACTCATTTATTTTCATTATAGTTTAGGCTAAACTAATCCTAAACTTCAATTCAAATCAGCTTAGTAAACGTATTTTACCAATAAGCTGATTCAGGTCAAGGTGTATTAACAGAATGATAAATTGTTAACCAGATCATTTGATTACGATTAATCATAATATTCTCATGATATTTTCATCTGTCGCATTAGTCAATTATTAATAGCATTGAAGCATTAAACGATCCCATCTCAAATAGTAAACAAGCGTGAAGAGTAGAAATGAAAACAAAACATGAAAAAGATCGCAGCAAATAAATCATGCAACTAATCAACCTTTCATTAGAGGTAATAAGCAAAGAGACTGTAGCTTTTGTAGTTTATTAGTCAATCAAGGAAAATAAATTAAAATTGCTTACTTCTGTTATTGGTAGGCCAATTGGTTCCATTGGGCCACCAAATCCATTGGCAACGAACCCAGTCGGCTTCAGTGAAAATTGATCCACTACGAACTGGTCTAGGCCTGAAAGGGTATTCAATTGAAGATATCCTTCGACCGTCATTTGTACATTTGTAAACGGTTTTAGCTTCCTTATCATTTTCTGTAGACAATGATAAGCTCATGTTTACTCCTGCTTGAGGTGAGGCTGTAGACATTGATGATGATTTAAGATACGATAGGCTTTTACTAGCATAGAGATCAAGGATCATTTTGGGTTCCACAAAAGTTGGCCAGTTGGTTTCATCTTCAACAGTAAAAACAGCGAAAGCCTGACAATCACGAGAAGTGAAACAATCACCCATCGGGTCATTGGTATTTAATCCGAAACATTCGCGTTCTTTTGATTTGGTTGAACAAGCTTTGTAAATTGACTCGCTTATCTGGAATCCTGGTAACGCTACTGGAGCTTTGTCAACATAAAAGTTGGGTGAATGTCGCAGTTTTACCATGTATTTAACTGTTTTTGTATCGAAAGTTACTCCAAATACTTTAAATAATTTAGGAAGAGTCCAATTACAACGGAGACCATCAAAGTCTGTGTCAATATGAGTACGCATTGAAGTAATGACTGATGTTGACAATTCTTGGGATCCATTGGGGGAAATGAAATAAGCCTCCAACGAGTATTTGCCACAAATAACTTGGAATCCAGGTGCATCATCGGCAGCATAAAGGGTCACATCATAATAAGAATTATTGGTAACATAATCAAACGAATATACATTAAAATCCAACGAGTCTGGCTTGTTGGGTGATTGGACAATAGTGAGAAGTTCATGACACTCGTTAGCTCCAACACAATAGGGAGAGCCAAGACAATATTTAATATCTGGTTGGTCACAGTCGCTGTAAAGATAGCGCGATTTATAAATTGGTAATCTTGTTGAAATAATTCCAGATCTAGCGTCATCTTTAAAAAGTATAACTTCTACTTTTCGTGTGATCAGATCAATCTTACGAGCTTCATGATCAGTTGGCCAAGTAGTGGCGGATCGATTCATAACCCATTGGCATACCAAAAGATCTTCCTCTATGGTACCTTGTCCTATTGATCTAACTATTTGACCAGGATTTTTGACCATTACATCAACCGTTGGCTCTCCTTGAGTCCAACTACAATTGTAATAAGTTCCTTCACCAGGATTGTAGGTTGGCATGAAGGCAGCATCAAGAATAAAGGACATCTCATGTTTAGATGCGTCTCTTAGATGGGTACCTATCAAGGTTAGATTAAAACTGTCATCGAAATGATTACCATCTGTTGATGGTACAACTGATACCATTGCTACCATATCACAGCTTTGACGGGTTAAACAGTCACTTGTTGTCCTAGGAAAACCAATACATTCCAAGGGAAGACGAGATGCCACTGGTCTGTTGCATTGTTCATAAACCTGGTCAATTATTTTTCCATGAGTGTGTATTAAGTTGAGAGATAAAGTGATCACAAAAAAAGTCCACAAATGTTTAATTCCCGATTGAAAGATCATCATGGCTGGCTATCGGTCAATTTTGTTGCGGATAGCTAATGGCTAATGAAGAAACCAATGTATAACAATGATTTGTTGATCAATTATGATGGTGATGGGGATGATAGATTTTGTTAATTAATCACACACAAAAGGGAAATACTGTTAAGTGTTATTGTAGAGACTAAAATTACACTTCAATTTAAAACTTGTAATCACAGATTCAAACTTAAACACTTCAATTATTATATTAAAAGTTGAAAAGGAAGGAAAATCGAAAGCTGACAGAATAAAATTTGATTATATTGGAATAAAAAATTCTAATTTCTAACTAATTTGTAAAAAAGGAAAGGATAACTTGCATCTTTAGGTGTGAAACATCGAAAGGGCAAATGTAAGTGATCAGAATTACTAATTAATCGACAATCACTTGTGTTATTATGTTATCGAAATAAGTTTCTCAAAAGACTGGTAATATGAAGATTGGTAGAGATGATGATCATGATGGTAACACTAATAAAGTTATCTATTTTTCCATATCATCTTCCATTTCTTTAGCTTTCTTTATGTGATAACAGAAAACGATGTTTACTATGGTAACTGATGAAGGGTCTTTTTCCGGAGCAACAGAGTCAATGAAGGAGGGACAAAAAATTACTCAGAAATCAAGTAATGATAATGTTGATGGTGTTGATGATGGCTGAAAGTAAAACAAATTGTGATTTGTTTAAGGGCGAGGTAAGCGCCCAAGAAAAATAAGCAATGTAAACATGCAACAGAGCAAAATTTTATAACAAGCATTACTCATTTTGCTGCCAAAGTCACAATGGCAACTTTTGTTGAAATGTACTGTACATGTAACATTATAAACTTTCCTCCTTGAGGTTATCAAATTGTAAACATTGGACCTTTGATAATGTTTGGACTTTATTTGGATCGGTAAAACAATTGGCTATTTGTTTTAACAGATTAAAAATTGGTTTTCCTGTTTAATAGCCTTAATCGAGTAGCCAATGTTTTACCTGGATATTCATCTGAAATCAAATTGTTAACAAAACTGAACATGATATGTAAAATTCAAACAAATCAAAGCCGATTAATAGTGAAGTGTAAATAAAACCTTAATGGTCATGTATGCTCAATTAATTACGAGTTGTAGCTGCTGAATAGATTGAATGGTTTTTAAAATAGTCTTGGATACAGAAAGCAAAAACTCTGAAGAAGATCAAGTTTTCAATTTTAATCAAATTATAACAGGCACCAGGTTCAATAAATCAAGTTAATAATTCAATGCCTAGCGATTCAGACAAAGATAACTCTTCAACTGTACAGATTTGATATCATCATTTAGTGTTATAAATTTTTTAATTATTATTTACACAACTAAACAACTTTTAAAAAATCAACAAAGTATTGAATGTTTACGTTAGACGTTTAAACGTGAATCAACAGATGGAGTTACATTAAGATGTATTTTCGAAAAGTCAAGAATTTTTTGTTGGGATATTAAATGACAATAAAGTGAAATGTTGATTGAATTTATTCTTGATTTTGTTTTATTAACTAATTAAATCAATAATTTGCTTGAAATAATTACTTAAAACCAGTGTAAATTCCAGTTTAAAACCATCATGGATATACATTTATTAAAGTTGTGTCTGTGTAGGAATTAAAAATTTTTGTCAACAATTTGATTTGTCTTTTTTATAATTCAGGTTTTCCTGATGAGATGAATAATCCGCTCTATTAATACCTTACAGGATAATCAATTATTAATATTTGTATTTTCATACAATTAATTTAATCCCAACAAAATGATCTATTAAAATTTCAACCAATGCTCTTATTCAAGCACAATGTTGAACAATAAATTTTGGTTAATGTACAAATGAAAGTATAAATTGAAATGCATTAATGGGCACATATTTTGTGTTTAATGTTTAATTTTGTCGAGAAAACAAGGAATTAGTAAATTTGCTTAATAAAATATGTATTACATCAATAATAATTTCAATAACAATTTCAATAATTTAGTTGGTTGAAACATTGGTTTTTTGAATTGCGTTGCAATTAGCTTTCTATACACTTTCATGATTATGTAAATGTATTCAATTTTTATACCCATGCAACTCAAAAAATGAACATCAAAAGTTTCCTCTTCTCTATCATCTCTATCATCTTCAAGATCATCTCCATCTTAACCGACGAGACTTTATAAAGTTTAGTTAAATCTTTCTACTCTTTCTTTACCTAAAAATATCATCTGATTTTTGTTGTCAAAGATTAAATACAAAAGCCTTTGGAATCCTTTACAAATGGAAAAATAGCTTTAAATGATGATGATGCTGAAGGTAGAGATGAAGTTAAGAAATGTTGAGAAATATGGAGTTGGAGTGGGTGAATGAGACCCGAAAGACAATAAGAAATAGCAGGAGAAAATTTCATTGGTTTGCTAAAGGCAACTGGAAGAGATATGAGATATAAATATGAACTTTCATTTTTTCTTCCTTTTTTTCATCTTTTTGCTTCTTTACTTGATCGCTTGTCTTTTTTTACTTTGCTTAAATCATCTTGATGCTTTAACAATAGGCTGTTACAGGAATGCATGGAATCTATCGATAGAACGATGAAGTCTTGCTCGATGAATGGAAAATGTGAATTATGGTGATGATGATGATGGTGATGAAGAAGATGATGAAGGAGAAGCTGTAGCCGTTAAATTTGTTGATGGAAATGATGATGATGATGATAGTGGTGAAAGAGTTGGTGGTTGCAATGACAAAGATGATTCTGGTATGGAAAGAGCATAACATCCTTTGGTAAAATAAATGTCATCGAGGGCCAGATAAGAGTTTTCATCTCCTTTAATCATAGTTACCAGAAATAACCATTCACCAGAAAGGTCTAAATCAACTTCAACTCGGGTAAATAATGATTTCTCCCAATCCAGATCGATAACTTCAATGGTTGAGAATGGGTTAAATGAAGATGAGTTATCACTTGATCGAATCAAAACTTGACTATATCGGCTGTTGGTCAAATAATGTAAAACTAATTTACAGTTTCCTCCAATGGGTGTTGAACTGACAATGGATCCAGTACTTCGGCCTCGTTTGCTGCTTGATTTGAGCAATAAGTAGTGACCTTTGGGATTTTCAGAATGGTCAAAGGTTGGTCCCTGGGTTAATGATTTAGCTGCAACGGTACGGATTAAGCCTCTATTGTGTGAACACATTCCCCAGAAACATGATTCATTTGATAGTTTGAAAGGCCTCCAAGAACAGTAATCAACCTCGAATGAACATCTCAAATTATTGATTGAAGAAACGTCTCCATTTAGCTCATTAGCCGAGGTATTATTAGACATTAAAGCACTCGATTGGTCGCAATTCAATTCGTCACTACCATCAGGACAATTAATTTCATAATCACAGACTTCATCTTGATAAATACAAAGGTCAGGAGTGGAGCAATTAAAGGAAAGTTCGGGAGAGAATGAACATTGAACAGAGCTTTGATTGTTGATATCCTTGGGTGAACAGGAAAATACTGGACAATGTTGATAAGTATTCCAACAACGATGCGTCGAGAGTGTTTTAACTAAATGAAGCCTGTAGAAATGAGAAAGAAAAAATAACAACACTTTAAATTAGATTGAGGAAAAATTGATTGATTGCATTCGCTGATATAAATTAAATGGAATCCCAAAACACTTGAGTATTGGACAGATACATCTATGTACAATAAAGCTAATTGAGTAAGTTAATTGAAGCTAATCACATAACAAAATCAGAACTTTTATGATTGCTGTTATGACCAATCAAGTTGCCAATTGAAAATGTACCAAGCATGATTCAAAGAACAGGGTGAGGTAAGGAAATGTCATCTGTTGATCATCACCAAACTTCACCTTTTTGAAGTACTAATTGAAAATAACAAAGGTTTCACTCATAATAAGATGCTGTTCAATAATTTGGAAAAAATAAAATGTCAAGATTCTGATGGGAAGTCAAATGCTAGGAGACAATGAGAAAGAAGAAACTAGATGACAAGAATTGGCCTCTCGAGTAGTTGATTAGCCATTGACTGGAACTTTCAATTTTCCTGAGCTAACCAAATAACTTGTAATTTCATTTTATAATTTTGACTTTTAAACACTGAACACTTTCACTTTATTATGTAGCTAATGTTTACTGATCCAGCAATGTAAAAGTTTAGCATACATTGATGGCAAATCGGCAAGCCAAAATAATTATATTAATTGTATTAAATTGTAGACTCACGAAGTATCAATATCTGCATTTGTACTTGCTTGCATTTCAATTTCCAGGCGAAATTTGCCATAATTAGTCAACGGTAAATCAATGAAATACTCTTTTGAGAAGAGAGATGTTCCATCCGAGTCAAGCAATAGTTGATACGTTTCATTGTTGTCATTTTGGTACCAAACAATTAATTGAGTGATATTGCCATAAATGTACTTTGAATAATCAGTTTCTAATTTAACACTACATCGTAAGTTTTTACCCATTAACCATTTACTAGGATACTTGATGGTGGTTTCATAGCCATTTATAGGAATCAGGAATAAGGGTAACAAGTCGGTTTCTTGGTTAACATCAAGCTTTATGGGCTCCTCGGGTGTATCAAAAAATGTAGTATTCACAAAGACAATATTAATTAAACAAATGAGTCCAATTGAAATCCATTTATGATGACAAGATAGAGATGAACAATTAAATAATCCAATATGTTTAACCATATTTTTAAATTAGATGACAGAGGAACCAAACAAAAGAGGAAAAACAATAAAACCAAGAAGGAAAGTTAAACAAATGTAAAATTGATGAAATGTTGGCTTTGAAAGACGAATCAAATTGGAAAAAATAAAGTGATTGGAAAATAATGATTGACAATTTACAAAAGCAATTTGAGATTCAATGATTAACATCAACTACGCATCAATAATTTATAAAACAAAATCAGCATTTATGTGTTAGATAATCATTTCAATACTTTGAAATGAAAAAAAGCTATTTCTCCATGGAAACAAGCGTAAACAATTTTTCAAACTAATTTTAAAACATTATTTACAAATTGTCACATAATTATGTAAATCGTAATTGCAACTTTTAATTTCAATTGAATTCATCTTTAAATTTAACTTTGATTTGTCTTTGATTTTGCTGTTCTGCTGATGTAGTTGAAGCGCTGTTGAAATCTGATCAATCTTACCTTGGCAGTGATTAACTTAAGTGGGTCTATCAACATTTATCCAATCTCATCACTTCCGTAATTAACTGATTTTTCAAGCAAATACAATCATCTCAATTACAGTTACAGCATAAACAAACAATAACAGCAACAAAAACCAAACAAAAAATCAGATTAACCAATCAACTTGGCAGTAATATCTGCTAAATAGCAACCAAAGCATCTGAATTAGTTTCCGAAAAAAGCGAATCGACAGAACAATTTAAAAGTGAATTTGCTTCCCAACAATTAATCAGCACATCAACCTTTGATCAACCAGTTGATGGAACCAGAAAGTGAACCAGAAAAAAGTCAATACTAAATTAAACATCAAAAGCTTACAAGGGATGCTTTAAATGTCAATAGTTTATAACCTAAATGAAATGATTAAAGTAATATTATATTATTATGTTATGTTATATTTTTAGATTATATTATAATCATTAATTATAGACGTTTAATTAGAAAAATTGACCTTTTACGATCAAATTAACAGGTTAAACCAGAAAAGTGTTTCAAAAATATATCATAGCCCGAAAGATTTGATGAAAACATTTGTAAATCTTAGCCATTTGCTGTTGAAACTGCTAATTGTATGATGAATAAGTAAATTTGGAATCAACATTTGATTAAAATTTGATCAACAGATGATTTGTTATGACAAAAAAAGACATTATTAATAGTTTTGCATTACTAGCATCCTAACAACATAAATATTCAGTCTTTTCAATTGAAGCCTACAACAGCGTTTATATTGATAGCCATTGATATTGAAGAGAGATGGCAAAAAAAGATGAAGATGATGATTATGATGATGAAAAACATGATGATGTTAATGGTGAAGTCAGTGATGAAGATGGTGAAAACAGGGGTGAAATGGAGGAGGAGAAAGATGAATATGATAGGATGAGGTGAAGCAGGTTAATAGTCAACAAAAGAGTGTATGGCTGGCCTTTTGTGCGCGGAATGTCAAAACCCATTATCCTTTCCTATCATCACCAACATCATCACCATGATGATGATCATCATCTTTTACCTTTTGATAAACAATAATTCGAAGAAAAGGAGAAAAAAAAATTCGCCTTCAACTATTAAACCAAAAAATTAACAGACAGGCTTTCATTGAAAAGGGAAAACCTTACAATTCCTTTTTTATAATACAAACCAACTTCACTTTTCAGTTTATTTCAAACTTTTCACCTTTGTTTATTATTACCATTATGATCACCATTTATTAAAGTTATTAATTTATCCATTGATTATAGTTGAACAAGTAAATTAGAGTTTAAAATAATTGATTGAATTGAACACAATTTAAAAGCTAAACGTTTACTCTGTGATGATTTGGAGTTAGAAAAATTATAATAAGCCATTTTTTAGTCAGCCAAAGTAAACGGCTGGTTAAGCTTGGCTTTCGATTTTGCCTTTTGTTTCATTTCTTAAACTTTACTTTTCACTTGTTTTTATTTTTAATTTTACTTTTTAATTATAATTATTGATTAATTATTTGATTGTTTATTGTTAAGAGTTTTGTTACCTATTCAATCAAACTGTGGACCAACGACTGTATGTGTTATTCACGCCTTTTTGGCGATTGTCATCTATTTTTCCGTAAAGCTAACTCATCGGACCAATCACCTGATTTAGATGAAACTGTACCTTTAAAGGAGTCTAGTGTTGGTGACAATGGTAATGTAAAGTTGAAGGAGTCATCATCAGTTAATAATTGTAAAGAGACTACCTTATATCAAAGTCAACATTTAGTTTCAACCTCATCTACAGTTAATGAATCCTGTAACAATCATAAATTGGCTTTCAAATCAACCGAGTATGAAAAATTAATGGAAAGTCCAACTAAATCTCGTCGTGATTCTTCAAACAATATTCACCAGCCAACAACATTTGCAAGCATTAGTAGTCTTGTCCGTGATATTTTTCGTAATGATTTAAAATATCCAGCGGCAACAACCCAGTCAACTAAATCAAATACACCTTCACCAACGCTTGATATTAAATTATCATCTAGTAGCAACCCTACTAAAGCCACCACCAACAACAGTAATAATAGTTTAACCAACCATCACCCAACCTGTAACTGTTCAACTTTCAATGGTAATAATAATAATGTTAACCGTTTGAAGAGTAACGGTGATAGTTTAAATAATTTTAATAGCAAACGAATTAATAGGATTAAAATTAAAGACGAGAAAAAATTAGACACTGACGATGATGATAACAATGATACAAATTATGATCACAATCAAGGAGTGAAATCGTCACATAATCATTATGATGATCATTCAATACAAGCTAATTTTACAAAATGCTTTTATCCAGATAAAAAGGTAAGTCTAACTGTTTCTTATTGCCTTTGTTTCTTATATATTGATTGTTATAATTTGATTCAATTAGAGTTGATAATCAAGTGACTTTAAATCTTCAAGTCAAAAATCACGTCCAAAAAGTGATATTAGCTGAATTATTGGTAAACCATTTATAAGAAATGGTTTATTTTTCTTGCCAGAAACAACCTTTAATCCAAAAATCAGTCTAGATTATAATTCAACTATCAAATTGTAATATTTATGGTATTTTTAATGTATTATTGAGTCAACTTGGTATATTGATGTTTCTGTTTTATAGTCAACAAGTGAAGCTCCATTTTGTGGCATGGATTCAAAGGAGTGGAGGGTTAGAGGTAAAGAAATGGTAGATTATATCGCTAACTATCTGGAAACTATTGATCAACGTCGAGTTACACCTAATGTTGAACCTGGTTATTTAAAGCCCCAATTACCCGAAGAGGCTCCATTAAAAGCTGAACAATGGGATACAATTATGGAAGATTTCAACAAATTAATTATGCCTGGAATAACTCATTGGCAGCATCCAAGATTTCATGCTTATTTTCCAGCAGGAAATGCTTATCCATCAATTCTCGCAGATATGTTATCTGATGCCATTTCTTGTATTGGATTTTCATGGGTAAATATCAATTTTTAGTTTATCCATCAACTTTATTTTCACCTAATCTTGCCTGCTTGAAGCTGGAAATGAAAATTCGAGTTTTATTAAATTTATTTGTAAAACAATTTAATTGCTCTTTTTAGGCAGCTTCACCATCATGTACTGAATTGGAAACTATCATGCTGGACTGGATGGGTGAGTTTAAAAAAATAGTCTTTTATTTCTCTGAAATATTTCTATTGTCTTTCAACATTCTTTGATGAATAATAATGAATAAATCTTGAACTATTTCTTTTGTGTAAGGTCGTGCTATTGGTTTGCCGGACAAATTCATGTGTTTTGCTGAAAACAGTAAAGGTGGTGGAGTCATTGAGGTTTGTTTAAATTAAATTAGCTCAATTTACCAATTTATTTAACCAAAATCTAATTTAATTTTTAATTTCTTAGGGCTCTGCATCTGAATGCATTCTGGTAACACTTTTAGCAGCACGTTATGAAGCTGTTAAACAAGCTAAAAAGCAAGAACCCAATGCAAAAGATACTGATATTTTGGGTAAATTGATTGCTTATTGTTCAAAAGAGGTACGTTTTACATTCATGATTACAGGTATTCATAAGTATTCATCCATTTTACGTATAGATGACGATTCATGAATTTACTTTATACTTTTAGATTTCTATTGACTCCAATGATGAGCATCTCATCAAGAATATTTTATAAAATAAATTGTTTTTAATGTATTGATTTATTTCAGGCTCATTCATCTGTTGAAAAAGCAGCCATGATTGGTTTTGTTAAACTGAGAATTCTGGATACTGATGAAAAATTTCGTATGAGACCAGATTTACTTGAAAAGTCCATTCAGGTATTTCAATATTTTGACAACTTTAACAACTTTAATTGAATTGGTCATTTTTTGACTAATAATAACGTTTTTAATTGTATTTTTAGGAGGACAAAGCTCAAGGATTCATTCCCTTTTGGGCTGCCATTACATTGGGATCTACCTCATGTTGTTCAGTTGATCCTGTAGACTCTGTTGGAATGATTTGTCAAAAAGAAGGAGTTTGGCTGCATGTTGATGCTGCATATGGTGGAAGCTCATTAATTTGTCCAGAATTTCAATATCTTCTCAAAGGAATTGAGGTGGTTATCATCTTTTATACCATTAGCAGCAATTATCTCTCATTAACACGAATACAAAATCTTTTCAACTTTCTTTCTTTGTATCTTCTCATGATATTCAGCTTGCCTCATCTTTCAACATGAATCCAAACAAATGGATGTTGATTAATTTTGATTGTTCACTTTTATGGTAAATAACAAATTTCTCTTTTTAATTAATCAACTTTATTCGTCTCTCTTTCCCCTTCATTTATTTGGCCATACCAATCATTTAATTATGATTGACACAAACTTTAATTTCTATTTTATTTAAAAACAGTTACCTCGTTATCATCCTCATCACTCTTGTCATCAACATTCTTTCTCATTCTTCTTCTCGTCTCATTTTTTTCTGTCAAAATAGGGTTACAGATCGATTCAAATTGACCCAAGCTTTGGTTGTCGATCCTTTATACCTTCAACATAGTTATTCAGATAAAGCTATTGATTACAGGGTAAGACTCATTATCAAACCTTTCCATATTTATTGCATTATATTTTGTCTCTGTTGTAATATTTTTGTAAATTATTTCTATTTATAAAAATGGCTGAAATAACTCAAATAGCATTGGGGAATACCTTTGAGTCGACGATTTCGTTCATTGAAACTTTGGTTTGTCATTCGAAATTATGGAATTGAAGGATTACAGAAATACATACGTAATGTAAGTAATATTTGATTTTCATATTTTCTCAATTCTTATTTCTAATAATTACTAAAAATTGTTGTAATAAATTAGTTTTGGGAAAATCTTTATAAATTTTGAGTTTTAGGCATACTTTTGTAATAGCTTTTTGAATAGACTTGAATTTATTGATCGATTTCAATCATATTTTTCTATCCATGAGAACGTCTATCACATGCATATCTTATTATAAATTAAATTGAGATATTCTTTGAAAACATCACCAACTATATCAGTATTCATGAATTATTGTGACATTAAAAGTACAATATATTGGTTTCAACGGTTTGAATAACCTGAGATAGTTACATTCAATTTTTTAATGCTCATTCATGTTTTTTACTCAGCATTGTCGATTGGCCAAAAAATTTGAAAACTTGATGAGACAAGATGAACGATTCGAGATTATGAATGAAGTAATTTTTGGCTTAGTTTGCTTCCGTTTAAAGGTAAGTCAATAACCCATCTAATAGACAGACTAATGATTAAGCTTGATTTTAGGGGTCTGATACGTTGAACAAGAAATTGTTGTCATCAATTAATGCTTCTGGTGAAATGCATATGGTTCCAGCAAATCTGGGAAACAAGTATGTTATACGATTTTGTGTTTGCTCTCAACATGCTACTGAGGACGATATTTCAGCTGCTTATGAGATTATCTCACAATTTTCGGCTAACCTGTTGGCTATTATTGGGTCCGAGGAATCAATGGCTGCACTTCAACAGCAACAAGCAGTTATTCAAGGAGACTTGACTGGTTCTCAACAACAACAATTTACTAAACAAGAATCCCAAAAGTCATCTATAGAGGAAAAGGAAGGTTCAATTGAAATCAAAGGAGGACTTTCAATTGATAAAATTGAAACGACACCTGAAGAGGAAACCAAGAAAGAAACTGAAGACGAAATGCCAGATGAAGTAATAGTTTTTGACAGGAAAATAAATACTAGCCTGAAATACAGGCGAAGTTTCTTCGTCAGAATGGTTTCTGATCCAAAGCTTTACAATCCAAAGATAGTTAAAGCATTGTCGTGTTCATCTGATCAAACAGATGATAAAGACACTGGAATTTTGTCACCCATTTAACAACCAAATTGATCTCATTAGTTTCAATTGTCTCATGATTTTGTTGTTGTTGACCATTTCTTTTCTGGGATGTATATTTGATAACTAAAAACGCATTTGAGAGCTTCTTAATGGCAAAATGATATATTTTCACTTAGTCGATAGATTATGGTTACCGGTGTGATTTTTAAAGGATTATTTAACCAATTGTGATCCATGTCAACATGTGTTTAAGATCATTTCATTTTGAAAATGATTGCCATTGCCATTCGACTGTGAAAAGTCTGAACAACCAAAGACCAAATTATTAATTTTACTTGATTATTTCCTCCTTAGATTTAAATTTGATCAAATCTGCTGCGTAATCGATATCAAATAATTGAGATGATCTACAAATTCAATGTCTCATCTTAATTGCAATAGTTTTTTTGCATCAATTGTCAACCCAAAAACTATGGAAGGGAATCAACATAAACTGTTGATATGATTGATTTTGATTTTAATATGAACATTTGAACCTCATCTTTTGATTGCCTTTTATTTATTATTATTGCTTTTAAATTGTTATCATTAATATGAATTCAATTGTACTTGTTTTCATTATTAGTTAATAAATGTATTAAATAATGATTATTCTGTAGATGCAAAATAAAACAAAATTGGTATTTATATTGAATACCTGATGATAAATTTTGTCTAGATGCGGATTTAATTGTTGAAATATACCTTTTGAATAGTTTAGGAAAAGATTATAAATTAAATATGAAACATAAGTGATGATTGAGTGCAGGTTAATTTAAAGTATGCCATTAATTTAAATATTAGCTTGTCATAGATGTGAAGGATTAAATGTAAAGCAAAGATTTTATTTATTTTTTAATAATTTGAGCAAAATAAAACGATTCTTAACAATTATAAATTAAAGATGATTAATCTTTGTCTCTCTTTCAGGAAGAATTACAATAATCTATTTCAAACAATAGACAACAATAATCACTTGATCAATTATTGAAACAGCTTTGCGAGTCGCCAAAAACATAATTTTTTGTATTCTTCTGATCCGATGTCGTTTTACACAAATAACCATTTCTTTTTGAGTATAATTTCGTCCTTAATTGTTTACGCAGCAAATTCAGAGCATTGATTTCTTGGTCAGCTTGGTGTAACCATTGAAACATTATAATAGCGATTTAAGGTTAGTAGTGGCTAGTTGATGATGCCAGGGATTGATAATTAATAGAAGCTTGAATGTAATATTTATCACAAGTACAGTGTTTTTCAATTGAAATTATTACTGGTTAGTTGATTGGTAAATTGAAATGTTTTCAAATAATACATAACAGTTAACAATTTATGCTTTCGCATTGAATCAATACAATTATCACTTACGTCTTGGAAGCAAGCTTCTGCTTTTATGTATATTGAGTTGATTTTTAATCACAGAGAGGATAGACTGATTAAACATTTAACCCTGATTCAACTAATTACCGAGCACATAATTTCAAATGACAAAAATTTTGATAACAATAACTATGCAGAGAGGCAGAAGCGATCGAGTGGCATGAATATGAAGATCCATTGAAGATGAGGATGGAAGCTGAAGCATAAAAATTGCAAGTAATAATAATAAGTGAACAGAATAAATCTTGAAACAGGTTAATCACTATCATCTTCAATGACCAATTCAACCTCTTCTTCGTACGATTCATCTTCTTCCTCTTCTGACTCCGCTTTTGTAATATAATTAACTGGTTCAACTTTTTTAGCACCTGTTGATCTAGCTGATGGCGGTGACAGTGTTGATTGTGAGGCTGGTTTATTAGACCTTACTTTGGATTCAATTGTGACACTTGATATTGGCGATTCTTTACCACTCTCACTGAAATCACTGAGATCTTCTTTGATTCCTTCCTTTTCCAAATTTTTAAGCAAATATTCGATCTCCTTTTCTTCTTCGTCTTCATTTTTACATTCATTTGTTTCATCTTCCTCTTCCTCTTCCTCCTCTTCTTCTTCTTCTTCTTCCTCTTCATCCTCTTCTTCTATGGCATTTTCGACAATATCTTTGACTTCGTTTAATCCAATACCAAGTTCACCCCAATCGATATTTTCAATTCCTTCCTTTTCAAGTTCGTTCAATAATACATCGATTTCTTCGTCCTCTTCAATTATGTCCATTGATCGAGCGATTTCAGGTTTCGTTTTGGATTTTATTAATTTCAATATTTCCGCCGTCGATGATCGTGTTAGACCCGATTTCCTTGATTGGAGTGCTTCATCTGTATCACTTTCATCCTCCTCTTCGTCTTCTTCTTCTTCGCTTTCTTCCTCACTTTCTTCTTCACTCTCTTCTTCACTTTCCTCCTCTTCTTCTTCCTCTTCATCATCATCTTGTTGCATGATAACAATCTTTTTGACATCTTCTTTCTTTTTCTCCTTTTCATTGACAGTTTCACTTGGCTTTTTTGGTTCTTGATTTAAGTTAGCTGGCTTAGACTGATTAACAGTATCTTTTGTAACCACAGGTTTTGATAATGATGATGAAGTTGGTTGAGAGTTGGGTGAAGTTGTTGTTTTATTTCCACTGGAATGAATAATATTTGTTTTATTTTCATCAACTACCTTTGTTTCCTCAGCTTTCTTAGGTCCATATTTTTCTTCTGCACCCCAAATAGAACCACCGACAATATTTTTAGGTTTAGGTCGACAAACACCATAAACTTTAGGCTTGAGTTGCTCCTCAACTTTATCATTTGAAGGCTTTGATGGTACATTATTAAAAGTGACATTCTGACTAGGCGAAATCTTTTCATTGACCGATTCTGAACTCTGATCATTTAAACCAGATTTTACTGGTTTACTTGATTTACTTTTATCATTTACATTTTCTTGTTTAACATCCGAGTCTTTTCGTCCTTTCCTCCAAGGATACATTGTATCAGCTGGTGTTGAAGATGAATTGTTTGACGGTGTTGTTGGTTCTGCTTGGGTTTCTTGAGAAGGTCTTCTTCGTAAAGTTGGACGCGAGTAATCAGTTGACATTGAAAAAGTATTTGTATCATTTTCTTGTGACTGTCGACGTCTTAGAGAAGGTCTAATTGGTGCATCAGTGTCATCTGTTTCTTGTGATGGTCGACGACGAAGTTGCTTATTGCTGGTTGTTGACGGTGATAATGGATTGTTCTCATTTTCTTGTGATGGACGGCGCCTTAAAGGCGCTCTTTGTGAATTTTGAACTTGATTTACGGAGTCATCTTCTTGAGAGGGTCGTTTTCTTAATGTCGGTCTAGCAGGTTTAACGTCGTTAGCCACTGTATTTGGTTTTGATTCAGACTTTTTGGTTGCTGGCGGAGGAGCTGCTTTCTTTGAAGATGATAATTCTATTGATGGTGGTGGTGGAGGAGGAGGAGGTGGAGGGTCTGAAGTTCGAGTAAGAGGTTTAGATGTTGATTGCAATGTAGAAGGTTGAGCTTTCGAGCTCAGTTGTTTAGTCTCAGGTTGGTTGGTGATATTTTTGGTTGTTTCCGATGTTGGTGGTAATGCTGAAGATAAATTTTCATTTGCTTTCATTGCTGCTTTGAATTCTTTTGACTTAGTCCGTTTTAATGCATCCTTTTTACTGGCCCATTTTACTCCACTTTTTGATTTTTTGATTCTCTCATAAACACTGTAATCCTTGTGAGGGTCAAATTTTATCTTAGGATCTGCAACTCTTTGCAACCCTTTTGTTTCAACGGGTTTCCATTTTTTAACTGGAGCATTGGAGGCCGCAATTTTGGGTAAACCGATGGAATTATTTCTATTATTACTAGCACCAGATGAGTCTTTGGACTGAAATATACTTAAAATGGATGTCAACTTTTTTGGTGCTGGTTTTTCTTCTGAATTTTCTTTATTATCTCCTGTAGATTCTGTATTCCATAGGGCTCCATTAGTACGAAGTTTGCTTGGCGTCGGACTTGTAACCCTAGTTTTTTCATCTTCTTCGACTTTCTTGAACATTTGAAGCTTATTTTTTACACTTGTTGTACCTTTTAACATTGCCTTTTCAGCTTCAATCTCCTGTCTTTTTTTCTTTGTGAATGGATCTTCAATCTCTTCCTTTTTCTTGGCTCCATTATACTCTTCATCTAATTTTTTCAATTGATTCATGAAACCATCATTTGGCTTAACAAAAGGACGAGCTTCTTTAACCTATTTTGAAAGAAAGAAGATTTCTTAGTACATTCATCTAATATTTATGTACATGCATAATAAGAATTAACAAGTTGAAGATGCCAACGGTTGAAACCACAACATATTCAATTAATCTTACAATTATTCTGATTATTTGCATGTAAAGTACAAATCATTCACTCAGCTGTTGAATATTTCAACACCTTTGCAACAAGAATCTCGAACCAACAAGATTGTGATAGTTATTATTGATCACCCAGTACAATCCATCCATTAACTAGAAATTGAATTTCGACTCACCTCATTATAAGCGTTATCAAAACGTCTCTTCTCTTTGTACATTAAATAAGCGATGCATATGGCTGATGATCGAGACAATCCTGGCTTGCAAGCATTACAATGAACAAAACAGTTTCCTGCAAATCTTCCTTGGTCAATGAAATCAAAAATATCATCCAGATATTTTCTTAAATCAGTAGAAGATGAGTCCTCGATTTGCATACTCAAATAGTTGTATTCATCTTCAAACTTGTTATCCACTTCATCTTCAGCCGCATTTACAATGTGAGTAATCCCGTATTCTTCCAACGTTTTCTTACAGTGGGCAACATCCTGAGAACCTGAAACGTATAAGAGACAAGAAATTAATACATTATCAATATATCCATTAGATTATTAAATTATTTGCATCCTTAAGTCAATGATTTAAAATCAAAACAAAAGCAGTTATTGATATTTTTTACCATAACGATCTTTACAACTGTAAAACAACTGAAACTATCAATCAGAAATTATACCAATAAAGGCCACAATAATATAAATCATACAATAGTCACTTCTGTATCAAATTAAAATAAACATGGCAAAAAATAATTTGGACACTTAACCAAAATAATAATCAAAATAGACTTCAGACTTGAGATTTAAGTCGTTTCATTCCAAAGCCGATGCCTTTTCCCATCTGTTTATTTTTAAAAAAGCATAAAACGCATCAAACGCTGAATTTATTTTTTTTAATGAAAGTGAATCTATTTTTCATGCTATTGAATTAGAATTAGCCAGTTTCGACCATTTGTTTCTATTTCCTCTGATTGTAGTAATAACCGTCTATCAACTTGCATGATTAATTTAATTAAAAATGTGAAATGTTTGCTTTTATAGTAACCCAAGTTTTGTTATACCAGATTTAAGACCCAGAATACCGTATAATTTGTAATATGAAATTTTAGGATGAGTTTACACAAACATCAAAATGAAAACAAATCATCATATCTGTATTTGCTCCCATTATTATCATCATCTAGTGAACATTTCTTCAAGAAAACATATTAATCTTGCTGAACACTGTTAAATCGTCTATCAATCAGTATTATGATCCAGAGGAAATATCATAAAACCTAAACTGGCTGAGAAAATGAAATTCATTTCTCTTTATTTGTGTTGACTTTTTTGTTCAACCAAAGTAAAATTTATCCAAACACTGTCTAGCTTCTTCGAAAAATAAAAATCTCTGACTAATTTAATGTAGATTGTGATGATATAAAGAAGAGATGATGAGCAAGTGGTGCGTATATGATGTGTTTAAATTATCATTTCAGCCAAGATCAATTTGAGTCTTCTCCATAAGATTATTTTAAGCTTGTGGAGCAAGGTCAATGGAGTAAATTGTGCTTCTTCTAATTACTAATTTATATTGTATATTGGCAATTTCAATTTATCATAGAGCCTTTATCCTTCATCATCAAAGTGACTGAAAACTAATAAGTAAGCAATACAGCGATACAGAGTAAACGCCTAATGTTTATTGATTCAAAAGAAAAAGCGTTCATGTGATGTTATCTATTGATTTACAGATTTTATCAAAGGATGCAGTTAATTGTTTCAAATATCAACTGTGATTGTGAACTTACCAATCATTAATCCAGGAATAACTAGACCAACTTGAAGATCCAATTTTTGATTCTCAGTTATTTTCGATGATTTATTTGATTCATTTTCAAGTGTCTTTAATCCTTTTGCACTCCTTTTTTCAACAACCTTTTCCCCTAATCCAGTTGTCACATTGGTTTCAACTTTACGTAATGCACGTTGAGAAAATTTTTGAATCTCATTGAATAATCCACTTCGATCTTCCATCTTAATCCAACCAACTGTACAAGCAAAATAGACAACTCTTTGAAAGCTTGCAAGATAATTGAAAGACGAAGCAACAAAAAAACACTCAAAATTATATCAATATAAGAAATTAATTTACACAAAATTTAGGTAAACAGTTAAAAAAAGTGTTGCACAGTAAAACAATTATAAACATGGACAAGTTGAAGAAAATAATTTAAATTTTATTTGCTGAATATAATGAAATTATAAGCAAAATTGAATATCAACAGTCAATAGCGTATTCATTTTATCCGTACACACTATTAAACGTACTATTAAACCTGTAAGATGGTGATGATGAAGATTATGCAAAGAAGAGTGAGAGGGAGAGATGAAGATAAGTTTATGAATTCAAGAGGAAAAATTCTTGGATATTTTTGACTTGGATCCAATTGGAAGGTTAAAGGGATTTTGGATGAGGGAAATATTTTACTCCTCCCTGTTGATGTGAGATTGAAGATGCAATTTATAGTGAACAAATAGCCTGTTGCTATCAACTTTGATTGGTAGAGAGATGGAAAGACAGAGAAGATTGAGAAAGTAGATGATTTGCTTTGGAATCGGTTCTAGTGTAACACTGAAACTTGCTAATTTTAGCCATCTTTTTGGGTACGATTTGCTAGTTTACAATATTACTGGAGGAAACCCTTAAATTGTAAATAGACCAAGAGCATCATCAGTGTGCGTTGAAACCATCTTTCACGTCTCAACATTGTTATCATCAACATCAGTAGCAGCAACAACAGCAGGTGGAGCATCCTCATCTTCATCATCACCATCGTCATTGTCACCGTCATTATGAGCCATTGAAAGTTTTTTGCTTGGTCTTTGCTTTACACTTTTAACCCAATTTGTGAAACATCGACCTACATAATAACATTTGTTGTGCATTGACTGAGTAAAAATAAATTATTAGTTTAGGCAAATTCATTTACAAAAATCTATTTTGACAGCAAACTATTTCACCTAAATCATCAGGTTTATTTTGATGATTTTTTTGCTACAATAGATTTAACGATTTTAAATAGTCAGTTTACCAGTTTAAAAAAGATTGTCAACAGTATTTGGGTTAATGAAAACAGATTTTTTCAATTTTGGGTAAAAACCTTTTGTTATTGATACTGTTTTAGCTCTTTTCTTAAAAAAATATGGTAACATGGCAATTAAATAAATTTTTGCTTTAAAAAATAATTCAATGTTGGCTAAAAAAGTACATGATAAAAATATATTAACAAAATAGCTCTTTTGTAAAAAAAGATTGAACAGGCGATGGAATGGACGAGTTTATGGTAAGGCACAGGAATAACGATTCAGGCATTATGTGATTGGTTATTTTCATTATGAGCTTGATTATTTTCACCGAGGTCGGCTGGATCTGCCTGATAATATAACTCGTCCCGCGAGCTCTCCTCCGATGGTTCCTCTCTGTTAGTGTAAAGTACATAATGTTGGATCATGAAGAATATGTCGAATGCCATTGATAATAATCCGAGACCAAATTTGACAGGATTTCCAATCATGACACTGATGTTACCTTTAGAACAAATAACATAAAAAGAGAATTATTAATCATGAGTGAAACATGAGATCTAGGCGATTAATTAAAATCATATTGGGAAAGATATGAAATTTGTGAACTCATGTACCATAATTACTATTGTTACAAATGTTTTTCAAGTACTTTTTATGATAAAACTTGGTGTGAATTTGACGTACTTGGATTAACGAGTTAAAAAATGAAGATCAAATAAGAGTTAAGTAGATTATCATGGTTATATCATGAAACAAATCATATTCAACAATTAAATATCAAACATAAATAAGCATAACGTTAACATAATAAACATTAACATGAATGTCATAAAATAAGTAAATAGTTGATTGAGGTATGATTGGAGCGCAAAACTAGTGTTGATTATAATTAAATGGATTGAAAGTCATGTGCTGATGTACTTCATAGATCAAAGGTAATTTTGTTGAATCTTAAAATGGCCAAAATCGAGACTCTTAGCAATAACTCACAAGTCAGATTGGACTAACATTGTAAGTGTAATAGACTGATTATTGAATATTCAATCTATTAGTGAATCGAAAAAACAGATTTTGACTGAAATGGAAATTCGATGGAAAAAAACAGTAGGAAATGTTTAAAACTTCCCGGTTTCCCACTTCCAATAATTAAAACAGCTTTGTATATATCCTCAATTAAGCTTAACTCAACTTAACAAATCCAAAGGGAACTGGATCTCAATTTTAAGAGTGGCTGGATAATCAAGTTTAACTAATTTAGTTGATCTTAATTAACAGCTCGCCTGATGTTTGATAATCTTCAGTGACCATTTCAGTGCAAGCAAATTACCTTCTTTAATTGCAGACAGCCCTTGTTGAAGTAAACTGAAGGATCCACCCGTGAAATCAAGTAGGATATTGCCAATACTCCAACCAACAGTTGATTTTCTCTTGTAATTAAAGTAAGCCTGGGAAAGAAAAATAAAACCATGTTTAGATTTATCAATCAATCAGAAGAAACAACTGAATAAATACAAAAAAGTTAACCAACAGACTGACGGTGAAAGATTTACAGAATACCAGAGCAAATAAATTTCAACAGTAGCATTGCGATTATTTTGGGTATATTCTGGTTTTCCAGTAGATAATTATTTCTATTATAATTTACTGATCTTCAATCACACAGTATGTTACTGATGAACTGTTCATTGTGGTATATCAACACATAAAATTGAAGTTAATTCACTAATTAACAAGATAATTCACTGGTACAAAATTCTTCAGGAAAACTTTTCGCTGGCAAAGTCTAGTAGCAAGATACTACATAACATATTATTACATAATGCAGTGATGTCAGTAAATTACAACACCAGATTGTTCATTTCACACGGTTATTGCTCATAAAGAGATTTTCCATAAAATTTTACCTGAGGACAGTATTTAGAAGCACTGATTCCCAGTTTAACTGTGGCAAAATAGTATCCATGATAGAAGGTGTTGAGTTTATTGAGGGCCACCAGTAAAGTTAAAATACCTCCGACTGACCAGATGATTATTGAAGCTATGATAACCGAGATATGGACAGTTTGACTGCCCCTTTCATAAATGAAACATTGAATTATGGTAACAATGGTCGCAAATGTTGCATGAATTGAAAATCCAACATCATTGGCAAACACTGGTTCAGTTTGATTTGGATTGAAGTGAACAAAGTCTTTCTGGAAGCGAGGAATGTAGAAGAGGCAAACATTGTAGATTGTATAACACAGGAAACCGGTAAGGTTGAGGGCAATGAAATTAAAATCAAGTCCGGTAACTTTTTTCCTTTGAAAGTTGATTAATATTTGAGGATAAAAGCTGATTGACCAAGCAGCAAAATAGATCCAACCAACAATTTGAATTACAATGTCAAGTGTATCCATTGTTAACTTTACTAGAAAAATGTTTGATGACTAGCTCTTCAAGTGAGTAATTGTCATCAAGCTGGTAGAGTGGAGATATTCAACTCAAATGAATGATAGATGGCTTGATACTAGAAGGTGGTTAAATAAATTAGTTGGTTGCAGGTTAGTTGTAGTTGAGGTTGCTGATGATGATGATGATGATGAAAAGGAGAAAGAAAAAGAAGAAAAATGATGGTATTAAATCCTGGTGATGATGAGATCGGTGTTGATGGCACTGATGACTGCTTTAAAAAGTGGTTTGTTGTTTGGGTATTGCTGTTGTTTAAAGTTGATGGTAGGTTTATTTTTCAATTTAATGATTTGATCACATTATTTAGAGAATGAATCGTTTTAAAATATCATTTTCATTACTTTAAATAGAATGATAGGGTTGTCGGTGAGTGATTAACATGAAACTCGGTTGGAGAACAAAAGTTAAACAATAAATAGACAGCTAATTACATAATTTATGGCATTATTGGTATCATTGTTAATAGCAGTTTTTATGATAATTGATTTTTAACTCAGTTATCATGACATTGAAGATTGGTTATGTTAATACTTGCAAGGGAAAAGACATAACTAAACCAAAACAGTCAACATAAGTCCACGAGATTAACACTCATAAGCCTAAACGATTTCATTTATAAACAAAACCAAGCTATCCTTTCTTAGGGCATCAGTACTCACTTATTGTTGTTTCCTTGCTGGTCCTTTCAACTATATAAACGATTGATTAAATTAACACAACAATCGTTCTTTACTACAATTATTTACAATTATGTTGAATTGTTGTAGACAAATATATGTAAATAAAAAAACATGAGAACAAAAGCTTTGAGACTTCAACAGATGATTTTCCTGCCTAGCAATTGGCTGTAAACTTCTTACATGCTTGGCGGTTCGGTTGATTTTTATAAAAAAACTAATTTCCATTGAAATATTGAGCGACAACGCATTCTAAAAGTTAACCATGATTAAAAAATAAAATGGATAATAAGATATTAAAAAGTCAAAAATTAAGGGAGCTCGAAATCAGGGAACAATGAATTTCAATTGTAAGCTTTAAGAATTTATACGATTAGCAAGATCTTCAGTTCATTTTGTCTGAAATAGGGTAGAAGATGAATATTGAATGAAATGAGAGTGTTTTAACTGAAAATGAGAGATTCAATAGAAATGAGATTTGACCTTAAAGAAGACCAATCAAGCTGAAAAGTGTGAGGTAAAATGCATTATACTCGTAAGTGAGCCATTAAAACGCTTCTACGAATAAAAACAGCACATTGATCCAGTTGAATAAGTGAGATAAATTGTCAAAAAGCTATTATTGTTTGATGTTTGAGATGAAAACTTCGTTTTTCACATTAATTGCAACACTGAAAAGATACATTTTGCGGAATAATTAAAATATAATCACCTTCATTCACTGCGTTTTAAGAAAGTGTTGAACGCAGCTGAGTGCTTTTGAAAATGGTTGGAATTTGATGGAAATGTTTAAGAAATGTCGCCTTAAAACGCTTTCATTCAAACAGAAATTCAATCGTAATATTCAAACATATTAGATGAAGTACACTTGTTTTAATGACCGATTTATGAAGTAAATAATCTAAGATCAACCCATAGAACTATTCATGTCGACTGAACTGGAAGAAGGCTTCGAAATGAAGGTAATACATGATAAAGAAATTGAAATGACTTGTAAATTTTGATGCAAAAGGTTCAAGTTGAGAGACAAAGACCGCTTTTTTATTTGTTACCCAAGAAGAAAGAGATAAGGAGATTAAAATCTTATATGATTGAAGAGTAGAGATGATTTTGAAAAAGAGTCAATAACCTGATGCTTAATCTCACAATTGTCAGTGATTTCAAATTCACGTCTGAACGTTGTTGAACTTGCGGATTATTTTTTGAAACGAAATGACCTGGACTTGAATACTCTGAAATTATTTCCCATTGTTTTGCGTTCAGCGGTGTTAACTGAATGTCCTATCGTCAGTGAATCAATTAGTAAGTGAATCTCAAATTAAAATGTAAGTATTTTTAACAATTTCAAGGCTTATCTTGAGTTTATGAAAGCTATGTTTTATTATTAATAATCCAATGACTTCTGTGATTTGAAATATTCTAGGTGTTTTGATGGAATTTGCTGCAAGCCTCAACCAGGGTAAATAGTATTTTGTATCTCAAGGATGTTCAATTTCACTTGAGATGAAAAAAACTTCATCTCTGTTCAAGAATTATTTATTTAACTAGAAATATTAAACTCTAATGAAATGAATTTGTTAGATCGTTTAAAAGTGTGCTTAGTTCAAAAAAACATGGCTGATTATTTTGATTACTTTACAAGGTGAACGCCTTATGATTGTGGTTTTATTTTGACTGGTCATGGTGAAGAGGATAGATCTAAACGTTCTTTGTATGGATTACTATTGAAACTCTTGACTCTTGAGTTGGCCCATGTTCATGATCACTATTTTGGTCACGGTGTACCGATTGTTGGACAACAAAATTGCTTGGTGTATATTTATGAGTTCTTTAATTGAGCACTCAGGTAGGGAGCATGTAAGTAATAATAAAGTTAATGAAATTAGAAGATAATGGGATGAGAAGGAGAGAGAGAGAGAGAGAGAGAGAGAGAGAGAGAGATGGGAAATGGGATACAAGAAAAACAAGCATGTAAAATGAAATAAATGCTTGAGCATAGGTGGGTCGTTTTGTTGGGCCTTTGTCCTGATGGAATGATACCGACGTTGTCTAGGTTTTTGTGTTGATTTGGTGCGTAGTGGATGATGAAGTGAATAAAGAAGAGGGGAAAGTAAACAGAGATGAGAACATTACAGGTAAGAAATACAAGATGAGCATTCCACTTGGATGAGAATGAAATAATGATGAAATGATAGAAAGTCAGCGAGATAAGAAAAGTGAGAAGATGAAGTATCAGTTGACATACATAACGAGGTAATTACAAAATCGAATTTGAGTTAATCTTGAACACTAATATTCTAATAGAAAAAAGAAAAATTGATGGCACTTTTCGCACACTTTTTAAAAAGAAGTAGAAAGAAATGGAGAAAGAAAAGTTGTAACCTAACATACAAACATGAGTTTGATTTTTTTTCATCAATTTTTGTATAAAATGATGATAGAAGAAAATTGATACCAAAAAAGGTTAAAAAAAGGGTTCAAACGAAGGAAGAAATATTTGATATCAAAGTCAAGAAAATTTGAGTGCCTTTTTGTGTGTGTGTGTGTGGTATAAGACAAATTGTAAAAGATCTACAAGGTGAAGGAAAGAAAAAAAGGAGATCAAGAAAACCTTAAGATTAGAAATACGATTATTTGTGTGTGTGTTAATGTTAGCATCGGTAGTTCTTGATTTGTTGAAAGTAGAAGGATGACATAAAATGTTCATCCATGAAAAATTGCATCGATCTTTCACTAGCATCGTACTCCACTGGTATAGTAGTTAATGAAGAATTGTATAAATATGTTATCTGCAATTTTATGTTACAGCTAGTGGACACCAGAGGCTTCTTTGTAGTCAGAACCATCAAGGGTAAAGAAATCTTCAAGTTTCCATTGCAATGTTTCAAAGGTTGGTCTCTTCATTGGGTCTTTGTGCCAACATTCTAACATAATTTCATACAGAGCCTGAGGGCAGCCTTGTGGGCAAGGCATTCGGTAACCATGGTCAACTTGGTGTAAGACCTCAGCATTGGTCATACCTGGATAGGGTAGACGACCATATGTAACAATTTCGGTTAACAGAATACCGAATGACCAGACATCAGATTTAATGCTAAATTTACTGAAGTTAGCCGCTTCTGGAGCTGTCCATTTAATAGGAAACCTTGCACCGGCACGAGCTTCATACTCGTCTTCTTTGATTAATCGAGCTAAACCAAAGTCAGCTATTTTAACAACGTTTTTCTCACCAACAAGAATATTACGAGCAGCTAAATCTCGATGAATATAGTTTTGTGACTCCAGATAAGCCATTCCTGAGGCGATATGAGCAGACATATCAATAAGTTGAGGTAGCTTAAGACTTCTTCCTTTTCCTTGCAAATATTCTAAAAGACTTCCGTTTTTCATTAGTTCCGTGATGATATAAATTGGTTCCTCTAAAGTACAAACAGCGTAAAGTTGCACTAATTTTGGATGCCTTAGTTTTTTCATGATCTGTGCTTCGGCTAAGAAATCTTTTGGATCCATTGTTCCTGGTTTTAAAAGAAATATATCAAAATTATTAATAAAAAGTAATTGTTAGATGGCATTTTAAATGAAAATAATGATATATCATTGATTTAACATTTAAACACAAAAATCAATACGAAGTTGAGAGTAAAGTTAAATGAGTCTAATTAGAGAATGGAAATGATTCAAATAGCGAGTTTCAGTCAGATAATCAACTGAATAAAAATAAGCTGAATGATTTTCATGCGTGGAGATCTTTCAAAAGATATAATCAGATTTGACTTCCGCTCAAATTATTGAAAATAAATATTTTCGACTAACCTGGCTTAAGTGTTTTAATAGCTACTGGAGTAGTATTATTCCAAAGACCTTCCCAAACTTCCCCGAACTGCCCTTGGCCAAGTTTACGAGTAAATTTGAGAGAAGTTCGATCTATTTCCCATTGATCTCGGTGTGATAAACCACTTGTAGTAGGTTTTTCGATTTGAACACAAGGCTTTCTCAGGTTGACACATAGCCCGTCAGCATCTTTGTTGTAATGCTCAACGAGTTCTTGTAAGGTTTTGAATGGTATGCGACGAGCGATGAAAAATCCACCTTCATCTAGATTTCTGATACGGTAGTGTTTGACAGTATCACCATCACGGACTGACAAGGAGAAGTCATTTCGACGGCTTTCACTGTCCCGAATAAGGAATGATCCGTGCTCATTTTCTGGCATCAAAAGTTTTTTTTCAGCTTCAGCTCGTTTGATCTTTCCAAAATACCATCTTATCAAAGTAAAGAAAAAAGAAACATAGATAGAGAGAGGAAAAGAAAGAGAAGCAAAGAGAATAAGATAGAATGAAGGAAGGAAAGAAAAATATAAAGAAGCAAAAGGTGAGAAAATAAGGTGAACATTAAAAAGAAACAATTAGAACATAATGAAAGATGGGTTAAGATTGTATTAAACTTACGGTTCTGCTTCAATAGAAGACAGTTTGGCAACATAATTGGAGGGTATATAGCCCTCTAACTTGGTTGATTTAGATTTTGCATACCACCAATCACCTTGAGTATCATTAACTACGATTAAATGTTCGCCTTTTTTGAAACTTAGATCTTCCTCGGTACGTGCATCATAATCATAAAGAGCGACAAATACTTTACTATTGTTGAGAAGATGGTCCTCTGGTCCATGAAGACTATCATCATTGAGAACCGGTATTACAGGAAGATTAGATGAACCACTGGCTACAACAGTAGGATTAAGTTGACCACCATTTCTTAAATTAGAAACATGAACATGTGAAGAGTCCAAATTACTTTGTATTGGAGCACTAATTATATCATGATGTTGCTGGGTGAGGCCTGGTGATCGACTGGTCAAATTGTCACCGGAGGGTTGATTACTATTATCCTCTGTTCGACGTTTTGACTTACAGCAGAAGCATCCCATCATTGGTAACAGAGGATTAATCAAATCACCATTTAAACAAAAAACTAAAGTCAATACAATTAAACATTTAAATAGACATAAGAAAGGAACACTCAGCAGCAATAAACAATATCACATTCAATTTAATGTGTATCTAAGAGGCTAAAGAGTCTTAAGATGGACGATATTATCGATATCAATAAATATTATCGATATTCCGGAAAATTATATCATGAATGAAATGAAATGAAATACCGAAATGATCAAAGCTATTTTAAAGCATAAAATTCAATGCTGCTGCTTTTTTCATCTCAAGACGGTTTTATAAAATCAGGTAAATTTTCAGGTAATTTTCCGAAAAGCTTTGTGATATCGATAATGTTATTATCGTTTATCAACATCGATGGTGATATTTTAAAATATCCGATTTTGGAACAGAACGGGTGAGTAACTCAACAGATGGCAATACTAAAATGTCTTTCAAATGGACTGTCTCTTAAAAAGACAGTTATAGAAAGACTCTTTCTTTTCAAATATGAGAGTGATGTAATAAATGATACCTGGCTATATTGAAATATCGCTTATCACTAGAGACTCTCTGGTTACCAATAACTTGGTTGGAGTTTTAATAAATTTTAAACACATTCAGTCCTATAGTTACAATCAATTGTCCCTGTGATTCAATTTATGTGTGCATGGTATGAATAAGCCATTGTCGAGTTTTTTGTTGTGCCTCTTGCTGCAAATTTTTTGAATATCGCCCAAATACTTTTAAAAGCTATTTGAATCAACAAATTTGAAAATGACAATAAAAAAGAGACGTGAAGGAGGAGCTGATCCTAAATTTTTTGAATCACCTGACATAATCAATGGATTTGATTGTGTTCGTCAGTGGTTAGATAAATCAATTTACAGTCCATATCTTCTGGCTGATCCTACAAGTGCTAAAAATTTGGTAACCCTTGTCTTGGGGTTGATTCAATTTCAGGAAGATAATCTCGGTCGGTCTGTCAGTAAACCGCCAATGACTCGGCTTCCAATGAAGTGTATACTTGATACTAAACCAGGTGGAGGATTATGCCATATTTTAGGAACGATGTTCAAGTTTAAATTTGATCAAGGTTGGCGTAAATTTGATCTTCAAGCTACTTCAAAACCTAAAATAGATAAGAATCTAGAAATGCTAAGGCAAGTGGAAAAGGTTTTATTCTCAGCACAGCAAATTTCAACACCAATTGTATATATTCGACCTGATGTTGATGAAAAGTTATCTGAAACATTAAAAGACATTGTTCGTCGTCATCGAGGTACCTGTGTTGATTCTCCATTAGAGGCAACTCATATTGTTCATAATTTAATCTTACCCAATAAGCAACCTGATGATTTGTGTCGACCTGTTGCAAAAAACCAATCCGATAAAAGCGCTTTAATTCATTGGCTTTATACGCCTGATAGTTATGATTCCTGGTTAAATGATGTTGATCTCACCGTAGACCCTGACCCTCCTCATTCAGGTATTGGTCAACGCGAAGTGGAAGCTCGTTGGCTATTGGACACTGATGTTTATAATGAATGGATGAATGAAGATGATTATGAAGTTATTATTGTTGATAATATTCCAACTCATACTAAAAAGCGTTACACCCCAGCAGAATTAATTGTTCAAATTTTACCTGATGAAACCAAAGACATTCGATTTAGACTGACAAAGAGAAAACGTTCACCATCACCTTCTTCAATGGACAAAAAACGACGATCAAGATTGAGCTCTTTTCGAACTAGTTTTTCTGGAACCGATGCATTCAAAAGACTAAATTACAAAGGTCTTGATGAAGACTATGAAGATTTAACCAAAGATTTAGCTGACCCTTTACCAGAACCCAATATTCAAGAAGTTCATTTGCCAAAATTTGTTCCTGGAACTCGAACTACTAAAGACAATGAATTAGCTCCTATAAAAGGAGGATACCTTACTGAATTAGATTCCATCGACCACGATGATAAATTGGGGATGTCTGATTTTGATTTGATGAGAAATCAACACTATGATTCCGAAACTTTAACCATAAAGATTGGAGATGATGATGAAAACGATGTTAATCAAGCAAGCTACATTGTGATTCCAAGTTACTCTTCTTGGTTTGATTATAAATCGATTCATCCCATCGAAAAAAGAGCTTTAACTGAGTTTTTTAACAATTCAAACAAATCAAAAACACCCGAAGTATATTTAGCGTATAGAAACTTCATGATTGACTCTTATCGCATTAATCCAACCGAATACTTAACCGTAACTGCTTGTCGCAGGAGCCTAGTTGGCGATGTTTGTGCCATTCACAGAGTGCACTCCTTTTTAGAATTATGGGGGCTGATCAACTTTCATGTTGATCCTGAAGACCGACCGAATACAATGGGGCCACCAACAACAAGTCATTTTAATATTTTTGTTGATACTCCTGAAGGACTTATGCCGATTGCCCATCCTCGATCCGTTTCAAGTGTTTCAGCTCCACAGCAAGTTTTATCATTAGACAAAGAAGTTAGAAGTGAAACTGATAAAAAAGCCAAAACTCTCCTGGGTGACAGTTTTGGTCTCCGAATGGATCAGTATGAACAAAGGAATGCAGCTTATCGTCATAAAGGAGCTGCAACAATAACTAGAGAATGGGACGAACAAGAAATACTTCTTCTTCTCGAAGCCATTGAGATGTACAAAGATGATTGGAATAAAGTTTGTGAGCATGTTGGAAGTCGAACTCAAGATGAATGTATTTTACAATTTTTAAGACTTCCTATTGAAGACCCCTATTTAGAAGATATCGGACAACCTTTACCTGCCAACTATCAATCAATTCCATTTTCAAAATCTGGTAATCCTATCATGTCTACAATTGCATTCTTAGCAAGTGTTGTTGATCCACGAATTGCTGCATCTGCAGCTAAAGCTGCAATTAATGAATTTGCCAGATTAAAAGATGAAGCATCTCCACAGAAGCTCAATGATGCCTCTAGTTCATTTTCTTCTACCGGTGATAACAATTTTATAAAAGATCCAGATATAAGCACTTGTTCTGGCGATGGAGTAAGAAACTCTATTTCCGTTAGACCATCATCCTCATCCTCATCATCCTGTATAAATTTTGAAACTTTCGGTGACATCAAAGAAACTCTTTTAACACCAAAATTAGAATTTGATTCTAGTGCAAAAACAGAGAATGATTTTGAATCTGTCCCTAAAACTGGAATCAAAGAAGAGATTCATCATAATGGAGACCCAAGATCTGATATAAAAGACGAAGCATTCCCTAATCAGACAAACAAAGATGGGGTTATTGAAAGTGAACATATTAAAGATAAAAGTTTGAAAGATTCTCAGATTAGCAATGCTGCATCGTCAGCATTGGGTGCAGCTGCCATTAAAGCTAAACATTTGGCGGCTATTGAAGAAAGAAAAATCAAAGCTTTTGTTGCCATGTTAGTAGATACACAATTAAAAAAATTACAACTTAAATTGAAAAATTTCGAAGAAATGGAAGCCATGCTAGACAAAGAGAAAGAAACAGTAAGTATTTAAATCAAATTCATCCACAAAAAATATCTTCTATTTATCTAATTTTGATTCATTTTATTTTTAATTTTAGTTGGAACAGCAGAAGCAAACTTTAATACAGGAGCGACAACAATTTCACATGGAACAGTTAAAAGCTGCTGAATCCCGTGCTCGATTAAAAGCACAAACTAATGTTTTAGAACCTACTATAGATAATATAAGTTTCCAGCCAATTCCTCAAAAATAAGTCATAAAGTCATCGTACAACCAACAGATCATATAAAGACAACAATTAATTGATTTAAAGAAAAAAGAATATACTTTCTCTTGGTGTCTGATCTTAAATATCTCATTCCTTCTCTTTTAATTTATTCAAATGAATGTAAACCTCATTAACAAACATGCATGCTTTTCTATACATAAATCCGTTGTCAACCCATTGCATAAATTAATCTTTCCTCTCATATTTCATCTGATCAGCTCTGATTTTTCATCAAATAAAATCCTAAATGTTGATCTCAATTAACAATTCTCTCAAAAATCAATAGTATCTGAACAATTTATTAAAATCAAGGTTGATTGTATCAGAATCAAAAGAATTCTGAAATTTGATCGATAAAAACAAAATGCAATTGAAAAGGAAACAATTTTTCGATCAAGAATCTCGTTCTGTTAGGAAATCTTTCATCATTTTAAAGTCTACAATATCTTGTAATAAGTTAATTTATTGTGACATTGATACAATCTAAATCACATTACTTCGAATCTATGTTTTAGTAAGGAACTGAAATCATTGCCACAGCAATCAAGAATAGTGAGTTATTACTGTTAAATATGTTAGAAGTGTAAATTTTCAATTTACTTCCTCATTTAAAATTTTTGAAATAAAAGTAGATCGAGACAGTTATGATTATTTATAAGGAGATATTTTATTTTACAAAATGGATATGATCAAAATCAAATAAATGATGTACGATTTGATTTGCTTCACACTGTATTTAAAACATACAACTTCATTCGGTAGAAAAAAGTAAAAAATAGAAAATTAATCCCAAAGATGAATTTTATTATCCCAACCGGCAGATAAAACTTTACTTGTCTCATGAGGATGCCAAAGAACGTTAATACAAACATTTTCATGAGCTTGAAATTTAGTCAAAAGTTTAGTAGTCTTCCAATCCCAAATGAAAACTTTACCATCAGCATCCCCTGAAACCAAATACGACATGTCTGGAGAGAAATCTGGTGCACATGCATAACCAGCAACCATATGACCGGTGAATATTTTTTTGGAATTGAGTTTGAAACTGTTGAGACAGGCGAAACCTTGAATTTTATTATCCATTGATTGGCAAGCTAACCATTTACCATTTGGTGATGCGGAAATGGCTGGCATAGAATGAAGCCCAGGATCGGCAATATATTTAATATCGACGGGTATATCCCATTCCCAAACTCGTAAACTTTTGTCATCCGAAGAAGAAACAAATCGCCTATTATTGTCAACAAATGTAATAGTATTAATAGCACCTAAATGACGATCATATTCTTGGACAATTTGACCAGTTCTGGTATCCCAACAGAGAATCTTTTTGTCCGCCATACCGGACAGGAAGAGATGGTTTTTATCTTCATCGTTATTAAACTTAACACAGAATGGAACCTTTCTATTTTGAAATCTTTTAATACACTGTCCTGTTTCGGTGTCCCATAACTTCAATCCACGATCATAACCAGCAGATATGAAACGATCACCTCGTCTATTAAAACAAATATCTCTAACTGCTTGTCTATGTCCTTGATATGTTAATATACACCTTCTATCTCGATAAACTTCCCATAATTTAATTTTAGCGTCCATTCCAGCAGATAAAAATAAATGAGCTGATTTAGGAAACCATCGGATAGCAGTAAGAGCTTTGGTATGTCCAGTATATGTATGAATAACTTTTTTGGGTAGAAAACACTTATGAGGAACACTGTCGGCTCTCAAATTAACATCCAAGTCTTGAGGAGGGTGTAAGAAAGATCTGCCTTGATAATCATAGGGATCAGGTATATGAAGTGTGCTTTTCTCTTCGAAATCTTTTTCTTCCTTATTAACAGTGTACCGTTTCTTTTTGGACATAAACTCTTCGATTTCTTTTTGTTCTTCCTCGGTTGGCTTAGATACCATTTCTTCATTTTCATATGGTGCCCATGGACCTAAGTAATTATCAATGTCCATCGGGTCATCATTTTTCAAACGTTTCTTCCGTGAAGATGGATCACTAGAAGCATATGCTTTAACATCTGGGTTATCAGATGAACTGCCAACTGATAAGCCTATCTCAGCGGATGCCTGAAAAAATACAGAAAAATTTATTACATATTAGATAGGAATTCACAACAGAAGAAAAAAAACAACTTACAGCTCCTCGAACAACTTTATCTTTCAATGTTGCACCATCTGAAGGGTCGTATGCTATTCCATGGACATGAAAGGTTTTTCTTTGAGTTTCAAAATGATAATCATTTATGGCTGTAGGTTCCACTTGTCCAGTTAAAAAGTTTTTACGCGGAAGATGTGACGAGTCTTTCAAAGGATGAGAAGGCCCTAAAGCAGGCGCATAAAGATCATCATATTTAGCGTTGTAGTTCAATTTAGTGCTTACATCGGTGTTTATTGTCGATTGAAATTCGTTTTTCAATTTGAAGTCCTTGACATGAGACTCATCCACATACGGGCATGTATTTATTTGGTTTAATTTACTTTTAATATCAACAGAAACAGCCGGTGCCGGTTCTTCCTCCTTAGACGTTTTACTTTCTTCAACAGTAGATTGATCCTCTTCATCGGATGATCCTTCTCCATAACTCTGTATCAGATTAATCATGATGAATGATACTTAGTCTTATTTTAAGATCGTTAGGGGTAAGCTGAAAAAGAGAAGAATGGGTTATTAAAGCAGATCATATTAATATTAAAAGAAATCTAGTAATGACAACTAGAAATAGGAAAATGAGATAGAAACTCGAGAATGGAAACTCAGATTTCGTTATAAACAAATATAAACCTACCAAAATTAGAATTAAAAACCATACAATTGAAACAATCAGATAATTATGTAATCAATAATAAACAGCTAAATTGTAAACAAATGCATTCAATAATTTCAAACATTGAAACATTTTTTAGTTTGACTTCAGCTCCATCTAGTAGAAAGTTAAACACATATTACAGAATAAAAAAGTTCGATTCTACAAAAAAGAACTTTTGAAAGCCATTTATGCTTCTTCATTAGTTTAAACAATTTAAGACTTGTGCTGAAATAAATTTCTCTTAAATCAATATTTAGTTTTTATTTTCTCGTTTTTTGAGTTTTGTGTGAACCATCATTTTAACTATGGATCAACTAAATCAACAATTTTCTAAAATGGAATCAACTTTGGTTGACTTAAAAGCTGAAAAGGAGCTGTACGAAGCCAAACATTGTGCTGTTGATCAAGAAACAATTATGCTGCAGAAAGATCTCCATGAACTTGAGTTGGAGCTGAGAAGTCAACAATTCAATCTACATAATCGATCATTCCTTTCTCGAGAGTTGACCGAAATAAAGACTTATTGCTACCAAACTCAAGATTTAACTCGAAAGTGGGCAAACAGCTTCAATGAAATAACTGATTATTGTATGAAGAATTTGGATTCAATGGTTTTTATTGATCCCCAGTTTGAAAACAATGCTGATGAAATCGAGTTATTGAGAGTCAATTTAGAGGAAACCATTTTGAAAAATGTTGGCGGTTCATTGGATGATATGGACAGGATTAAGAGGATGAGTGAAGATTTAATGTATACTGTCGAAGCAGAGGCAGCTAAAGATTTGCAAAATGAAAAAGAAGAGTTAGATCTTCTTACTAAACATTTGGTCAACAATGAAAACCTTTTGAGATTTGGTGTTCTCGATAGAGAATTGGAGATTCCTGCTTTCAACTTTACATTGAAAAATGTTGTTCTGAGCAATGCTGAGCTTGGTGAGAAAACCCTAGATAATGAAGCTCAAAGAACACCTCCAATGGCCTCTAAAAAGCTTCACAGAAAAGGACCGAGAAAATTCTAATCCAATTTTTGAAGATGAACATAGCCAGAAAAGTGTAGAAAATGAAGCTATAAAAACACCTCCAAGTGCCTACAAAAAGTTTCACCACAGAAAGGGATCAAAAAGTTCTAATCATATTTCTGAAGATGAGCTGCACCAACATGAGATCAGAGGATACAGTGGTAATAGTTTTGAACAAGATAATAGTAATCAAGAGATACAAGATCAAAAACGAAAGCGTACTATTGAGACAATCAATGAAATTATTGATGAGACCTCTCAAAACAAAAAGACCAGACAAGAACCCATGACACCCCAATCAAAAGGTAATCAAAACGTCAAAGTCTCTTTCATAGAAGACGATAATCTGGACACAACCTGGAAGATCAAAGTCAACCTTGCCCTTCACAGTGTGAGCCGATGTTTCAATTTTCTCAACTTGACTTAGGTACTCAAGATCCATTGGATAACATGGATTTCTTCGACATGGGCGATATGGAGGAACCAATAAAAACTGCTTTTGGCTAGAAAATTCTCTGCTTCTTTTTCATCAAACGAATAGAGTCATTCCCGATATCCATTTTTTCAAATAATAATTGAACAAATTAAATGAGTTCGAAAAGTTAATTTTGTACAACTTTTTGTAGTTTACTGTTTTCCTTTTGCAATTTCTGTTAGTTTTATCTGAAAATATCAATAAAATCAAAGTAAGGAACAAAATTGAGTAAAATAATTAAAGTTCTTTATTGCTGCTTTGTTTGTGTGCTAAATAGAGAAAACCAATGCTAGAAAGAGCACTGACTAAAAATATTACATCAAACCAACGGTGGTAAAAATTAAACTGTAAATCACCTAAAACCTGAGTAACAATTGTTCTGTATTCGAGTGGCATATTCATTCTCATGAGTACAACACTGGATACAAAATACATTGCCATAATCTCTGCAAGAGCTAAGACAATTATATTTGATGATTTAGGGCTTGATATGGCATAGAAAAATTTAGTTAAAGTGATTAAAAGACCTCTAATAGAAGAAATAACAATAATTCCAACGAGAAGGAAAGAAACATGTTGTGACCAAAACTTAACATCAATCTCTAATCCAATCCAATTAACAGCAATTTGTATACCGCGAGTTACAGGATCCACACGGCCAACCCGGTTGAATACAATATTGATTGTTGACTGTAACGAAGAGAAGAGCAAATAAATTATAAAAAATCATTATGAAAATTTAGCAACCATTACAGGCAAATATAAATTTTTACTCACTATAAAAATTTTCCAAATACAGTAAAGAGAGAAAAAATAGCCAACAAAGTGGAAGTATTTTCCTTTAAATGTCTTAGACCATTCCATACGAAGCTGCATAGCTTTCATATCGACCAACTCTAAAAATAATTGCCTTGCAAGCTCTTCTAATGCTCTGCAATCAGATCGCAGTTGTGATACACTTTCAGAGCCTGATTGGTTTAGAAAGAAAAATTGAATTAATCAACTGAAAAATGAGCGGAAAATATTTTTTACCTGAAGATGAGAATGTTTGAATCACACTTGTCCATAAAGATGTTGATGATGGTGAACGACTATCTTTTTCAATTAGAATAATTCGTTTCTTTTTCATTGCAATCAAATCATATGTTCTAAGCAGCTTTTTCTCTAATGAGGTAACGTCTGCTAATGTGACAACTCGCATAAAGTAAGTCATCGAGGTGTAAGGATAGTTGACTGCACCAAACCCAGAAAGTAGAGCCATCAGGGTAACACCAATAACACCAACTCTGCTTATTCCTTGTTCAATTGAGAATATTCCATGTTTAGGACTTAATATGGGAAAAGGATCTCCAATTTTCCAAAATAGAAATATAAAAATTAACCAAACTAAGAAGGCCATGGGCTTGATGTATCTTTTAGCTACAAATGTGATATTACAAAGTATGAAATAGCTCATGTACAAAGGTAGGATAAGAATTATGATAAATAACATGAAATAGAGAATAAATTTCCAATAGAAAAATCGTGTGCTGTCAAAAAGAAATGAAATGGAAGAAATTATCAGTAAAAGTTTAGCTAATGTCAGACGAAGTTATTCATGGTTGAATCTTGATAAAACGGGTTGAAAGTGAACGGAATTGGTGAATATACGAGTGAAAAAGATTTAATCCTGTACTTGTTGACTGATTAGCATTCGGTAAACCAGAAAACCGTGTCAAGTTAACCGGTAAAACATAAGTTGTAGGTTGACTAGCTGGTTACATAGGGACGTCAAATTACCTTGGGTCTAGGATTCCAATGATTTCAAATATAATTAACTCAAACATTGAACATGATAATGAGAATGTGATGGAAAAGATGAGTTGAACAAAAGAATGATGAACCTTAAATGCAAGATAGAAGACAATAAATTAGTAATTGCTTAGAAGTAGCTAGCGTTGTTTGGTTACCTCACGAAAAATATCCATCCTCCAGCAAAGAAAAGAACCTGAATATTAACATTGAAAGAGATATTGAGTTTAGAAACATATGAAGAGATTTGACACCGACATACCTGAGACAATATCACAACAAATATATCACCAAACAGACTCATCTTTGATTTAAGTTCTGACAGCCAAAATCATTTAGGTGTAATGAATTCTGATTCATCAAGCATCGAAATCAGCAGTCAAATTAGAAACAATAACTGTTCTGAAATAAAAATGTAGATTAAACAATAAGATCAGATACGAGAAAAACAGCTGACACCCGGTCTAAAATATACAAAGAAATCTCCCCAAATACATACCTAATTATGATGACAGTAGTCTATTGTTGACCTTTAAATGCTATAAAATAGCTATTATATCACATAATTCAACAAATAAATTAAATAAAGTTGAATTTATTAATTAAAAATATAAAAAACTAATACATTACATCTTGCTGATGGATGATTACAAATAGCTGAGGTAAACACATGTTGAAGTCAAAAGATAAGAAGAGAAAGAGAGAGCTAAATAGAAAGGAAAACAGACAGACTGAGGTAGAAACTTTGTCAAACTAACAGGTAGATTACATCCTTTTGAGTTAAGAATATTGTTTGGTACTAATAACACGTTAAATTGTATCATTCTAGTTATCATAATAATCATTCAATCAGTGGATATATTTTCAATTTCTTTATTTTATTAAACTTGTCAATTTTGGAGGTAAATACAAATGAATGACCAATATTTACATTGAGAAAACTTCATATTTGATTCAAATAGAAGGCTAAAGCTTCTTTATTAAGATTAGAATGAGAATTTGCATGTAGATTATCCATTTCGTTACATTTTTACAAGTGTCCTTACAGTCCTGGGTGTGTCAACAGTCTTCCAATATGGATATTCCCATTCATTTTTCAATGATCAAATTCTGATAGACAACCGGTATTACATCCATCCTTCCTGATTGTTGCGCGTCTCTATAACCATGACCAACTTTCCAAAATATTCACTTCCTTATACCACGATAAATGGAAGCAATTTGCCATTCCTTTATCCCTTAAATTGCCTTAGAGAACGATAATTAACCTTCAACTGGCTTGAGACAAGGTGATCGAAAGGTCAAAAGACTGGTAACAAAAGGATCTCTGTATTAAGCTGAATCAAGCCATGAGATGAGCAAACAGCAGACATGGTTATTCATTTGGAAATCCATAAATTTGTGAACATTATTGAAAGATGTGGTTTTAAGCATGAGAGGATACAATGGATACTAAATATTTTATTACAGATTTTTATCAAATTCAGCTGTCAGTGAATCTGTAAAAAGGATAATCAAAAATTAATATTAACATTAAATTGTACAAAATGGGTCAATGATTTGAATATGTACTGGCGGTGACTTGATTTTCTTTGTAAATCGGGCTTACTTTTGTCGACCATTTCGATACTGATTTTCCGTCTTATTTCACGAATTATTAGATGTCAGGCGAACATTTGAATTGTTGACAATTTTGAACAGGCCAATGTAAATGAAGGTTAATAGGAAATCGAGAAAGATGAGAATCATGTTGCGTTGAAAAAAGTCAATGATCATACCAAAATGAATCATTTTTACTTTTCTTGCTTTGGTTTTTCACAATCAACGGCCTTTTTCTTGTTGAATGAATTTATTTAGAGCTGACAATCACAATTATTGATTTAGTAGTTGATCTTGAATCGAATAAAGAAACATAGAATTGATAAAATATTCCAAAATGTATCACAAAATATATTCATTATTGATTTTGATCAAGCAGGTCACAAACGGCAAGGGTTTAGCACTTTTTTGATTTTAAATTGCAGGGAAAGTTTACAATAAAAATCTTTGGTTGATCAAGAAGTTATGGTAACTGATTGCTGAGTTGAAAGAACCAACAGTGAAAGTGGATCAATGAATAAGGAACTGGTGAAATTTTTGCTTTAAGATGATTTTTTCAGTGAGAAAAGGAGAGTTAATCAAAATTTATTTTGGAGGCCATGATTAAGGTTATCTTGTTTTCAGATTATATCACAGAATCATTTACCTTCTAACAATAATGAAACTAAATTGTATTAGGCGAAACTTATTTCGTCTGTACGTTGGTTTCAATGTAAAAGGAAAGGACCACAAGAAGAAAATAAATAATCAAGGATGAATATTCATTCAATGTAATAATCTTATCATATTTAGGCAATAGCTTGAAGCGAAATCTGGTCTTCTTAGATAATGCTAATTGAAATGGAGAGAATCAATTGAAATAATTGCAAAGCATCGCTTAATTAATCGCTTAATTGAGCCAAATTCTTGTTTCTGATTCAATGATCACCTCATTTTTTCCACAGTTTCTAGCCTTGATTCACTTTCCACAGTTAATTACTCCAACATTATTTAACCGTCTTAATCTCCAACCAAAGGATGTCCAATGCGAGAATGTTAAAGATGTTAGGCAGCAATATAAACAACATAATAAAATTTCGCAGGTATCCGATGCCATTTCCAATAATCTGTTGCTTCTCTGGTTAAACATGACAGACAGAACATGATGGTGCTGGAAATAATAAAGTCTTTGTATCCAAATCTTCATATGAGTTAGTCAATTGAGTGACTTTGGAATGGGTTTGATTCATTAATTAAAACTGACATCGAGTAGGAAGCATGAAAATCAAACGGATTATCCAAGTTTTTGCCAACAGACCAGTTAATTTTCATTTCACCATGTTTGAAGCCTATAAATAACCCTATGGAAATTGAATGAAAATAATAATTAAACTCCTAGAAATATATATATTTAGAGGAAAAAATAATAGCATTGTTGGTTGCATATAAAATATATTAAAAGTGGTCGTTACTTACAGTGGAAATAAATGATGTAATTAAAAACACTTTTACCCAAAATTGAAAGTCAAGCTGAACGAGGATTGATTGGTAAGCTGACAGCTTAAATTAGAGTTTACAACTTGGGTGATGAGGACTTTTACTTTTCATCGTTGTTTCAAGTTTTATTTTTAACCTCTCTAACTGTAAACATTTAATACACTTCAACAAACAAAGTCTGTGTTTGCTGCCAAGAATAAGATGATCATGGTGATGAAGAAGAAGAAGATGAGACTAGAATGATGAAAATAAAAGATGGCAAAAGAGAGCAGAATTAAACAACGGAATCCATTTTTGTTTAAAATTTCACAGTCACCATATTCAACATTAGTTACATATAACAGCTTGACTTGGAAAGCAGACATCTTGTCGACCCATTGGTTTATCTCTCAATCTAACATTTGAGTCAGATCATCTTTAGCTTTTCTCACCCTTTCGTTAACCCTTGACTCTTATTGGTTAACCAACAATGATTAATTATTGAAAATTGTTTCTTTCTTATCATTTTTATTTTTCATGTGTTAACTCAACTTTTTAATCATCAACCATTATGGATTGTTATACTTGTGTTAAGTGGTCCGTTGTGATCGCTCTCATAATAAGCTCCATTGTTTTCCTAACTGCCTATGGATTGGCAATACCATTTGTTGATACACATATCATTGAATTCCACATGTTTTACCTATTAACTTTATTTACCAATTTTTTCGGAATCTATGGGACCATCAAGGAACGTTATTGTTACCTATTCTGTGTTATTTTCAACCTTACTTCTCTATTTATTATGTCACTTTTAGTCAACTTATTAAACTTAGGTTTATCCATATTTTATTGTGTTGTCCTCTCCGAGTTGATACTTTTTGCAATTTGTGTTAAAAACTGTAATGACCCGGACCTTTGAATTAACTTTGGACAACATCAAATCTGTATTATAACTGTATTCAATAAAATAACAATAACCAACATTATAAATTGCGGTGGCCTTTATTTTTTACTATTAAATCTCATCTCAATGGAGCTAAACAATGAGCTTCTTCCAAGTAAACCCATTAAAGATGGATAGCAAAATTGTGAAGTAAAATTAGATTAATAAGATTTTCTTCACTCTAATATTAATACAATGCCAGCTATACCTTTTATCATTATTTAATTTGATTAACCTCCAATTTTTCTTACATCTAACTGTAACTAACACTCTTTTGTCAATCAAATGCTAATTTGATTGTGATATCTACAGCTTTAAAATTAGATGAAATAATAGAGAGAAAAACTTCCACAACTTATGTCAATAAACTGTAGCAATTAAATTATCCATCGGAAAGAGTTATCCAAGCAATCCTTAGTTCAGCAACTTATAACCTTTTATCATGAGAAAACAATTCACTTGAACATCTACAATTGACAAAAAAGTTTTTTCAAAGGATAACTTGATTAGTATGGATAGATGAGAATAAACATTAATCAGAAAAGGTTCAAGTTTATAATGTTATTGTAGTGGTCTCCTGATTTCAACGGGTCGCAAAACAATTTGAATTCAAGCCGTGAATCCTTTTATATTCGTCTATTCATTCTCACAATGAATATTTCAACAGTACGATGATTAACTGTAAATACCAAACCAAGTATAAATATTGCTCAGATATCTTCTTTACTCCCAAAGAATTAGCAGGGCTTCCATCCAATCAACGTACCGAAAAATATTGTTCATGGATTGTCTCGCAGGCTCATCATAATTTGATCTGCCTGAGCAATCAACTGAGATGGGATTGAGTGAACTGCTATTAGGGATTGGATTGAGACACGATGGAATCCAATGGGAATTCGTCAGCTTTGAGACTCGGGAAAGCTTAACCAGTTTATCACCGGAGTGGAATGATATGTGCGAACCTAAAAAAATAGAAATAGAAATGAAAGATTTAAAGTTGCTTTATGACCAGGATATTTGAGCTGCTCTTGGCCCTGAAACAAACACAGCCACAAGGACTAGTCGTGACATCATCACATGAAAATTCAAGAACAGTATTTCATCAATATTTTAAGAAACTTGTTACCATTAATTTATTAATGGGGCTCGTAAATAGTTGTTGATGTATCCGAATTTCGCGTCAATAAACTTGGATTTCATTTGAATTAACCATTTCCTCGAATTTTAATCATATTTCATCAAGATTCTGGCAGGTGATTGTGGAGAGTCATAGCGCAATTATCATCTACAGTTATTACTTTTGCCTCGCAATTGGAATGATAGTTATCGCTTCTGAATCAGGTGTTAACAATCTTTCATCTTTTGTATTTTGAAGCGATCACAATCAAAATATTATGATTAACTTGACGGAAGAACGCTATCATTGAGATTCATTTCCTGAAAAAAGTAGAAAGAAAATATGATTATAAGAATGAGTTGGAATAATTTGGATGATTACCATTAGAAATCGAATTTTTTCCATAAAAACTAATTCTTGATGATTATCCCTTTCTAGAACTATTATAAATTATGTTTTTAATCGATTGACTACTTAAATTTATTAACAAACTTCAAAATTTGATGCAATAATTCACTATTACGTGTATAAGAAATAATAAATTAACTCTACTCGATTACAATTCAATTGACCTCTCTCTTTCTGTGATCTTTTTTAGGATAACAATTGGTAAACTGTTGATGTTAATGTTAGTTGATTGTTGTGAAAATGACCATCCAACCGATCACCATCAAGAAAAAACTGGTGCATCTACTGATTACATTAGATTGGCGTGAATAAAGAAGATAAGAAGAAATCGTCATGCAATTTAAGGAATACTGAAAAGAGATTCAACTGAGTGGTAAAGAGGAGGAGGGGAAGATACAAGATGAAGATAATTGAAGGATGATTTATCTTTGATTAAATTGAATCAACAAGAATATTGGAGAGCAATAAATGTGAACCTGAAAACTTAGTAAGTGTTCGGAACAAATGAAAGAAGAAAAAAAAACAGGTTAATTTAAACAAATGAATTGAATTGATGGTGGGTTAATGAGAAGGAAAAGATTCTACTGATGATGATAATGATGATGACGAAGAAGAAAAGGATGAGGATGGATCCAGCAAGGGAATTGGCCAAGATAAATTAAAAGAGGGAGGGAATCACGGACCATCGATGATGCTTGAAGCAACAATTCAATTCGATTTGGTGAGATTTGGAAGAAAGCTGGTAAGAAACTGAAGGTGGGACCATCCAAAGTAAGGAACAGTGACAAACAGATGCATTACCAGAACAAAATTGAGAAGAGTAACGAAAACACTATTAACATTTAAGCATCAAAGTGAATTTAAATCAAAAACCAAACAATTAACACTAGTGAATAAGATATACTTTTGTAAATTACCGTTGGAAAATAACCAGAAAGTCAGAAGGTACCAGTTTAATTTACGGTTACCAATGGTTACCCTGAGGACCGTTAAAAAGGAACCCAATGTGGGTAAAGTTGTTTTAGTTAGGAACTCTCCATTAATTAAAACAGCAACTTCAATCTCATCATCAATTGTTAATTCATTGTTAATTAAATCTCCAAAAACGTTAACCACCAAATCAACGACAACTTCAACTTTTACCGCAACAACAACTACAACTGCGACTACAGTTACAACTGCAAAAACGACTACAACTGGTACAACCACTACTACCGCTGTAACTACATCGACCACAACCATTAGTTCCTCCAATGTTCAAAGTCAATCAAATTCCCCATCAAATAAGTTAGTGACAAATCAATGTGAAAATGTTTCATCAAATAAATTTCCTACCCACTTCTGTGCCATCTTGGATGATTTTATCAACAAATTTTCGTCTGATCCAGGACAGAAATTGACATGTTTAAATCTTTCTTTTTGTTCACTCAAAACGATTCCTCACCAAATTTCAAAACTCTCATGGTATTTATCTATTTCTATTGTTAAAATTGTGAATGCTTGATTTAAATTGAAAGGTAGAAGACATTATTGACATGGAAATTTGCAGTTCAGAAATTTTGCTTTCCTACTCTCAGTGTGTCTAGTTGTTATTTGGCAAAATGAGGGAAACAAGTTATCAATCAATTTTCTGAATTTACTGTCAATTTTCATCTAACCCATAAAGATTAACAGAGTGATTAGAGCGATCACGTTTGAATGAAGAAAAAACTCAACCGCAATTCAGGCCAAAAAATTGATAGTCATTCAATCTGAATGATTAATCAAGCAGTAATTGAGTTTATAGCTAAAAATGATATTGATTTTCACTTAAATCAAATTAACATTGACAATGTAGGCAATTTTTCTGGAAACTTTTCAACAAAACTCAGCTTAATTCATCAAAATTATTTTTGTCTTTATTTTTTACAGTTTAAAAAACCTCAACCTCAGCTGCAACGAATTAATAAATGCCAGTTTTCCACATCCAAATGACACGATCGAATCATTGGCCTTATCCTTCAACCAGATAGTTATCAATGAGGCAACTCTTCGAGAAATCAACACTACATTTTCCCGTTTAGTCAAGTTAAACCTTTCGTACAATCTTAATGGTGATTCCAGAAATTTACGCTTGCGAATCGACTTTTCATCGTACATTCTATTTTCATTAAATGTATCTGGAATTTATTGGCGAAACCTAAGAGGGATAAAGGGTAATTCGGCAATTGCTCGATTTTATCTGCATAGCTCTGGATTGATGGGCTTACCTTCATTCAATGACTTTGAATCTTGTGTTTCTCTCGATCTATCTAACAATGAGATTAATTTTGATCGTCGAACCATCCAAAGAATTGTCCGGTATCTTCCATCTCTTCGCTTTTTGGACATTTCTGGGAATCCAAGTCATCATTATCCAGACTTTCGTTGGACAGACAGATGGTCTAAAGTTGCAATGGTTAAAACTCGTTGCTCTGATGAAACTAGTCCAGTAAAAATGGCAATGTCAAACAAATTTTTGAATGATTTAAGTGCCTTAGCTGTGGTTGAATTTTATTCATCAACAAAAGACAGTCAAATAGATTCTAGTAAGTTTATCATGAATAATTTTATTACGAACCATCAAGATCTTAAAGAAATTCTCAGTGATTTCAAGTAAGTTTGCTATTATTTTCAACTTTAAGTCTGCATCAGTTCATCATTGAAGTCAACATTTTTTATGTGAAGAAATTGCTGGATATTTTTCCAAAAATCTGTATCTTTCTTGTAAGAAATTTTGTTTTTCAAGTTGAGTTGTTTGATCAATGGCCAAAAATATTTGCAAACTTATTTAAATTCACTGAGGATTGAAGTAAAATTTATACTTTTAAACATCTATGAACATAATTCTTGTTTTAAAAGGTTGTTTCTAAAAAGACACATTCATACACAAATTGACCCAAATGGGCAAAAACTGTTAATTCTTTCAAATATAAACTTTGTTAATTTGTAGGGCCATAAAAACTGAGTCCAATTGTACGATTTAAAAATTTCTCTGATGAAAAGTGAGCGAGAAAATCGAGTTCGTAGCTTAAACTTGGATCGCTTTTTGTACGATTATGGAAGCAAATTTTTTCATGGAACTTCCCTTTACTGATGTAACTTTTACTGATAGATCATAAAATATACTTATTTTGAGGAATAGAACTTTTCTTTTTCTGCAAAATAGATAAGTTCGATTTTCATTTAAACCGATCGCTTTCTGTGACCGTAAGAGTTAAAGAATCGAAACTTATAATTTGTCCATAAAAATTGTTGGTTCACAACATGGATTAAATACTTTGGTTAATTAAATAACAGTTCTCTTGATTTTGGCCATTGGACTCATAACTTTGTGCCTCGATATTTCGAGAATGATGACATCTACAATCATTAAACTTTCATCAATTCAACTCTTTACTAATTACAAATTAGATGCAATTTATTAACTATCCATTAATGCATTTAAGTTACGATATTTGGGTTCTAAATGTACAAGGAACAACTTATTTAGCACAATAAACTCATCACAATGCATATCTTGGTAAATAAACCAATTTTCTGGTTAAACTTGCAACTTGTAATGCAAAAAGTATCGCCAAAGGCTTCAAAATTTGAGTAAAGAGTCGAGACTTAAAGGGTTTTGTAGGAACATAAGAACTGCATCCATTGGTACTATTAAACAATTCAGGCGATGAATTGGCGCAAAATTGAGGTCAAAGTTAAACGCTTTTTGAGCTATTACGGAAGCAGGTTTTTTCATGAAACTTATATACTGATGCAAATTTACAATGGCCAACCAGAAAATCTACTTATTTTGAGGAATAACATTTTCCGTGTCTTTAAAACAAAACAAGTTCGATATTGAGTTAAACCGACCTCTTTCTGTGAGCGTAAAAGTTAGAAAGCTGAAACTTATTATTTGTCCATAAAAATTGTATACACACCCCATGAATCCAATAATTTTTCCAATTTTGCAACAGGTCTCTTGATTTTGGTCATTGGACTAAAAACTTTGACCCTCGATATTTCAATAATAGTGGTAGTTACAGTCATCATTCTTTGATCAAACATTAGCTTGTATAATGGTCTATAATATTTTGAAATATAAAAGCATTCAAGAAGCTACAACAAAAATTATAGCATTTTATAATTAATGTGTCAGATGCGAAATCTGATTTATAAAGTTAAATGGTTACTCAAACACAAATGATTATAAATGAATCAGCGCAAATTTCATTCGGTATTAAGTTATATCATGTTGTAGCCCATATTGAAACCTAATGGTTTGTTGAAGAATGGTGATTCTAGTCGATACCTTTCTCGAACTATTGAGGGTTAAAGTTTTACGTCCAATAGCTAAAATCACGATATCTATTGCAAAATTGAATAAATTATTGGATTCATGGGGTGTGTAAACAATTTTTATAGGCAAATAATAAGTTTCAGATCTCTAAGTCTTATGATCACAGAATGTGGTCAGTTCAACTCAAAATCGAACTTATCCGTTTTACAGAAGACAGGAAATTTCATTCCTGAAGATAAGTGCATTTTCTGGTTAATAATCAAAAGTCACTCAAGTAGACGAAGTTTCATGAAAAAATCTGCTTCCATAGCTGAATAAAAGACGATCAAAGTTTCCACTTCGAACTCGATTTGCTCAAAAACGGTCCATTGGATGAATTATTCAATAGCACCAATGGGTTCAGCTTTTATTTCCCTACGAAACCCACCAAATTTCAACTCTTTACTCGAATGTTTGAGCCTTTGGCGATACTTTTTGCATTACAAGTTGCAAGTTTAACCAGAAAATTGGTTTATTTACCAAGATATGCATTGAGATGAGTTTATTGTGCTAAATAAGTTGTTCCTTGTACATTTAGAACCCAAATATCGTAACTTAAATGCATTAATGGATAGTTAATAAATTGCATCTAATTTGTAATTAGTAAAGAGTTGAATTGATGAAAGTTTAATGATTGTAGATGTCATCATTCTCGAAATATCGAGGCACAAAGTTATGAGTCCAATGGCCAAAATAAAGATAACTGTTATTAAATTGACCAAAGTATTTAATCCATGTTGTGAACCAACAATTTTATGGACAAATTATAAGTTTCGATTCTTTAACTCTTACGGTCACAGAAAGCGATCGGTTTAAATGAAAATCGAACTTATCTATTTTGCAGAAAAAGAAAAGTTCTATTCCTCAAAATAAGTATATTTTATGATCTATCAGTAAAAGTTACATCAGTTAAATGAAGTTTCAGGAAAAAAAGTGCTTTTATAATCGTTCAAAAAGCGATCGAAGTTGCAGTGCTGCACTCGATTTTCCTCAATAACTGTTCATCAGAGAAATTTTTAAATCGTACAATTGGACTCAGTTTTTATGGCCCTACAAATTAACAAAGTTTATATTTGAAAGAAAACAACAGTTTTCTCCCATTTGGGTCAATCTGTGTCGATTTGTGTATAAATGTGAAAATGATGTCTTTTTATTGATAAAATAGTTTTTAATAGTAACAACCATTCTAAAATTAAAATCCTATTTAAAATATTACAGGAAAAGGTGTTCTAATTGGATTAATAACTGGCGATCCAAATGCTGGCCAACTTGCTTCCAACTTGAAACGAATCTTTGAAGCTGAATTAATGTGTTCTGAAACTTGGGGATCTTATATGAAAAACACTATTCTATCATGTTACAAGTTTCTAGACGAAGAGCGAATTCTAAGGTTTGAGAAGATGAAGAGCAATTTAAAAGAAACTGATGAAATTGAAAGCAAGGAAAAATCTAATGACCAGGAGAATGCTGAAAAGGAAAACATTGAGCAAAGCAATAAATATAGTCGCCGAGAATTGGCTAATGTCAACATTATATTGTGTCATCTGGTTGCTGAGTCTGGCAATAAAGTTAAATTACGATTGTCTCACTGTGGGTCTGATGTTAAAATACGTCTGGTTAAAGTTTCACCAGCAGCCAACAATGATACCAAGAATCAACAAGAGACAACAACTAGCTCATCGGAAAATCATTCAAGTAATTCATCTTTAAATCTGATCCCAGGGCAAGAAGCCAATTATTCAGGTTCATCTCAACGGGAAGTTGATTTGTTTGAAGCCCATTCATTTACCATAACTGATCCCATTTGCCAGGAAGTTACACTAACCAATGATCAGGAAATATTGTTTCTTGGGATTAATTTTATGCTCAATGAAGATCGCCAATTAAGTAAAATATTACAAGGCACAGGATTCTCTCTCCATGATAAACTGAAAAGATACACAGAATTGGAGTCAAGTGCAAGGAACACTGATGATGTTATTTCCTTAGCTGTTCAATTATCTTCTCACCAGACAAGTGAATCATCTATGGAGTTTACCGAGAAATACAAAAGCTGGGAATGTATTGTCACGCAAAATCAAAATTTCAAATTCAATAGGAGATTAATTGCTATGCCGTTGACCAAAAATTTGAGTGACATTAAAAATTATTCAGACAATAAGGATTTGACTTGCAGTTCATGAGAAAAGCAATCGATTCATCAGTCAACTTGTCAACTTAAATTGAGTTACGATCAAACCTAATGAAAACAAATTCCAGGAATAATCAATCACAATCAAATTGTATCAACATGGACAGCAACATTACCAAAATAATAGTGTTTTACGGGAAATTGAACGACAAAATTTTCACTTTGTAGGTCATATTTGATCAATTATCAGTCAGTCAAAGATTGTTACCATAATTTAGTTTAATCAACCTAATGTATCAACAGTTATTGACCTTAACTATTATAATTTGTTGTAAAATGGAAACCATAACGATTCTGAACAAAAAGATCATTCATGAACTTGTTGGAATACTTTTTTCTCTATTGATTACAATCAATTCATTTACTGTTTGATAATGAAAAATGCATAAACTAGTTGCCCTTGTTCAACAATTTATCCCAAACATGCAAAAACAAATGTATTTAGGTTTATGGTGACAAAAATGCCTTTTGTGCACAGGTTTCATTGACCGTCCAAATCAATTTAGTACAATGAATCAAGTTAAATGATGACAAGTATTTTATTGCCAAGCAAAACAAAGAACAGATTAACCTAAACATTTTGGTGAAGCAAAAAGTAATTTACATTTTGCTTCAATTGAATTATATTAGCTTTTAAATTCATTGCCTTTGCATATTTACTAAATAATGGACAAACATACAAACCATTGTATTAATTGACTAAACAAGAATCAATTGCTGTCCTTGGTTAATGATGAATCGTTAATTGTTTCTCCTCATTAGCATTGTCATCGTAGCAATCAGTAAACAATTTGATAGATACACCATCGTTTTCAGGACTATTGCCATTGTTATTCAAATGTTTTGCCTCGCTGGAAACTCACTGAAAACACTTATAAATACATATGGTTAACCAATTTCGGTGATCATATAAACAAAATTATTTGTGCGAGTTGAACCTTAATTTTTTTGTCATCAGTGAATTTAAAATGTACAATTGGATCAATCAATCATCTAAATTATTTTGTTACTCTATCCTTATACTCTCGGTTGTCTTTATAATTGAAAGTGAAGCTCAAAACTGGTGGAGAGTCTATCGACGCAACAGGTCTTGGGCTTATCCTCGTTATCCTTACTATTCATATCGATCTCCGTACAGTAATTATGCCTACGATGATTTATTTGACCCATTCACGTTTTGGTAACCTTTAATCATTCCTTAATCATTGTCAATATTGTTAAATATAACCTTAAGCTAGCTAAATTTACTCACAACGTTTACCCATTCAATATTTTTACACTGACATTTTCCCTAATTTAAAGGTTTAAAACAATTTTATATCATGATCATGATTCCCCTCCCAATTAATTGTAAACTCCTTTTATAGTCGAATTTTTGATAAAATTTATTATATGACAAATAAATATGTATCAATCAAAATAGGATTGATGATTTATAATAAAGCATAGTTTACAAAGATATGTACACTTTAATTTGTTTTTATTTACAATAATTTCTCGGTTAATATTAAAATAAATAAATAAATAATATCAAAATTGAAGTATGCTTTTGATTTATCAAATCAAGAGTCTAAATTATTGGTCTTTTTACTTCAGGATTCGTAAAAATTTGAATCACAATAACAGCTCGTATTCGGTATAAAATAGGATTGTAGATGGATTTCATTAAAGCTGCCACTACTTGAGCAATAAATGATGAGATTTGATGAGTGTTTGATCATAAAATTGGCACTAGAATCCTAAAATTTTAACGTCGGGAAATGATCGCCAAACCAGGATTAAAATTAGTCATTTGTAATTTACACGACAATTGGCTATCATGGAAACCAAGCACAATGTTTAATTTTTATTGGAACCATATTAATGATTGATTTACACGAGTCATGAACAGATTACTTTAAACAAAAAATGCGAACGTAATGATAACACTATTGATACCAAGTAAGACCAGGTAAATTGGATTCTCTTTATGATCTTTGAGTTCAAAAAATTTTACTGAGGTGAGTTTTGGTTGAGATGAGATCAGGATACTTTGGATTTTTGAATGCATTAGACATTTATCTTGGAACTGAACGATGGCAAAGATTCATTTTACTTCCAAATTGTCTAAAAATAGCAATTTTGTAATTAAACAAAAGTTATATTGAAAGTTGGTTAACTTTAACTCATGCACTGAATTTTAAGATTCTTTATCATTTGTAGAATGAATCGATGAAAACAGAGTTGATTTTTTTCTTTATTATAACCATTGAACAGCACTAAGAATAACTGATTTATGAGTAGATGGATTTGCAGATGGAATACAAAAAACCCAATAAAACACATTATCGTTGAATAAAGCACATTTAACCGATGTAATCATTGAATTCAAATTGATTTGAATCACGGTAAACGATAAAAAGAAACAAACAGAAAAAGAACATAACAAATCACTTTGGACACAATAAAGAGATCATCAAAAATTCATTTTTTATAAGACCACAGCCTAGGATTATGGTAAATTATTATTTTGCTCTCATTTAAATAATATAATAATACAAGAAAAAGAATCATATGTTGTTTTTTAAGTGTGCGGTGGCAGTAGTTGCTTTCTGAGTTTTAGATAAACGTGTAAGATTAAGTGGTAAACTGGCACAATATAACACTGACCAATCATTGAAAGGTTAATTAGTAGATTTACATTATTTCGTCAAGAAAGTGCTGGTTTAAATTTGAGATTTAAAGTTGATCGATTAAACATCATCCTTGGCTCAAATAATTCTGCAGAGGTTAAAGTTAAAATACATGTCGATGTCGGTGGTCTTGTTGTTGCTCCTTAAGTCATTTATGCTGCACCTACACTCACATAGATTCAGAAAATGAAACCAAAAAAAACCTACACTGAAGGGAGGTCAAAAAAAGGAAAATATGTGAAGTATAAAGGGATAGAGGGGAAGGTAAGAAAATGTCAAATTCATTCAGGTAATGAATAAGAACAAGCATGATGTTGAAGAGTATTGAATACAAGTTGTCGTCTATTCTTTAACTGCTAGCTTTTAAGATATGATTAGGTTGAACCACGTACTACAACCACAACTAAATATTCTTCCTTAGGACTTTCTGCAGATAAATTGGGTGCAACTTTGCGTAGAAGATCCAATGCAAATGAACATGGTGGGAAAGCATAAAGCACTCCAATGACCTCTTTATTGTTTGTTAACGAGATGACACCAGCAGCTTCTTTTTGCTTTAAATAAGTCACAAGATTTTTCAAAGGTCGGGTTTGCACGGCCCGTCCATCTTCACCAAGTCCTGCTTGAAGCTGTGCGTTGCTAGATCCTGCTGTGGCGAATAGCATACAGTGTCCTGAAGCGCCGGCACTGTTCATCCTTCTTGATACATCTTCTAACTTTAGTGGATCAAAACGTAGTCGCTGGGTAATCTTGAGCATAGGCATTTCCGATGATGGATCTTGCATTAGAATATCAACAAGGGAAATATCCCCACTACAAAGGTACATTTTAGCAGGGAAGGCGCTGTTTTTCAATATTAAACCTCCGTTCCATGCAGAAGGACAAAATTTAGTAAAATCAGAGAAAACTTTAATATTCTCCAAGGGAGCTGGAGCACGATTACGTTCTTCACTTTTATTCCTTTCAAAGTTGGGTGAATGTTTACCCGCTGATTCTTGTCCTGCACTGGTTCTACTTGAACGACGTGGTGATCCAGGAGTACGGTCGCCTCCTAGTCCACCATCGGGAGACAAGGAGGTTCGACGAGACTTTTTGCGTTCACTCACATCACCACTACCAGTTTCAGGGGTCCTTGGCCTGGCTCTGCGCCGGTCATTTGGACTTCGAGAGGTTTCCTCCCAGTAATTCCAATTGGAATTATTACCACTACCACTACCACTAGGATAACCACTTCTTTCACGTTTATTATCCTCATTGTCATTGCCACTATAACTATCCCCACTAACGTTGGCGGGACGAGTTCTTGAACTTGTTTTTTCATTGTAGTTGTCACCATAATCACTTCCATGGTATCTTGAAGCTAATGAAGAGATGAAATAAAAAAATAAAATAAAAATAATTATATATTCATAAAATAAACATGCCAGTAAGGAATAAGAAAAAAAACTCACCACTTGAAGTGGTAGTAACTTGTCTCGGTGGTGAGTTGTAATCGGAGCTCGGGTCTCGACTATATGGACTTGGGTCAGCGAAATCAACTCTTAAACGCTTGTCTGGTCCACTAATGCGTGACCTCGCATCTCTTGACAAGCAGCAGTAGCAGCGTCAATGCTATCAAATTGTAAGTAAGCATAGTTATTTCCTTTCGTAAAATCAATTTTTCGGATAGAGCCAAATCTATCAAATTCCCTCTCTAAATGTGTAAGAGATGTCCATGGTCCCAATCCTCCAACCCAAATCCTTGGAGTAGGAGTGGCTTTACCATAACCTATTTTACATTGAAATTTGCCGATATATTGTCCTGACATCTCAACTTTAGCTCTATGAGCCATATCAAGATTCAAGAATTTTATAAAAGCATAAGCATTTCCTTGTCCAGGAGGAGGTCTTTTCACATCAATGTCTTCAACTACACCGTATCGTTCGAATATGCGTCTTAAATCAGCTTCAGAAATTGTAACTTCGAGATTTCCCACGAATAAAGTTCGAGTTGCTTTATCATCATCTTCCGGAGGAATGTGATGCAAGTAATTGGGAAATTTCTCTTTTTTAGATTCGCGGTGAGTTTGTCTATTTGTAGTTCCTGAAAAGATAAAGATTGAGATTTAGATCAATACAAATGAATGAAATAATACAAAGTCATGACAATCTTACCGGAAGGACGAGTTTGGTGATGATAATCACTACTAGAGCTAGTTGATGGCCTATGTGCAGGCCTAGAATACTGTTGATTGCTATTACCACTATTACTCGAGCTCTTTTCTACATTGTTTCTTGATTGCAGGGGTAGAGGGGGAGGAGGTGGTGGTGGTCGTCGACTACTGGGCGGTGGACTTGCTGGTGGACCTCGAGCACTACGTGATGAGGTATATGCCGGTGAAACACTTCTCCTTCTTCCAGAGCTACTGCTACTGCTAGTCAACATGCTACTGCGATGATCATAAATAGGCTCAATTTCAACAGCCTTATCAAATAGATGAAGTCTAGGCTTGTTATGTCGCGCTTCTCGAGCTTCCTCATAAGAACGAAAGTAAATGTAAGCAAATCTATCATTATCGTCATGACACACCTTAACTGAAACATCGCCGAACCGGCTAAACTCTCTACTAAGAGCTTCTTTGACAGTGGTATCACCAACTTTAGCATTAAGATTAGAGATACACAATATTTTATAGGCCGCTGATTCACGTTCTGATTTCACTCTAGAAGTTGGATAGTCATCATAAGGATCTCTAACACTTCCACTTCGCAATGAAACATTTACAGGTGAATCACGTCCACGTCTACGGTCAGATGGTGATTTGATTCTATTTCGATCACGGCGTGATTCAATTGGACTCCGGTCTCTCGGGCTGTCGTCGTATCTAGGCATTTTGAGTCACAAATGAACTAATTCACATAATATGTATCATATAAACTAAATATTAATGAGTAGCACAAACGATTAAAATTGTAATTAAACAGTTGAAAAACACGCACAAAAAATCTAAAAATCAGAGTATAACTTGCCTACAGAATATGCATTAAAATGGCGACCGAGATCATAAACATCACTAGATGGAGCAGCTTACAGAGAGGAAGCTACACTTTTAGCGCCAGTATTTAAACTTAAATAAGCAGACAACTCTTATCTTGTAGTCAAATAAATAAACAATGAATAGTTCAAATAAGTAAAATATATAAGTAAATATTCAAATTATTATCCATTGAAAAAGTCACACTTTAATGAACAAATTAGAACAGAAAGAGCAGAAAATGAGTAATTTACAAGAGACAAGTATTACAGTATTATTATATTGATTGTCTGTAAAGAGTAGAGCTCCAAAAATGAATAAAAAATTAAGGATAGAAAGATATTCTTGGATTGCATTTAGATTATTTTGTCAATTAAATTGCAATTAAAGTCACCGCCATTTTTCAATAACATTGTGAGGTTGGTCAAAAGACTCTAAACAGAGAGAAGATATTGCATGTGAAAGTTTGTGGATTATAATGTGGATTGAAAGGCCTTCCCATGTGTGAGCAAGGCCAATTGCACTTTGAACTCTAACGCTGTCTCTGAAATAAAAAAAAACAAAACAAATGGTTAGTTCATTGTGGATTAAAATGTATGTTTTAAAATAATGGAAGAAATAGCTTACCTAGCTGGAAATCGAATGTAGGCTCTGCAGTCCTTCTTTTGAAATTTCAAAATATCGATTGGTACTGAAACACCATAGTCTCCAAAAGCATCTTTCATGGAAGACATAAGGATCAAACTTAATTTTCTTTGGCACAAATCAAGTTTTTTAAATTGCGTTTCACTGAAAATAAAAATAAACATTAGAATAAAATTGTGAAAATAATCGGCTTGCCAGTAAAACTTAGAGAACAAAAACAAATAAAACCAAATCGAGTAAACATAGAAAATGATTGTTAAATCGATTTCGATCATGATAAAAGTAAATTGTCAAGTTACTTACACGCTAATATCAGCGAAAATATAGAATCGATCATCCCGAATGAATCTATATCGTGTATTTTTTACCACTTCCATTGATAAAATTTGACTAAACTTAAATTTTAATTATTTAGACAAGTTAGTTTGAAATATTATTCAATTATCAAATAACTTTAACCCAGTATATGGAAATTAAACCTAAATCAAGAAAGAGAACAGTGTTGAAGCCTGTATTAACTTTGACTGACAAGTTGATGTGAGTTTAACCTCTCAAGCTATTTCTAGGTAAGCTATTTTCACTATTTTCAGGTAAAATTCAAACATCAAGTTTGTCTTATTTCTTTTAGGATATTTTGTTCCATGTAAATCTGGATTATCTTAATTATAATTCAATATGATAATCGTCATGAAAGTTAAAAAAACAATGTCAGTTGATTCCGATGATATATTATTGATTAGAAAGTTAATATCACTAAGCAAAGTTTACCTGCAAAACATTTTTTGTTTAGCGAGGAAAAATGTATCCAATTGAAAACTTTCAGAGTAACTTAATTTTTATGACAATTCACTAATTAATCAACAATATATTTATTAAAGATAAGATCTATCAAATAAATAGTTGTAAACTAAATGAAAGACAGATTTATGTACAATTTTTCCTGAAAATTGGATTAATTGGCAAAACTCATAATTCAAATTCAAAGTTAGTTTTCTGAACTTTTCTGAATTCAATGTGCATCTTAAAAATTGATGCGCCTTGGAGTAGTTTGACATGAAAATACGATTAGTGATTCGCACTTATATGTATGACTGTTCTTCAGTCATCAGGATCCAACAGATATGGCAAATCATTACAATACTCTTTAAGAAAACAGTGTTTCATGAAATCGAGTCCACGACCAATGCGAGTTTTTTTAGCAGACAAATGAGGCCACTTCTTTGATATCTTAGGTCTTTTTTGGTAATATAATGAAATTGAACGATTATGGTCCCTGCAGAATTGTTCAATGTATCGTGTTGTATTTTCGTCCACTAGTTTCGGTTCATTGCCTCTGATATCAATAAGTGTTATATGAGGTAACAGATGTATAATTTCAATAACATTTTCATGTGAGATGCAATCATAACCATTTCTAATTGCCAAATGTTTTAAATTTGGGTACTTGTACAATACACGTCGCAAAATGGACCAATTTGGGTAGGCACTCTGTATTGTAAATATGAATAATATAGTTATAATGATACATGTAACATCGAGAAAATCAAAATCTTAGATTAGATACTAACAAGTTGTAAAACTAAATCTTCTAAAAAAAGATTTTTAATTCCACTGTTGACACAAAACTGATCATCGCGATCAATATAATGATATGCACTTTTCAGAACTGGGCACTTATCGGCAAGGCTGAATCCATGATAATCATATCGAGATCCCCATTGAGAAGAGCCAATTACTTCTAAAATTTCTAGCTTTTCAAGAGTAGGTCCAGTATAGAAAGTGTCTTCAAAATCGTCAACTGTTTCATGAGCAAAAAGATGCACATAAAGAAATAAAGTGAAAAGTGTGATTATTATTATATTTGTAAAAAAACATTTGAAACTCACGTGTATGGTGTGCGATATGAAGTCGCTTCAAATTTGGAAAATATTTAGCATATTCGCTCAACCTGGAAATAGGACAACGGCCCACATGTAATTGAGTTAACATTGGTCCTTGGATATCATTGGCAAAAAAGTCACAGAAGTCGTCGATTGCTAACATTTTGAATGATGAATTACAATTAGTAAAGTTTTCTAAATTTACTTGGGAAAAAAGAAACCCTTCGACGGTTGGATTCGAAAAACAATCAGGTTCACAACTATTTTCAATGATCTAAAGAAAAATAGACTTCATGAGATTCCAAAGCAACAATCATCTGACATTTAAATTTTAAAATTAAATTAAACTAACCTTAAGTTTAGGAAACCATTCTAATCGTTCAATCAGGCCATGCCGATCTTCATAGTCATATAATATAGTATTTCTAACAGGATAGCTTTCAATCGGTCCATAATCTAAATTAAAAATAAATAAAATATTATCATTATTATGCAAATTTATTTGCTATCAAAATTGTGTTTCTTTTAAAATTTTAACTCACCCGCTAAATACTTAACATTTGATAGTCTCTGGGTAACTAAGCATTTCCATCTTTCGCAAACTGTAATGTTCAAAACAAAATGAGTAAACCATACTTATAATTATTACTTTTTATGTGTAATTGGACGATTCTTATAATATACCGATGCAAAACCATTATTGGAGTCCTCTGAAAATTTATTCATTAAAAATCTGAATTGAATTTATTCGTTAATTCTTTTACCATGACTCTGTGACATTTTGAGAGTGTGATATTATTACAAGTTTGACAGTATAATCATATGGAGGATAAAAAGTAGAGAGATATTGATGATTTGTTTCATATTTCACCCGAATCCAGGGATAAAGGAAATGAGCTAAAATTTTCTATATTATTTACTTATATCGAGATGAAAACTAGACTTACCGTGAGAGCAATTTAGAAGTGTCCCAAATTTATCGAAAAAATTGAATATATGTAATAAGCAGTCATCAGGCAATTTATCGATGTCCATTTTTAAAACATGGAAAGATTTCACGATCAATACAAGATGATATACTTAAAAATAAGGGTTGATTATCAATCAATGTTTGATGAAAAAATAATGAAACTAAGGAACAATCTGATTATATCGAAAAAAGGTGTAAAAATGTTGATAAAAATCTTATTCACATTTGGATTATATTTTTGCATTGAAATCTTGTCTGAAAGTTTTATCAATAGATGAAAAAGTCAGAATCAGATTCAGGTTCCAAGCAAATATTCTAATCTAAATAGGCTTTTAATGTGAATAATTGCAAACTAAAAATACAAGAAAATCTTTAGGGGAAATAGCTCATTTTTGCTATTTATCGAGATGAAAAATTTTGTTATCCGACGAAAACTTGCAACAATTTTACTTAAACTTACTCAAAGACATTGAACATGTTTGTGGTTCATTTAATAAGTCGAAAGATTAAAGATTCATTTAACATTGAATCTTCATAGAACGGAAACTTTTACAGTCTCGTGGATTTTTCGGAATTTCAATAAAAAAGTCTATTGAAAAATCCCATAGAAAATTATCAAAAAAGGACAATTTCATCAGTAATCAAACAGAATAATCTATACATCTATACAATATATAAAGTCAAAGTATCAAATTTTTGCGTCAAGATTGTGGCTAAACGGAGCGGGTTCCAAGAAAAAAAATTACACAGTCTGAAAGCCCTGATTCAACTACAACGACGAAAAATAGAAAACCTAACCTCAGAATCTCATGACCTCTGAGAAATTCATGAAAATAGAGAATGGGGGAAAAAATGTAGAATCCGTATCCAATAACATTGAGAGAGGGGGAAAAACTTTTTTGTTATTCGGGTTGATGTTTCATTGTTGGACCAGGATTTTATGTAAAAATTTGTCATTTGAGTAAAGAGTAAAGAAAGGCTTTTCTCACCATAATGTCTACCACTCAATCCAACACATCCACCAAATCAACCAAAACAACATCAACAAAAAGACTTTTCTCAACAAAATTGTCCACCACCATCTTGACCACTTTTACACCATCTAGCATGTCCACTATTAATCGTCATCATATCTCAAAAAGTGGTCAAAAATTTGGTGGATTTGGGTGGTGGATAATCTTATAAGAAAAGTGTTTGTAAATGTAATGCAAAAAAGCCACTCTAAAGTGGTTAATGAAAGTGGTGGAAAAAAATGGTGTTTGATTTAGTTGATTTGGCGAATGTGTTAGATTGGGTGGTGGACATTACCGTGAAAAGACAGTTAGCATGGGTGGTTAAAAGAAACTTGCGATCAGCCATGATCGCATTAGTTTCTTGTAATTAAATAATGGTAATGATTAGAGATTTCAAATTTTTGTCAATGATCATATAGAGTTTGAGCTTTCGATTGATATCAATTTTTCTTAATTAAAAATTACTGATCATTTTTAATCAACAATTTAATTTAGAACTTAAAATTTTCAAAAAATGATTATTTAATACAATCACAATTGAAGTATGTTAACCAATGTTTTTAATCATGAAATTGGATGCAAATTAAAGAGCAAACATTGATTAATAATTTAAGAAAAAATCGAAACAATTTAATGAATACAACTATTTTAATTATTAAAAACTGTCGAAGACTTTGTGCTTTACCTAATATTTAAAGAGATGGTTAGTATAACGAGTAACCGCCAAATTCCAGATCCATGTTTATACTAACCAAGTAACCACGGAAACATGATTGTGACTCCACCTGGCAGTCTCATGCACATTTTCTGGTTTGCCCATATGTTTCTAGTCGATTTAAACTCTTTTTTTCATCATTTATCAAGTTTGTTTAATATGTTGATTATTATTTACATGTGCATGAAATAAATTAAGTTAAATAGTACCATTTCTCATTATGGAAAAGGAGCAATACCGTGAAAGTCGTCAGGGCTTAAAGATAAGTCATCTTTGTTTTGGTATTCCCAGCTCTTTTCAAATTCAAAAGCAAAGTCAACTACAATGTGTCAATAAAACATTATACGATGATGCAATCAGCAGTAAAGGTTCAAAAAACAAAGCGGCACCTTACAGTGTGCTTGACACTCGTTTAGGTAAGTTTATCTAGTTTATTTAATCGAAAGTTGAGCCAAATAAATGCTAATTTATCTATTTTTATGTTAATCCCCAACTAGGAACAAGTCAGAATGGGCAAAAATGTGAAACTTGTGGAGATGGATTGGCCGAGTGTGTTGGACATTTTGGACATATTGACCTTGCCTTACCAATTTTTCATGTTGGTTATTTTCGTTTTATCATGTCCATCTTACAAACCATTTGTAAACGGTGTGCTAGAGTTTTGATCGCCAATGAAGTTCGTGTTAAATATTTGAACCGTCTCCGTAAACCTGAGCTTAGTTACTTGGAAAAGAAAAGTCTTCACAAAGAAATCTGTGATAAATGTAAAAAAATTAAAGTATGTTCCTTCTGTGGTTACCTCAATGGTACGGTTAAAAAAGTTGGTCTTTACAAAGTTGCTCATTTAGTGCCAAAACCTACAGTCAGCAGAAAGGATAAAAATGCAGAAATCGAAGAATTGTCATCTGATTTGTTGGGTTTCATTGAAGAAAACAAAGAAATGGAAGATTACATTCGTCGATGTAAAGCCGAATTTTTGGATCCTCTCCGTGTTCAAAATCTCTTTAAAGAAATTCCAACTAGTGATTATTGCTATTTGCTCATCAAAGATTTTCACCCATCAGATTTAATATTAAACAAAATTCCAGTGCCTCCAGCTTGTATACGTCCATCTGTTCTTAATGAACTAGAATCAGGATCAAATGAAGATGATCTAACTATAAAGTTGAGTGAAATCATATTCGTTAATGATGTAATTCAAAAACGAAGGTCAAGTGGAGCAAGTATCGCAATGATTATCGAAGATTGGGATTTTCTACAACTCCAAATAGCTCTTTATATAAATAGTGAAACCTCTGGTATTCCGTTAAATATGAGGCCTAAAAAACTTGGCCGAGGACTTGTGCAACGTTTAAAGGGTAAACATGGACGATTCAGAGGTAATCTCAGTGGTAAACGTGTAGACTTTTCTTCTCGGAGTGTAATATCACCTAATCCAAATCTTAAAATCGATGAAGTCGGAGTACCAAAACATATAGCCAAAATCCTAACTTTCCCAGAAAAAGTTACTCCTGCTAATATTGCCAAAATGAAAGCACTTGTCACTCGAGGGGCAGATGAACACCCAGGAGCCAATTTTGTAGAAGATAAAAAGACAGGAAACAAAATGTAATTTTTAATTTTATTCTTTTTCTCAATTTGTGGAATTTAATTGTAGAGCAAACTTTAATCATTTCTTTATTCGTTTATACCATATATAGATTCTTAAAATATGCCAATCGTCGAAAAATTGCTTCTGAGATTAAATATGGTGATGTTGTCGAAAGGCATTTGGATGATGGAGATGTCGTTATGTTTAATCGTCAACCTTCCTTGCATAAACTTAGTATTATGTCTCACAAGGTAATTAATTATAAATTGGTAAAATTTCTGTAATTATAATTATTTCAATTATTCTTCTTCCAGGCTCGAGTTCATGATCATCGGACTTTCCAATTTAATGAATGTGTTTGTACTCCTTACAATGCTGATTTCGACGGAGATGAAATGAATTTGCATTTACTTCAAACAGAAGAAGCAAAAGCAGAAGCATACATCCTTATGGGTATTTTATCCAATATCATCACACCTCGAAATGGAGAACCATTGATTGCTGCAATTCAAGATTTTATCACCGGAGGTTACCTTCTTACTCAAAAAGATTCATTTTTTGATCGATCTAAAGCGTGTCAACTTATCAGCTCCATTCTTGGCGAAGCTCAAGGCATAGACAAAATCATTCTTCCTCGTCCATGCATTCTTAAACCTAAAGCACTTTGGAGTGGTAAACAAATATTCAGCTTAATATTGAAACCCGTGGAAGATGGTAATCCTGGCTTAGATCTACGAACTAAATCACGAAATTATTCTGGTAAAAATGAAGAGTTATGTGCAAATGATGGATGTAAGTACTGAAAACCTTTTAGTCTAAATTCTTAACTTTTTCTTCAAATTTAATATCGGTATTTTTTTTATTTTTAGTTGTAAATATTAGGGATAGTGAACTTCTTTGTGGGACAATGGACAAAGCAACTCTTGGTTCTGGAAGCAAAACCAATGTTTTTTACATCATGCTGAGAGATCTTAATGCTGCTGCAGCTGGAATGGCTATGTGGAGATTAGCTCGCGTAACTAGCTATTATTTAGCTAATCGTGGATTCTCCTTGGGATTAGAGGATGTAACACCCACTGAGCAATTACTTTATTCCAAAAAATCTCTCTTAACCACTGGCTATCGAAGAGTGAATGAATACATTTCTGATCTTAAAGACGGAAAACTCGAGAGATTACCTGGAAGATCAGCGGAAGATACCTTGGAATCTATGATCTTGAAAGAATTATCAGTCATTCGAGATCATGCTGGTAAAAGCTGTCTTAAAGAGTTGTCAGTAGATAATGCAGCTTTAGTCATGGCTATGTCAGGATCTAAAGGATCTCTTATCAATGTTTCACAAATGGTTGCCTGTGTTGGTCAGCAGGCTATTAGAGGTGGTCGAGTTCCTGACGGATTTGGCGGACGTTCTTTACCTCATTTTGCACACAGAGACAAATCTCCACTCGCAAAAGGATTTGTTGAGAACAGTTTCTATTCCGGTTTAACTGTGACTGAATTTTTTTTCCACACCATGGCTGGTCGTGAAGGTTTACTTGATACTGCTGTTAAAACTGCTGAAACTGGTTACATGCAAAGACGTCTAGTTAAAGCACTAGAAGATCTTGTCTCTCATTATGATGGCTCAGTTCGTAATTCTAGAGGTGAAGTAATCCAATTCATTTACGGTGACGATTCTCTAGATCCAGCATGCATGGAAGACAATGACAAACCAGTTAACTTCGATCGTATGATGTTACACGTTGCTACTACTCATCCAAGTGAAATCGACCCGTCTCTGGATCCAGGAATGCTCATCGAAAAGTCTAAACAGCAGATTGATCGATGGTCTAGTAATATATCTGATTCGTTTAAAACAGAAGTGAGGTTGTACATTGAAACTTTAGCTAATAAACTAGCTAAATTTCGTAGCAATTATATTTGTGATGATTTTAATAATGTACTTGGACAAGTTGGTAGGATAACTGAATCTCAATTGATTCAGTTTTTAACTTGCTGTGAAGACAAATATCTAAGAGCCAAACTGGAACCAGGAACAGCTGTCGGTGCAATCTGTGCTCAAAGTATTGGTGAACCTGCCACCCAAATGACTTTGAAAACCTTTCATTTCGCTGGAGTTGCATCCATGAATATTACTCAAGGAGTGCCTAGAATCAAGGAATTAATAAACGCTAATAAAACTATATCAACACCAGTTATTAGAGCAGCTTTACTAGATCCCAAAAATGGAGAAGAAGCTCGAGCGGTGAAGATGAGACTTGAAAAAACTACATTAGGACAGATATGTGAATTTATAGAGGAAGTAATTCTTCCTGATGATTGTTTCGTTCTCATCAAACTTTACATGGATCGAGTTAAATTATTAAAAGTAAGTATTTTACATTATTTGAATAATTCTCATTGTAGCCTTCGTTTATCATTTTAAAAGTTGTGTCATTCCGAATTCATTGATTTTCTTTTTCTACGTTTTTTATAGCTCGAGGTTGACGTCAATTCAATTTCTAGTTCTATTTTGAGGTCATTGAAAATTCAATCTCATCGCATCAAAATTTACGGCCGTAATCTTATTCAAGTTCATTCTGGTTCACCTTCCGAACTTTGGCAGTTACGAGAAAGTATCTGTAATGTTGTTGTTAAAGGAATACCTTCACTGAAAAGAGCTGCTATTAGAATGGAAGGAGAAGCTGAAAAATCTAAACATTATTTGATGATCGAAGGAGAAGGATTAAGAGATGTTATGGCAACCTATGGCGTTGATCCCAATCATTCTTACTCAAACAATGTCATGGAAATAGCTTCTTGTTTGGGTATAGAAGCTGCACGTGCTTCCATAATCAAAGAAATTAAAGTTACCATGGAAAACCATGGTATTAGCATCGATTCTCGCCACTTAAAGCTTCTAGCAGATACAATGACTTATAGAGGTGAAGTCTTGGGTATAACGAGATTTGGTCTGGCAAAAATGAAAGAATCTGCTTTGATGCTTGCTTCGGTGAGTATAAGTTTCTTTATATTTAAATTTCTGTAATATTTCTTGATTTTAATTTTGCTTTCTTTTTCTTTTATCCACAAAGTTTGAGAAAACTGCTGATCATTTGTTCGATGCTGCTTACTTCTGTCAAAAAGATCCTATCCTTGGTGTGTCTGAATCAATCATATCAGGAATGCCCATTCGAATTGGAACTGGTTTCTTTGATTTGATCAGAAAACAAGAATTTAATAAATCACAATATTTCGACCGAAAACTTATCTTTGAAGATGAAGAGCTCCATGAACCGTTTAACTTTGAAGTTGATCCAAGATACTTCCAAGAATAGTTGGACATTTTAAATTGTAAAACAAAATGAACCATTTGAGCTGTTTGTTTTGTTTTCGCGCAATAAATTGTTTTTACATAGCTTTTATTATTAACTTTATTCTGTCTATTCCTCGACTATATCACTATGCCACTATCATGATGTATTTAATATTTTTATCATCGCCTTACATAATTAAAGAAATCTAAATTAAAATGAAAAAATGTTAACATTTGATATTATTTGATATATTTGGTAATGATATTGAAATAATAAATTTGAACTGAGCACACTTAATCTTATAATTCCAGTGTGATTTCAAGTTGTATGGTTTATTATTACCCATTAAAATGCTTAAGTCCAGCAAGTTAGGACTTTATATTGATAGTCAGGAAATACCAATCATTCCTAACAAGGTTATTCCTAATTTGTTTTCGTTGGAATTAGTCGGAGGTTATCTTAATTCAAACAATTTAATCATTTAAAATGATGAAAGTGTTAAATAGATTCTATAACAGTAGTTGGCAATTAAATCCAATTTAGAGTTATGCTTCAACATATTTTACCGCTAAGCAAATAAAGTAGTTGCGATTATGAAGACAATATCAATATCTTGTTGCGAAAAACAACTAAACTTGAACAGTCCAAACAAAATTAACACAATTTAATTTATTGCTAAGATGACGGAATCAGCTTTTGAATAAAGGCTACTTTTAACAATTAATAGTCAAAACAATTATTAACAGTTATCCTTGAGCTTGAATGTTGAAAATAAAAGGAGTATAAATTAGGATAGAAAGCTTTAAACTCATGGTTTGTAAAAAGTCTGTTGTTTGGTTGTTACTGAAAAGACACAATTGTTAATAACACAAATGGGCGAAAACGGGTAAAAATTAATTCTTTGCAAATTTAGACTCTGTCAGTTTGTAGGGAATTAAAACTGAATCCATTTATGTTGTTTAAAATTTTCTCTGATCCCTAGTTTTCGCGGTAATCGAGGTAAAAGTTGAAACTTCGATCTCCTTTTATACAATTATGAAAGCAGATTTTGCCATGGAACCTCATTTAACTGATGTAACTTTTGATGATCAATCATAAAATGTACTTCTTTTGATAAATAAAACTTTTCTTTTTCTGCAAAACAGATTAGTTCGATTTTAATTTAAACCGATCGGTTCCTGTCACCTTAAGAGTTAGCGAGCTTAAACTTATTATTTTTCCATAAAAATTGTTGGCTCAGATCATGGATTAAATACTTTTAACAATTTAATAACGGTTCACTTGATGTCGGGCTTTAGCTTTAAAACTTTGAGCCTCAATATTTGATCATCGGCATCATCTACAATCATAATTCTTTCACCAATACAATTCTGTACTAATGAATAATCCAATTCAATTTAATAACTCTTCATTAGTGCATTTGGGTCATGGTTTTCGGGCTGCCAATGCACGAGTAACAACTTATTTAACAAACAAAACTCATCTAAACGCATATCTTGGTAAATAAACCAATTTTTTGGTTTAACTTGCAACTTGTAATGCAAAAAGTATCGCCAAATGCTCAAACATTTGAGTAAAGAGTTGAGATTTGGTGCGTTTTGTAGGGAAAGAAAAACTGAACCCATTGGTGCAATTAAATAATTCATCTAATGGACCGTTTTTGAGCAGATCGAGTTCGAAGTTGAAACTTTGATCGTCTTTTATTCAGCTATGGAAGCAGATTCATACGTAAAACTCATTTCACTGATGCCTCTTCTGATGAACAACCGGAAAATGGTTTTATTTTGTGAAATAACATTTTATTTTTCTTTAAAACAGATCAAGTTCGATTTTGAGTTAAACCGACCTCTTTCTTCGACCGTAAAAGTTAGAAAGCTGAAACTTATTATTTGTCCATAAAAATTGTATACACACCCCATGAATCCAATAATTTTTCCAATTTTGCAACAGATCTCTGAATTTTGGTCATTGGACTAAAAACTTTGACCCTCGATATTTCGATAATAGTGGTAGTTACAGTCATCATTCTTTGATCAAACATTAGTTTGTATAATGGTCTATAATATTTTGAAATATAAAAGCATTCAAGAAGCTACAACAAAAATTATAGCATTGTATAATTTATGTGTCAGATGCGAAATCTGATTTATAAAGTTAAATGGTTACTCAAACACAAATGACCATAAATGAATTGCAGCAAATTTCATTCGGTGTTAAGTTATATCATTTTGTAGCCCATATTGAAACCTAATGATTTGTTGAAGAATGGTGATTCTAGTCGATACCTTTCTCGAACTATCGAGGGTCAAAGTTTTACGTCCAAAAGCTAAAATCACGATATCTATTGCAAAATTGAAAAAATTATTGGATTCATGATGTGTGTATACAATTTTTATAGGCAAAGAATAAGTTTCAGATCTCTAAGTCTTATGGTCACAGAATGTGGTCGGTTCAACTCAAAATCGAACTTATCTGTTTTACAGAAGACAGAAGATTTCATTCCTTAAGATAAGTGCATTTTCTGGTTAACCATCAAAAGTTACTCAAGAAAACCAAGTTTCATGAAAAAATCTGCTTCCATAGCTGAATAAAAGACGATCAAAGTTTCAAATTCGAACTCGATTTGCTCAAAAACGGTCCATTAGATGAATTATTTAATAGCACCAATGGGTTCAGTTTTTCTTTCCCTACAAAACGCAACAAATCTCAACTCTTTACTCAAATGTTTGAGCCTTTGGCGATACTTTTTGCATTACAAGTTGCAAGTTTAACCAGGAAATTGGTTTATTTACCAAGATATGTGTTTAAATGAGTTTTGTTTGTTAAATAAGTTGTTGCTCGTACGTTTAAAGCCCAAATATCATTACTTAAATGCGCTAATAGGAATTAATTGAATTGAATTGGGTTATTAATTAGTGAAGAATTAATTTGGTGAAATAATGATGATTGTAGGGGCTATTATTCTGGAAATATCGAGGCTCAAAGTTTTAAGGTTAATGGCCAAAATCAAGAGAACTGTTGTTGGAGTGATAAAAGTAGTCAATCCATGATGTGAAGTGAAAGTTTTTATGGACAAAAGATAACTTTCAGCTCTCTAACTCTTATGGTCACAGAATGCGGCCGGTTCAACTCAAAATCGAACTTATCTGTTTTGCAGAAAAAGAAAAGTTCTGTTTCTCAAAATAAGTGCATTTTCTTGTCAGTCATCAAAAGTAACATCAGAAAAATGATTTTGATGGGAAAAATCTGATTGACTAGCTGTACAAAAAGCGTTCGAAGTTTCAACTTTTTCCTCGATCTTCTCAAAAACTATCGGATGAATTATTTGATAGTACCAATTGACTCAGTTCTTATGTCCCTACAAACCAACCGAGTCTCAATTTGAAAGAAACTAAATTTAAACCCGTTTTGCCCATTTGTGTCAATTTGAGTACAAATGTGATAATTGTGCTAATTGTGTCTTTTAGTAACACTGTCTTTCCTCATCCCAAGCTGTTAACTTGTCGATTTGATTGAAGATCCCGAACTAGACTATTAAATGTTTATGATAATAAAAGTGACAACAAACTAAACATATAAACCACAATTTAGCTGATTTATGAGACTTAAAAACTGATTTAGAAATGTTTAAATGTGAAACAAAAATAATCCACATTCAATGTTTTGTTTTCACACAATAAAGTGCTATTTGCATAACCTTTATTATTAACTTTATTTCTGTCTATTCCTTAACTATCATTATCATGATGTATTAAACATATTTTACATTACCAAATTAAAAAACCGTTTTTGTACAGAATTAAAGAAACAAAATCAAAATGATAATCGGAAAAAAGGATTGTTTGAAAACATTTGATATGATTAGGATTTACGAAGGTGAAATTAATAAATTTTAAGGTTTGTTTTGTCTCGGTTCATTTATATTTTTTGTTTGGTTCATCAGTTTGTCATCTTTTTTAATCCACCATTGAATTGATCATGATTTTTGGTTACAATTATCAATTCTAAATCAACAGAGTTCCAGTTCTTGAATTTAAATTATATCCAAATTGGTGAAACATTCATTTTGTTCAGCAGTATTCACTTTATACAGTCATTGTACATTTACAAGTTAGCCCTTAAAATGTGGTTAAATACATTTTAAAGTGAGATTCTTGACTTGTTTTGCTTTTTCTCATTGATGATTTTACATAACAATAATAATAATAAATAATAATAGCAATAATAATAGTAATAATAATAATTAATAGTATTATATATACACATATTTATCAGTGAATTTAGTATTTGTTTTTGCATTCTTGCTGTTCAACATAAAATTAAAAACAAAAAATGTCTCTGTAATATTTTCTTGTTAAGCTTACAAAAAGAAACAATTAACTCAACAAATTTCATCGAGTTGATCAATTATTCATAATCTGATTTAGCTTTTTGCCTTATTTGTTGCCTCTTTATTTTGAATGTTTAATTGTTCTCATTGAAAATTCAAGCAATTTACAATGAGCCAATGTGCTTCAAATGCTATAACCATCAAGATCAATGATATTTGTAATAAACAGTAATTACAATAACAGTAAATCATTGGTTTATTATTACTATTATTATTACTATATCAATAACCATTTTGGCCAAAAATAGTTGAACCTTTTGCCTTTTAAAACCAAAGGCCATAAATCATTGTTGTTCTTGATGTGCCTCTTGATTGGCTTGTGAGTTTGTCTAAATGTTAAATGTTGATTCCCGGAATCATTTCAACTGGTAAACTGGTCAAGTTGTCCATTGTAATCCAGATCATTTGAATGTGAAATAATCAAAACAATTTCAACAAAGCTTCTTTTCCCTTTGAGTTACGCAAAGTTACGTTCAACATTGTTGGTCTGACGGTTTATGGTTTAGCAGCAATTAATACCACAGGTTTTTTTGTTTCTTTGATAATCATTTAAATCATAATGTCGATATGCGAACAGTTACTAATTGTCCTGGTTCAACGGAACGAGCTGATGAGGTTCGTCTTGAAGATTCACCAAGATCTTTACTTGAATCTGGTGTTGATAAATGTTCAGTTGTTCCCAATTCACAGGGATTATTAACATTATTATTATAATTATTATTGTTATTGTTGCTATTTATATTGGCAGAACTTTCATCTGGTCCTGGGTTAGCTGGAGTTGATGATGATGGATGATGAGAATTGAATGAATGGGATGATGAACGGTGATCGGCAATTGGTTCATTGGATTGGTTTTCCAGGTCAAGGACTAATTTACTTTTATGAATGTCATTCATTTCTTCTTCGTCGTCGTCTTCTTCCTCATTTTCATTTGAGCCTCTGTGTTTCTGTAGCGGAAAAAAGAGAAGACAAAAAACAATTAATAATCAAATACAATTAACGGTTAAATTGGTTCAATGTAAAGCATGAGTTTTGTAAATGCAATTATTAGTTGTTATTCAACAAAAAAGTCAACTTCAATTTGCCTATTGAAACCCATTCCATTGAAAATAATGGAAGACTCAAAATTTAGGTTTGACGTTTTCATATTAAAACCATTATCTGTCAATCGAGAAAGGCTTTAATCGTAGATTTATCTTCATGTGAGTAATATAATTAACTAATCAGTAGGAAACTCATCAAATTTGAAATTGATTAATCTCTTTGAGTTATAATCTTGTTAAAAAAATAAATAGAATCAACAGCAATATTTAAAGGTCAACTATACATTATTGATTTAAGCATTCAACTTATCCAACAACATTAAAAATGAGTTTTTTGAAGGGAAACTTAATCTATATCTGAAGCCATATTCAATAGATAATCCAGATAATTACATCATTTTTTTCCACATAATAGCTAATAATGACAATAATTTTTCGTTATTTCATCTCTTTTCAACGTTCACCATTCATTATGAACCAATTGTTGTTTTTTCTAGGTTCATCTCTTGAACAATTTGTTGACAATGTTCATCTTACTGACATATTTTTCCCAGCTATTGGATTCCAGACGTTAGTTCAACGTGAGACATGTTTGAAAATTTCCTCCCTTTTCTTTCTTCTTTACTCTCTGTTTCATATTTTTCATCGTCTATTTTCCTCTTTGCCTTTGCACCAGCATCTTGAATGCAAGTAAAATCCAGAGAAAAGTTGATCAAAGAATTTTCTTCGCCTTCCTTACCCTAATTGCTATTTTTAAAAGAAACAGTTTCACCAATCTAAAGCCTTCAACAAGATCATCACTGATGCTTTTTTCACAAAATGCTAAGAAAACATCAATATTTATCTATTTTCTCCTCTTCTTTTCTCCTTCTGTTTATTCAATCTTGTAAATATGAATAAAATAATTGCCATCACAAGTTGAGTTATTGAAGACTATTCAACTACTTTTGTTGTTTCCTTTATGTGATCTTCCCTTAATCTTGATTGTCTTGATTATCCAACATCATTACAATGGCAACTTATGCAAATCCAAGCATTTTAAAGTGGACTTTGTTAGTGACCAACACGATAATCTTCTTTTTGACCATTGCCCTTCTTATGTACACCTTAGTTGACTATGTTGGCTTTGAAAATGAAACCAATTCTGAACATAAAGACGATACTGAAGTCGATAAAGATGATGGAAATTTTGATTATCACGATGATGACCAACCCAATGAGGATAAACCTTTACATCCAGTGAATCAGTTTCCCAGTATTGGATCAACTTCAGTTAGAGTGATTGTACCAATGATTACCATGTCCGTTTCAATAGTAGGAATAATTGCTGCCAATGATGGAAGAGTTCGCCTTCTCAATATAAATGGATATTTATGCTTCTTGTCCTTTTTTATCAAATATTTGTTCATCTTTGTTTCCCTTCGAATGGCCGGTCTTTCATCGTCTTACGAGTCCTTAGGGTCAGTCATCTTTCCTCTTTACCTCACAATTGGACTAGTTGAGTTGATTCTCGGGATGTCCTCATGCCAATTGTCATCCATAATAAAACGAGGTGTTTCAGCTAAACCAAGAATTGAAAAACTTCCAGTTGCCTCTGTTGTCACATAAAAACAAATTGTGATGATAATTATAGTTGAATATTAACTCAAATTTGATTCTTTTACCCTATTAAACAATAAATGCCAAATTTTTAATAAAATGAGAAACAATACCAAAGAAAACCAGATGATTTGATGAACGTGAATCTTTCCCAGTGAGGTGGACAGAATGAAAATTTCAAAGTTGAGTTGAAGATGATTACCTCAAATTACGTTTTTGTTGCAAGTCCAATCTATTAATCCAGTTAGTTTCCATAGATTTATTAGTAGTATTTAATAGTTTAATCTAACAAGATTACATGCAACCTTGTGTTTTCAAATTAACAGCTTCTTATTTTAGAGTTGGCAACTCACAATCTTATTTTTGGCAATTCAATTGCTGATATTGGATTAAATGTTGAACATTCAACATTGTCTCAAGTAAGTATCTAGTCAAGCAAACTTATTTTGACAGATGAGAAACAAAAAGTCAGCGCCATCTAATTAATTTCAATTGAAACCGGATTAATCCCAAAAACGACGTCTTTATCGAGACTAGAGTCCAACTGAGACCAATAACTAACCATCTATTCACCAATAAACTGAAAAAAGCTTCATTAACACCATTATCAGCTAATAATCGATAAATCAAGACTCTAATTCAACAGCAGCAATAAATAGTCCAATGTTCATTTCTTATTCATCTCATAGATGTCTCTCTTTCCTTCCAATTTTTTTGTTGAATCAACTTTGGATTTACTGTTTTTTTATAAAAAAAAGGTTGCAATGATTATAATAAATAATTGAGTTTAGTAATGAAGTAAAGGTAAACAAGAAATGCTTCACTATCAATGATAAAGTAGCCTAACTAATTAAACGGAAATTCAATTTCCTAATGCAAAGCGGATCAAGATTCATCTCATTTGAATTTGAAGATTCACTATTTTTTTCATTTTGTTTGTACTTGAAAAAATAATGAGTATCATCATTGGAACAGTCTTGTAATCATGTTGATCATCATGAAAAATCTGTACTTTATCAGGTTTGAGCTGAAATAATCCTTTATGAGATTGAAAAGTGAATAAAGGAATCATATTTTGCCTCATTGTTAATGGCAATACAGTTTGTAAACAAACAATATAAATAGATTCAATGGTGGCTCTTTTGAAATAATAAACATTAAATTTGATTATCAGAGAGGCATTTTCACATTGACAATTGAAATTGCACTCTTTAAATCTAAACATCAATTTTGTACGAATGTGAATTGAATAAGATGTTTCAATTTATCTTCTTTATACACATTTTAGTGCATTTATTTTTGCCTTTACCGTTGTTTAAGTAATGATCTGATTTCATATTATCACCATGATTATTTTATCGTATTGATTTGATCGTTTAACAAGACGAATCAACAAGAATATGAATTAAACTTGTACCATTGTGTTCATATTGAAACTATCTATCACCAGCTAACATGATGATGATGATGATGATGGCAGTGGTGGTGATTGTTGTCGTTCTTGTTTCCATTGCTTTTGGTCATAAAGAGTAATTTTGCTTTTTTCTGGGTCTCAGATGGATGAAAAGGAAAACAATTTGAGAGTAAATTAGGTTCATGTTATTCAGTTCACGAAAAGTAACTTGAAGCTGAAAATGTATAGACAGAAGCAAGTGGGTGAGACAGAGAGAAGCAGACAGACATTCAGAGTGAAAGAGGAAGAAGAAGAAAACTATGAATGATCTCAGGGGAAATTTTACCATGAAAAACCACAGATGAATGAGAAAGGAGCAGAAGAAACAACAGCAATGGAAACAAAACAAAAGCTTAAGCAAAAATAAAGGCATCATTGATGGAGAGACAACTGGATCGCCATTAAAGGTTTCAAAGTCAACTTGTAAGGTAATGTTGATTTGGTCTGCACTGTATTAAACATTAATCAATATTAGTTCATTAATGAAAGCAAAAGTTGAAATGATTAAATTAATAAAATCAATAAATAATAAATTAGATTAGATTCAAATTGAAGACTGCAAGAGTTGTTCACAATAAATCAAAAGAGAGTAAAAAATGAATTGATTTGAGAGGAGAAAAATTTCCAAAGGTAAATGTTCAATTATTAAATTAAAATTAAGACTCAATAGACATTCAACCATAAAGTTGAATATATTATTGACGAGTCAACTATTAGAATCAAGGTGAAAATTTTTGCTACAATCTGATTAACTGGTAATGTAAATAATCAAAAATTGAAATCAATTCAACTTGTAAATTGTTCATCACCATGAGTTTGGCAGATTCCAGTTTTTCAACGTTTTTCATTTTACTTCACTTCATTTGGTTACAATTTTTCATTTCCATAGTTACTTTTAATTTAAATTGTTATCTAACCATTAAAAGCTTTGGTCTAGTTGATTCAGGTCAACCTTATTGTACTACAATCAGTGGAAATACAGGAAAAATGGTTTCTTTTGCCAAATGCTCGATGCAAATGAATAGGCTACATTTTTCGCATTTAATTCAACCTCCAACCTAACAAACAATGATCTTGCCTTTGCTGTGTCCAGTTATTATCTAATAGTAATTACTATTATATAATATATCTAACAATTTACTAGTTTAACTTTATTATTATTCATAACAAGAGATACAAAAAATAAGGGCAAAAGAGTGCAACAATATATTGTTAATGGACTTTTTGCTCTCACTGTGTTTCTTTTGAAAACAAAATAATAAAAATTGTAATAACTGGTAAATTAAAATATTATTAAATATATATTTTAATGGTAATAGTTAAAAATAATTTTCACTTTTTTTAGGTCTAACTATCCAACATTTAGATCATTTAAATATTAATATTTGTATTTAAATGAAATGCTACATAGGAATATTTTCACATTCAAATGATTCTCATTATGACTATGATTAACACTTTTATACACCATTTTGCTATACCTAATCCTAAGAGTACCTTTTATTTCAATTGGTTAATGATTAGTGGTCACGTTTTACTTCGCAATGAACCACATCGAGAAAGGATTTTTACTAATTATCGCTTATCAATGTGTTACAATTAGAGTTGGGTTGATTGGATCAGAAAATATTTTACTTAACAATAATTTAGTTGAAAAGGGTTCATTTTCAATTCAATAGCAGCTACACCATTTTCAACCTTTCCATGGACCGGTATTATTGTACACTAATGACAATAGATTATTGACACTCATAATCATTTGGGATATCAAGCAAACCTAAACAATTAAGGTATGAATAAAATCCAAATAACGAAAGGGAAAAGACGTGACGAATGAGTGAAATGAAGTTTTGACTTTTCCTCACTTTTACCATGCTTTTGAAGCCAAATTTGCTTTCTTTTCAACCTTTGTTTGCTTGACTGCACAATAAAACTCATGCTTAGCATTTCAATATTGAGTTAAAATAATAATGAAATGATATAAGCGTATTTACTTGATAACTTTTCCGTCCCAGGCAATTCCGACAACAAGAGGTGAAAATATTTTTCTTTGGATCAATACTAGTCACTTTGAGTAGTAACGGTGATTCGGGCGGAAGTGATGAAGGCTGGTTTGCCTGACCGTTAAAGGGTACATCAAGCTCAACAAATTCACGATCCTAGCAAAAAAAGAGAGAGAAATAAATTGAGAATAAATGAAGTGGAAATGAAACATGAAAAGTTGAAGAATGTAAATTGAGAAATTGAAGCATAAATCAATCACCCAGATTCTTCAACTTTTGCTTTGAATAATCAGACTGCCAGCAGATTAAGTACTTACCGTTGTCTTTTCAAGACATCGGAGAAGATGATGATGCTGTAATTCAAAAATATCTTCTGGGCCATCTTCAATTTCTTGCCCACTTGCAACAGCAGCCAGTCGAGCTTCAGTTGCTTTCTTTTTATTAACAAAGGCAGCTCCACTTGTTGCTTTGGCGATTCGGATTCGAGCCATCCGTGCTTTCTGAAACAAGAAAACAAAACAAAATTAACATGAAAAATTGATTATGTAACAAATAACAATTGAAAATAGATTAACAAATTAGCAAATAAATTTTTCATTAGAAACGGTTTTTCGCTCCATCTTGCGGGATTCATGTGTTTACCCTTTGCAAACAAAAGATTCAATTACGTCACTAATTGTTTAAGACAATTGATCCGACAGATGGAGACTTTGTGGAAATTGTCTTTTTGCTTTTGTGAAAACCTTGCAACGGAATCAAAGTCTAATTTAATTTTTTACCTTTTGCGCTTTCCTTTTATCAGCACGTTGATTTTGGTGATAAATTCTTGAAAAGTTGGAAACAATAACAGGGACTGGAAGAGCAATGACCAAGACACCAGATAAAGAGCAAATGCCACCAACAATTTTACCGGTTATGGTAGCTGGAACCATATCACCATATCTGATGGAAGTGGGAGAGAAACAATCATTAAAATCGATCCTGATTTTCTCCAATAAACGAGTGTAACAATTAACAAGAGTAAAGAGGAAAACTAGTTAATTTGATAAAAGCCAAATTTGGTAGATTGTGTAACCGAGATACATGGTAAAGAAATCATTCTGCTAAATCAATTGCTCTGAGGATTGGATTTTGTTATTGGCTGCTGTTGTTTGTTTCTTAATTTGGTAAAAATGTATAATATTGGATATTGTAACAAAATGGATATCAAATTAATAGTACATTTAATGCCACTTGACTGTGAGTACAGATGATAATAATACTCTGAAGAGATAATCTGTTGATTTGTGTCCATTAATCAGCAAGAAGTACCCAATTGCAAGTCAACACTTCATGAACACTTTTGTTTTGGTTTTTTTTCTAGATAATTATGGGAAGGATCGAAAGCTGAGGACAACAACTGGATTGATTAAACGAGTATCAACAAAAACAATAGGACAAAAGTCAAGCCAAAAAGATGCAGAGAGATGGAGGGAAAGGATGGGACGATAAAAATCGCTGTTCACCTCTAATTGAAAGTGATATAGTTAATATTATAATACTACCATTTGTGAGCTGAGATTGGTGATTGTTGGAGACAGATCAAACTGAGATTGACTTATTTACTGCAATCAGCAAGAAAATTGTTCACCAAGAAGAAGATGAGAATGAGAAGGAGATAATAATGATTATAATAGTGAAGATAATGTTTACCATCTAATGGAGTTGCAAGGAAGGAGAACCGTTTCTGAATTACATTGGAATTGAGTAACCATATAATAATAATGATACATAAATACATAGAATAATGAGAGAAAAGTTATTGACTATTATTACTATTATGATTATTATTGGTGAAATGTGCGATAATATTAATAAGAAAAGGATGAAGTGAACATTAGAATGAAAATGTCAACCAACTGCTATATAATAACGTAGTTATTACTTCCAATTTGGTCCCTCGCATTAATTACATCAACCAAGTGGAAACAAAAATGATCAAATTTAGACTGGCTCCACACACAAAATTCATGATAATCCCCATCACGAGTACAAATGCAGTTGAATAAAGATGAAAGCTAAAAGCAACATTTACTTCAACTAATATGAAAGGATTTGTCAGTTAAAAACGATAAAAAAGTAATGAAATTTCTTGTATCATTATTTTTCTGTTTTCATCTTTAACCGTAATACTTCACTAAATTGGACAAAAAGATTAAGGTTAACTCAATGATTTGCCATTTTTGTCTAATTAACTGTTAGATTTGAATTTCCTTTGGATGAGCAGATATTTCAATAAATTCAATTCATCATTATTCAATTGAAGCATTTTCATTGCAACTTTTACTCTGCAAAGACAATTGTCTGTAACTCAATTTTGCTTCGATCACCAGGATTACCAGAATTGCCAGGATGATCTTGGTAAAGATTAAGATATGAATGAAACTCTTTTCAGCGTAAAATCTGTTGCACTTGAATTAGTTTGTTTCCATGATGGTGTAAAGAAAAGAAATGAATTGTTTTGATTTGAATTTCAAGTCGAAAACTGGCAGAAATGAAAATATAAAGCAAAGAAGCGTCAAAAAAGGTTGAAAATAATGAAGCAAAAAATAAACCAGAAAACAAACAAAAGTTGAAACCTTAATTTTGGATGAATGAATTTTTGAATGGTAAAATGAACTCCATCATTCCCATATTTCACTTTAACCCAAAACACAAAGTCAAACAATAACAATTGAATAAAAAAAAGCTGAATGTTGATGGAGGGGAAAAAAGGCAGTCAAACTGATTTATCAATTTCCAGTTGTTCAATTGAATGAGACAAAAGAGTCAAAAGGATTGTCAAAATGGTCGCATTGGATCAACCAAACAACCAGACATAAATTTAAATTTCACCTCAACATTCAACCCAGAATCATAAACAATTAGCCATCTAATTACTCAATGAACCAGACTAAAAATGAAACAAAAGGATACATTTAAAGGAAACAAAAAAGTAAAGTCAAGCAAATGAAGCAAATAAACAACATTCATATCTAAACACTGGGACTGTTTACCATTAATTTGGTAAACAAATTACTGTCAAAAATGATGTAAATATTGAACATTTATGAATAATTGTTTCAATAATCTGTCGATGAATGCTGATAACACTAATTAACTGTAGATTACTTTAAGAAGCAAATTGTGTCCAAACAAAAAGCAGTGTTGACTTATTTTCCAGTTGAACTGGCAATTTCAATGAGATCGTTAGGATAAAAATGTGGAAATGTGTTCAGGACAGTTTATTTACTTATTTATCTAACTCATTGAATAGATGAAATATCAAGATATATAAGAATACAAGTAAAGTGAGAGAAGAAAAAGAAAAACCTTAAAGGCATGAAGAAGAAGAAGAAGAAAAGTTGAGAAAAGATGATCAAGATGATGACCAAAAGTCTGGACAAGTGAATATGATGGTTGCTTGTTAAAAGTTGCCAAAAAATGAATTTCACATTCACTGGGAAGCAACAACAAGAACAACATTTTCCATCATATCCAGATGAGCAAACATTCAGAACACATTTTATCAGATTCTCAAAGTTTGTCTCCATCTTTATAACATATAATAAAATAATGGTTTTGCAAGTGAATGATTTTCAATAAACTTTAAATTGATGAACAACATGTATTAATAGAAGAAAAATTTATCAAAATCCATGAACATCTGAAACATGAACATCATTATCAAAACATTTTCCGAGACTTTTGTATCGATTAAGCATTTAAAGTGTAACTTTCAGATTGAATGTTGACTGAAAAAATGTTCATTCATTTTCACTCTTGTCCAAACGAACAACTGACCAAATGAAATTTCTCAACTTTTCATAATCACAGAGTTTATCGATCATTCAATGAAACTTTTCCTGGAAGCTCAGCATTGGCGAAACAAAAGTTTTTCCAAGAATCGCAATTATCATTTATTTTCATTTGTCAGTGTTGTGACGAAATGTTGAATTATGAAAGTGAAAAGTAAAAATGAAATGTGAATCCATCCAATATTTCATTTACATTTTTATACTTTTTCCCTGTTCGTTTCAAGTACAATGAATGAAACATTTTGCTCAGAATAATGCATTTGTTTCTCTTTACATTTATCATTATTTTTCAGTTCTCATTGCTTTTAACAAACACTCTTAATTATCATCTTTGAATATCTTTTGTTTTGCTTTTTCATTCGGATCGATGATGGCTTTCGATGCGTCTGATTGTGATCATGAGATGATGTATATTTAACGGGTGTAAAAGTGAAATGAGAAATGAAGAAAATTGCAACAAAAATGTTCTAAAGGAAGAAATCGTCAAATGATAAATTGCTGTTATGTGTTTAAAATGATAAATGGTATGGAATTTTGGTGAAAGGAAATGTGAATAAAAATTGAACCTCAGATTGAAAATGGGTGAAACTTGAATGAAACCAATGTTGATCATGTCACAAGTTTAAAGTCAAACAAAGCGACATTAATTGACAGTCTTTTACTAGGAAAAAGCCAACAAAAAAAACAATCACAGAACAAAATCATTTATCATTAGAATCACTCCCAGAACTCCTGGATCAAGTCTCGATTACCCCATCAACAGTCGGTCTAAACCGCACTCACAAAATGGCATCACAAACAGATTTGCCCTTTTGCTGTTAAAGAATAGACTTGAAACAATCAATCAAATTTTAAACAAATTAAGCAAATGAATCAGTGAAATGTGTTGAAACTGTGAAAGAGTAAATTGAATTAGACTGAAAGTTGAATAACAATTTGATTAGATTTTGATAATTTCATTACAAATCCATAGGAAGGATCACAGCATTCATCAAATTGTCGTTTCTCACAATTTACTTTAAACTTCAATTGAAATGGATTCGGACGATCAGATTATGAATGAATTTTACTGATTTCACACTCAACTTGAACCATCTATATTTAGACTGACTTTGCTTCCAGTCATACTTGAGCATACAACTTGAAGCTAAGCCTTTGCCAGTTGAAATGAAGAGATGATGATAACCTTGGATCAGGTCATAAATAGGTCAATCGGAAAGGAAAGAGAAAAGGCTGAAGCAAGAAAACAGGGGACAAAAAACAAGAGTCGAATCTCTTTGAACATTTAAACAATTTAATCTCACAAGTCGACCTTTTTTTTATTAATACAACTTATACCAAAATGTTGAACTATAAATAGCAACAACGAAAAGAGACGAGAAAATCGTTAGCTATTCTCAAAGAAGTTCGTGTAGTCCTGAAACTGAGCAACAATAAAAATTAATACCATTTCAGTTTACCATTGAGTTTATCATGATACAGTTTCCTTCCTCTCTGTTCCCTCTTCATCCTCATCTTTATCCGTCTCTCAGTAACAACTTGAACATTCACTGAATACAGGTCATGGCCCTTTCAACATTTATCTCTACATTTCATCTTATTACCATCAACATTCATAATTTGTCTTTTCATCCTTCATTATATTCATATTCAATGGCTTATTCAACGAGGTTCTCATTGGGAATGCCATTATTACCTTATCACTCCCAGCATTCAATGTTATATCAATTATCCTTCAACTTTGAAAAACAAAAAGCAAAACGATATCAAAATGGAAACCAACAAAATTCAATTTTCATTTCTTTTTTTTTATCACTCAAAATTGATGCAAATTTTGAATGAAAAATGAATTTTGATAATTTGATTTAGCTTTTTCAGCTTTTCCAAGTTTCAGGATAATTTCATTAATTTGTTTATAACTTTCTATTAAGTTGATAGGATTTCGTTTCTTTTTTTTCTGGCCAAAAAATTCAATCAAATTCAACTTGTGTTTGTTTTGCTTCTGATAAAACCTACTTTTTTCTTACTTCATTCAACCTTTTTTTTCCTGGTGATATCATGATATCCTTACCTGGTATTGTCACTAAGAAGGCTTTCAAGATAATCTAACCTTCCCTTTCAGTTTTATTTGTTATTTTTATTCTTTCTTTTTCTCCTTGTTTCCTCATGTTGTTATCGTTTCAGATCTCTTATTTTGTCTGTTAGCATTTGTCTTTTTAAAGGTAAAAAAATCAGTTTACAGAGTAAAAAGTACAAGAAACATAAGATAGCTAACAAAAGCTGATACTGTTATGACCATTACGAGATCAGATGAGGAGATGGAATAGGAATGATGAAAACGATATAAAACTCTATCTCTTCATCTGAGCATAAAAACAGGGAAACAACAAGTTCTTTATCCAAACAAGGTAACAAAAAAAGGAAAAAAAAGTATTGCCTTGTTAAATCAAAAAGATTGTTTTTCTTACCTAAATAGACCGTTGGATATATTATAGTAAAAATGAGGGTTAAATTTCTTTCTTTTCTGGCAAAAAAAAGAGAAAAGAAACCCTCTTTTACCTATTCCGTTAACCCTGAAGATAGTTTTATTTTTATTTACTTATCCTGGTTATGTTTACCCTGGTTGACTATCAAATTCAAGTTGTTTCTAGCCTTGAGACATTTATCTTGATCAATGTAAATTATCTAATAATCATTACTGGAAAACCATCATCATCATCATTAACATTGTCACTTTGAAAAATTGTATCCATACAACCAATTGCGACAATTTACTTTCAATTAATCATACAATTCAACTATTTCCCTAAAATTTCAACAATAATTATCTAGGTAGAGAAAGATAAATCAATAATAGCGTCAATAGTAAGTCAAAAACACTAACTTATAAAGCAAGATACTAACAACTAGACTACCAGAGATGAAACTCGACTGATGAAATTTTAATCTAACTGTCGATTGTTCTGTACCTTGGAATATTGGTTCATAAAGAGTCGAATCAAAGTGAATTCATGGTACTTTTAAACCTGATACACATAAACTTTCATTAGCTGTTATGCAATAAATTCCGATTTACTTTAAAATCGATTTTCGCTATGTAATCGAGATCTCGAGAATCGATGTAATAAAGATTTTTAATCGAATGTGGGATTTAGTATAGTCAAAGTGTCATTAATGGATTGATGTAACATGTTTCTATTGACCGATAGTTATCGATTTTTAATTAAAAAACGATAAATATCGCTATCGATTATAATCGAAAGTAGTTTTATCGATTTATAATCGATCTTTGTCTCTTGTCAAGAAGCTGACGACATATCTTATCTGAAATCTTGAAAACTTTATAACAATTTGGATCACAGTTGCCAGGATTGAAAAGTGTCTTCAATACTTGATACTAACAAGGATACTAATCACCATGCTACCAGAGAGACATTGTTTTGAAAATATCCAAATAT